TATAGGCCCAGTTCAACCACTGCATAGAGTGTGGGGATCCATCCAAAATGGAATTGTTATCAGAGTGGGTGCCAGGAAGGCAATCAACAAATCCTCATTTCCCTCCAAGTAATCATTTAGAAAACTTCCAGTAAAAGTAAAAGTAAAAAGTGGCCCAGGTAGTATGTGGCAGGTGGCCAAAGCAAGAGGATCACAAGTTCAAGGCCAGCCTGGACAACTTACAAACATTCTGTCTCAAAATAAAAATGTTTTAAAAGGGTTGGGGATGTAGCTTAGTGGTAAAACACTTCCCAGCATGGGTCAGTTCCCAGCCCTGAAGAGAGAAAAGCAAGCAAGAAAGCAAGAAAAGAAGGAAGGAAGGAAGGAAGGAAAGAAGGAAGGAAGGAAGGGAAAATGCCTGACACTCAGGACCAATCGAGCTCCAAGAGAAACCCTTGATTTCTTGAGAACCTCCATGACATTATCGTATGACATCATATATTGTAAGAGGTCACTTCTTCTTTTCTTTGAAATAGGACTCACTTCCAGGCTGCCTTTGATCTCACTTGGCCTCAAACTCACGGTGCTCCCCCTGCCTCAGTCTCTTGAGTTTACAGGTATTCGCCACCACACGCTGCTAGGAAGTCGTTTCTAATCAACATTTCATTCTCATCAACATGCGATTTTTCTGAAAATGAATGTCAAAACCCTGCCTCCTCTGTGCTTCCACTGCGCGACCCGTCTTGCAGTATGACTTCCCCGTTTTGCTTTGGTCAGGTCTGGTCTTTGTCTCTTACCTTTAGGTGCACTTAGGCCTTAGGTGGGCATCCAAGGCCTTAATTTGTTACTCTTTAACGGCGTGACCTGTGTTTTCTTCTGAGGAGCCCGAGACTTACAACCTTTCTGTGCTAAATTAACAGGGACCTTCATTTGGGCTGACAGAAGGCGGATGGGTAACTGAAAACAGAGCAAAGCCTGATTTCACTTTGTGTCCCTCTCCTTTATTACCCCAGCGTCGCATAGAGACATTTAAGGAGTCTGTTTTCTTTTTTGCTTTTCTTTTTTTTTTTTTTTTTGTACAGGGGATCAAACTCAGGACCATATTTGCCAGGCTGAAGGCTGGCACTTTGCCACTAAGCTAAATCCCTGGCCCCCTAAGAGGAGTCTGTCTAAAAATCTGCTGCATAAGGTCGATGAGCCCTAGATTTCTACAGCCCTTCAAGACAGAGGACATCAAGATGAGAGGTTGACAGCAATGATCAAGTCCCAGGAGGCAGTCAGTCTGCTGCAGTCACCTTGGATTCCAGCAGAGACTCCACTAAACTGAGACCGCTCCTACCAGAAGCAGCCACTTCATGGAGAAAAAATTGCCCCCCAAAGAAGTAAATACTTCTCTAGAGCCACTCTGCAGAACGAGAGCTGACATGATGACTAACCTGCCCTAGCGCACCCCAGCAGCACCCCCTCCTCTACCAAGGGGCTAGTCTGATCCTCCCCAGCTGAGGTCTCACAGTGCTGCCCGGAACACGGGCCATCATGTGTTCATCTGTGATTGTGCGTGAAAGTGGGTTCGTGAACAATATAGGAATCCAAGCAGCCAAGCTGATAAATTTGGGATTTAATTAGCTGAGCTCAGCAACCACTAGTATAGAGATCCCTGTTTCAGAGTCCCACCGAGTGGCCCTGAACTGGAAAGTTACAAAGCTTTTAAAACAGAATTACAAAAAGACATCCTGTTGGAAACAATTGAGCTAGACTCTTACATCAATTTTTGGTTGACACCTGTATCCTGTTGTTGAGCAGGTTAATTTTTGTCTTGTTGGTGCAGCTCGTTCTGCTTTTCTCATGGGACTTGTACTCTAGGTAACTTTTTATTTTCCTAGTTAAATGTAGGGCTCAAGATGGTGTCAGTTATGCCAAGCTACAACAATGAGCACACAAACTTCTGTTCCGAGTTGCCCTTTGTGGCTCCAATGAGGCTGCTGTGCCTCCTGCCTTATATTCATGATCCAGTCAGAAACAAGAGAGGAGACAAGGCTTTTTAATGTGGTCTTGCCTTTTTATTTGAGAAGCATTAAATTATAAAAATATGACCATCAGTTGTGCTGACGTGTCAAAGATTTTATTTCATTCCATATTCAGTAAGAGAATCCAGAGAGATCTTAAAACCAGTGAAAGGAGAATTAAAATATACATACACACACAGGTAGGAAATTATACTTACATATGTATATACACAGGCAACCAGAAATGCAAAATGAATTTGCAAAGACAAGAAAAAACAAGTTGCTATTAGCAGCTCTTTCAAAGGAAAACTATTTGCATCTTTATGGGGAACAGCCATTTGCACGACTATGGGTATTCTACAAAATTGGAAAATAGTGCAAAGATTGAGAAGTAAAAATGCTAATAAAGGAAATGCTGGACAAAATGCTCAGTATTCTTCTTGTGGCTTTCAAAATCTTTCAGGGTGTCCTAGCAAAAGAGGCTCCCTCCGCGGGACCTGTACTTCCCCCACTTGAATCTTGACACGTAGCTGCATTTGTCGCAAGGGTGGCTGGGAAATGCAGACTCTAGCTGGACACACAGCCTAAGTGAGGTGAGCTTCTGTTGATAAGGGCCTCTGCCCGGCTGGGGAACCCTCGTGTGTCATTTAGGGTGCTGGCTTTTTTAACCGTCTTCAGCACAAGACGCTGCAGTGGAATCAGCTGCTGTTTTTGAAACCTCAGTACCAATCCCTCTTCTGCCAACAGCCCTCAGTTTTCTTTTTTTATGAATCTTTTCACCACTTTGCAAATCCAGCGCCAATGACAGACCCTTGACTTACCATGATTGGTGATTGATAGGGGCGGGATGGACAGTAACTCGAGTCGGGCCAATCAGATTCAACTTCGAAACTCATTGGAACAAAAACTGTGACTTACCAAACAATAATATTTATGTTTAAATGATACAGAATCAATTTTCTGACAATGCTTGGTGCCCAAATGGATTCCCATACCCTCTGTAATAGTCCACCGTCTCTCAAAGGGTCTGTGGCTTTCTAGTTATAAATCACAGAATGTTCCTTGGTTTAATTATTAGTTAATTAACACATCATCTCTCCTGAGAGCTGAAAGGCTGTGGGGCACGACAGAAAGTGGATTTCAGTGCCAGCATGCAAGGCACAGGACACACCCAGAAAACCAAATTGCACTATAAAGAGCAAAAGAAAATTAAATGCAGGGAACAGATCACAGGGCACGATGGAACTGTTGAAAAGCTGAGACAGTTGGTGAGAGATTGGCGGCAAGAGCCCTCGCTGATCCCAAGCTAAAGACTAGACCTGGGGCGGGCGCAGCAAAACAGAGGAGAACCAGTTCAAGGCGTGCGGGTAAGCGGGTAACACCGGGCCGCTCCCCATCGCTGAACCCGGCGAGGGCCGGAACTGGGAAACCAGGGGCAGCAGTTACAGCGACAGCGCCCCCTTCTGGCCAAAGGGCAGAAAGGGGCGAGGAAGAAGGGGAGGCTTCCGTCCATCAGGCGGAGCCGGTCACCAGTTTCTATTTTCTCCCATCTGAGATGCAGTGAGTTGTTCCATGCATTGTTATTTCCTCACTGCTAAGAAAGATGCTCCTGATTACACTGACAGTGCCAGGGCTCCGTTGAAAAGCATCGCGATATAAAAAATGTTGAAATGTTGCAAGGGAGGAGAGGGGAGATGTTGACCCGTGAGTTCCGGGGATATAGTTCAGTGGCACAGCACTTGCTTGGCAAGCGTGAGGTCCTGAGTTCAATTCCTGGTACCAAAAACAAAACAAAACAAATTTCCTAGGCTGGGATAGAACTCTCTTCCTGCCTCAACCTCCCAGAATGCTGGAACTATAGGTGTTCACCGTCTGGTCCAGCTATTTCCTTGTTTCACGGATATAGTGTAGAATTCAGTCTTTGATAGAGAGACTCCTTCCTTTATTTAAGAAAACTGCCAGGTGGAGGCCAGACCAAATAAGTTCTGGTAGAAAAGACTGCCAGTGTGGGGATGATGGTGCATGCCGTGATCTCATTTAATTGGGAAACAGGCAAGAGGATCCCTAATTTGAGGGCAGCCGGGGCAACTTTCAGACTCTGTTTTAAAAAGTGTAAGTGGGGGCTGGGGGTTTAGCTCAGCAGGCACAAGTGCCTGCCTGGCAAGCGCAAGGTCATGAGTTCAGTCCCCAGTACCAAAAATAAAAGTGTACGTGGGATGTAGCTTCGTGTTACAGTGTCTCTTGGTTCAGTCACAGGGGAATGAACTTGGCGGTGAAGGAGAGGAATTAGGTCATTAGGTCGTGTGAACGGAGGATAAAGCAAAATCGATCAGAATAAAGTCCCCATCTACAGATCACTGTTTCGGCTTATCATCCCCCAACCTCTCTTCATAGTGTTATAGTTCCCGTTTCACCTGGGCGATTCTGTTTACGTGGATGAAGGGATTTTCCCAAAATAAAAGAGCTCGACGGAAAACTAAGATACATCAAGTAGGCTTTAACCTTTGGGGTAAAGGCCTGAGAGGGGATGGGTTAATTCCAATTTAGATCACATATAAAGATAGGTAAAAAAAAAAAAAGTGATGAAAATAATTGTAAGCGTAGGTTACTGGGCGATGAAGAAATGTAAACAGGACGCTTTTAATGCCTCGAAGTTAGGATATGCTACAGAGATGAGACCACCTTATCCAGCAGCAATCTCTCCGCTGGGCCGTCACTTATCCTGTAAAAATTAGTCAAGATCCAGGATGTACCCCAGACACTGGGCCAACTCTTCCCGGGATTATTAACTGCAAGTCATTTCTGACTCAGGAGCGCGTAGCTCTACGTGCAGCCCGCGTCCCCTTGCGCAGGCGCACATCTGGAGCGATGCACTGTCCCCGACAGGTAGCAAGCACCGCCTACTGGCCGGCCGCCGCTGGCCGGTTTGGTTCCGCCCCCAAACGGAGAGCGCATGCTCTCTAGTTTCGTTCCGCTCTCGCATTCCAGTTTCTCGCGACATTCACCTTGTAACGGCCGGAATCTCGCGATAAATGTTTATAGGCTCGCGAGAGCACGCCGGGTAGACGGGTTTTGGGGCGGCCTTAGCCGGCGTAGAGGAGTTGCATGTGTCGCTTCAGCTGGCGGGAGCGGCGGGAGTGGAGGCGGCCGGGGCTGTGCGACCGCCCGGGTAAAGACTCCCTGCGCCCCTTCCGGTTCTGAGAGGCTTGGGGCGTGAGGGAAGTTGAGATGCCGCCTGGAGGAAAGGGGCCGGGCGTCTCCACCCCCGCCCACATGGGCCCCCTCGGATGTCCCAGGGTTGCGCCTTCCCTTCAGCGTTGCTCGTCCTTATCGCCTCAGCTCTGCTCACACTTGTCACCTCAGCCCTCTTACGTTCCGCTGCTACCTAGCTTTTCTGCCCCCATTTCCCTCCTCTTCTGGCCCCGGCCACCCCGCCCCCTCCCGTCTCTTTCCCCTTCTCCGTCCTCCTTCGTCGGTGTCCCGCACCCTACATTCTGGGCACCTCGCGTCCGACCCCCCTCTGTGCCTAGGCTCTTCCGCCTTCGCTTCTCTCATCTGTTTGGAGCCTTCCTCTCGCTGCACCTTGCATCCTCCCAGGTCACCCTCAGACATTTTGCTCCGTTTCCATCGAAGTCACCCACCCTGTCCATTTCGCCCCATTTGTTTTTTCTCAGCTCCCCCCTTTATCCATCACTACTTGCGTCCATGTAAACTTATGGATCAGATAGATGTGCCGGGAATTGCTCTCATTTCATGATCTAATTCAGCTTGTCTTCCTCACTTCACAGAGAACTGAAGCACTTTTGGGGTGGGAGGCCATGTAGTGAAAGAAGTCCTACTCCATCCAGTGCTGCTCCCTTGGGGTCTTGGGTCAGAATAATGGAAGTGTCATTTCCCTCGCTTCCAGGTTTATGAAATGGCTGCTGACATTTCTGAATCCAGTGTGGCTGATTTCAAAGGGGATCCAAAGAACAGTGCCAAGTTAGATGCCGATTACCCACTTCGAGTCCTTTATTGTGGAGGCAAGTGTTGGAAGGCAAAAGATGGCTTTTACTGTGTTTTGATGCCTTGTGTTGATAGTTTTACATTTGGTCTTATTACGTGTTTTGTTTTATTTTCACTCATTTTACCTTTGTCATGTGGTAAGCCCTTAATTAAGAAGGGAGCTTGCTGAGGAGGAAGCAGAGGTTAAGATCTTCCCAATCTTTATGGTTTGTGTCTTGTTAATTGGCCTGGAGGAGCTTATAGTCTACTTGAACTAGAGACATGCATAGAGGTTATTTAAGCTGGATGTTATAGGCTGTTCTGGCTCCTTGGAAGATGATGAGTCCTGAGGGATAGGAGAGAATGGAGGAGGAAGTGAGAAATGGTATCCTATAGGGAGAGAAGTTTTGGAGAAAAAGTTGGTGGATGTCTGTGGAGAATTAAGGGACCAGGAATAGCAAACTGGATTAAGGAGTGGAGACAAGGTTGAAGTGAGAAATAGGACAGCAGAACATGGTGGTGCATGCCTATAATCCCAGCGTTTGGGAGGCTGAAGCAGGAGGATTGCTGTGAGTTCAAAGCCAGCCTAGACAACAAAGTGAGTTCAATGGCAGCCTGAACTGCACAGTGAAACCCCATCTCAAAAAGACAAAAAAAAAAAAAATGACACATTCAACTCGGTATAGCTTAGGAGCACAGCATCTGCCTGCCAAGCACAAGGTCCTGAGTTTGATTCCTAGGCCACCCCCCCCCCCAAGAAAAAGTAGCAAAACATCCTTGGAAAAAAATTTTTTCCCTTTTTTGAGATAGGGTCTCGCTATGTAGTTCACGCTGGCCTCAGACTTTTGCTGGGATTATATGCATGTGCCACCATGCCTGGTGATGAAGAGTCTTTTGGTTTGAGAAATAACGTGTATGTTGGACTTAATAAATAGTTTTCCACTATGATTATTTTTTTCTCATTTTCAGTAGGAAAATTTCAATTCAAGGATCTATTTTATTTGTTTTTCAAAACTTTCAGAAAAGTTTGGAGACAAAAGACAGTAAAAGGGGAAGTAAAATTTTTTTCATAAAAATGTTTGAGCACCTACTTACCGTGTGCTGGGTGTGTTTTAGGTATTGAGGACTGAAGAGAGAATAAATAAAAAGGGACTAGCCTGGGATATAGTCAGTGTGAGGCTTTGGATTCAATCCTCATAACTGGGGAGGGGATATTAGTGACTCATTGTTTATTGACTATCCTTGATAATGAAATAAAATTAGTGTGCAGTACCCTAAATGTTAAGTTTATTGTTGTTAGTATTATTGTTATTATTCCACTGGGAATGCAACCCAGAGGCACTCTCATACTGAGCTGTAGTCCCAACATTTTTTTTTTTATTGTGGTGCTGGGGATCAAACCCAGGGCCTTGTGCATGCAAGACGAGCTGTATCACTGAGCCACATCCAAGCCGTCCCAGCCCTTTTTTATTTATTTTTTATTTTAATACAGGATCTCCACTAAGTTACCCAGGCAAGACTTAACTTGCCATCTTCCTGTCTCAGCCTCCTGGCTGGGTTCAATCTTATGAAATTTGTGTTCCTCCCCCCATCTTTTTTGTCTTTTTTAAACTGGGGATGAACTCATGGTCTTAGCACTAAGCTAATTTCCACCCCCCAGCCCCCACTTTTATTTTCAGACAGGACTTGTTAAATTGCCCAGGCCAGCCTCAAACTTGTGATCCTCCTGCCTCAGCCTTTTAGAGTGCTGGGATTACAGATGTGCACCATTTTGCTTCATTTATTTTATATCATAATCAGTTACATTCTTTGCCTTTGGAGTTATTGGCCAGTATTTGCTTTGTGATTCTAGCAGGTATATGGCCCTTAGCAAGTTACTTGACTTCTCTAAGGCACAAAGGTCTGTTGCTAATATATATGGGATGAGAAAGAAGATGACATGTTAATTCAGATGATTGATGTAAAGTACCTGGGCTACCTAACACAAGAATACTGTCTTCTAAATGCTGCTATTATTATACCTATTATTATTGTATGCTAGTTCATTATGATTTTCATCTTGTTTGTCAGATGTAGTGTAGAACTATTCTGACTAGACTTGGTGGGGTGCACTTAATCCTAGCACTGAGGAGGCTGAGGCAGGAGGATTACTATAAGTGCAAAGGCAGCCTGGGCTAGATAGTGCATTCAGGGCCAACTTAAACTGTATAATAAGACCCTGCCTCAAAAAAAAAAAAAAATATTCTGGAGCTGGGGATGTAACTCAGTGGTAGCGTACTTGCCTGGTATGTGAAAGGCTCTAGGTTTGATCCCTAGCACCACAAAAATAAAACAGTTGTTCTTTGTGTCTGTCCTGTTTCATCAAATCTAAGTTTGGGGGTTTTTTTTGTACCTGGGATTGAACTCACGATCACACACTTGCAAGGCAGATGCTTATGCCACTGAGCTAAATTTCTGGCCCCTAAGATTGTATTTTATAAAGTGCACTATGTGAGAGATTCCCCTAAGAAAAAAAAGATAACATTACATTGACTTTGCGTAATTATAAACATAGCTCTATAAAAAATATAAAAATAATTAAGAGTTGATAAAATACAAGTTGTGAAAACCATGCTACTGAGTTGCTTATGTCACTTCTCAGATGGCTTTTGTAGAGGCACTACGTTTGTTTGGTTTTTTGGTCTGTTTTGAAACAGGGTCTGGCTATGCAGTTGAAGCTGGGTTTGAGCTCACTTTGTAACTTAGGCTAGTCTTGAATGTGCAGTGATCCTCCTGCCTCAGCCTCCTGAAAGCTGGGATTACAAGCACGTACCTCCATACCCAGCTGACGCTAGATACTGAACCCAGAGCTTGCACACTGACCTACATCTGCAGTCTTTTTATTTTTTATTTTGAGACAAAGTGGCCCAGGCTGTGATCCTCCTGACTCAGGTGACTTATAAGAACTACACTAAATACTCAGTTTACCCCACAAATAATTTGTTGAAGAGAAATCCCTGACCTTTGTGGGAAGGGGGAATTCTTTCCATTTCCCTGTCTCCTTTGTGTTGCTGTGTAGGCAGCAGGGTGAGGAAAGATGAGCTTCTTCTGGAGGACCTTAAGGTCTAGGTGTGTGAGAAGTGCCAGGCAGTGGTTAATACTGAGCAAAGTGCTACTGACCATGTGAATTAGGTGTGCCTGGATCTTTCTTTAGAGGGATGAGGGTTTGTAGCAGCCTTAGGTGAACAGTATGGGGGCATAATTTCATATGCTATCTATAGGGAGAGGAAGACATGATGGGACAGAAGGCTGATTTGGAGTAAAGAAACACTGATGGGCAGGGTGGGGTCAGGTCCAGGGAAATATATGAGGTCTTCAGGGTTCAGACTGTGTTGAAGTCTCTGAGTTTACTTCTCTTGTATTATTGGAGATTGAAGCTGGGCTGTGTGTATGCTAGACAGTTTTCTACTACTGAATTACATACCCGGCCTTTATCTGAGTTTAAATTTGGCTGGTTTTTTTTTTTTTTTTTTTGACTTTTATTGACTGTAATCTTGGCCAATTCCTTCATAAAATGGAAATAGCAGCAGAATCTATTTCAGAGCTCTGTTGAGAAGGATAAATAATACATTGCGCAGGGTTTGGTGTCACACACAATACTTAGGAGGCTAAGGCAGGAGGACCATGAAGTTGAGGCCAGACTGTCTCAAAAAGAAAGAGCCAGTCTTGGTGGCGCATGCCTGTAATCCCAGCACTCAGAAGGCTAAGCAAGAGGATTGCTGTGAGCCCAAGGCCAGCCTGAACTGCACAGCAACACCCTGTCTCAAAAACAAAAACGCCTCCCCTTCCATTTGAAAAAATGAAGTCGGATATGCTGGTGTACACTCATGTGATCTATTCTGGGAGGCTGAGGAAGGAGGGTTGGAGGATTACAAATTTCACCTGCATTGAACCTATCCTGGACAATTTAGTGATTTAATGAGACCCTGCCTCAAAATAGAAAAGGGGAAGCCAGGCATAGTGACACACACCTGTAATCCCAGTACTCAGGAGGCTGAGGTGAGAGATTGCTGTGAGTTGGAGGTCAGCCTGCACTACAGAGCGAGACCCTGTTGCAAAAAATCAAAAATGATAGCACATCCTTCTATACTCAGGAGGGTGAGGCAGGATGATCACCAAGAGTTCAAGGCCAGTCTGGACTACATGGTGAGACCTTGATCCCACCTCCCCCCAACAAAGAAATCCAAAACATAAAGGGTTAGGACTGTAGCTCATTGTGAATGTTCTGGATTCTATCCTTATTGCCACAAAAAGAGAGGAAACATGTTTGGCACATGGTAAGTTCTCAGTGTTACCTATTATTATTGTTTTTTATTTTTTGTCTTTCTCTTTTTTTATCGGTACCAGGGATCGAACTCACGACTGCCTGCTTGCAAGGCAGGCGCTTATGCTGCTGAGCTAAATCCCCAGCCCCATCTATTATTATTTCTAAACGATCAGTTAGGAGTTGCAATGGTTGTCATCATCTGTAGTGAACTGTTAGTTCCATGGACAGGAAAGTGAAAAAGGCGCCAGAGGAGGTTAATGTGCTGTATTGTGAGGAGTGAGAACCGATAAGGAGTGAGGCCAGTTGCAGAAACGTAGACCGGAGGTGGGCCAGGGCCTTCTCTCTCAGTGGGAGCTGGGCAGAGGGCAGAGGGCCCCTCCAGAGAGCTGGACTGCTTAGCAGTGAAAGGAGAGAGCTCTGCAGTCCATTCTGTGTTTTCAAACAGCGCAGGAAAGCAGGAGGGGCACTGGAAGAGGCGAGGCTCGCTGTGTGGAGGTGAGGAGTGGGCTTGTTTCCCAGTCCAGTGAGCTGGAGTGGTGGGCTGCAGTTCTCCAGGCGGGCAAGTCTAAACTGTCAGAACAGCAGCCCAGGCCAGGACTTAAAGATCTGCTGCTGTCAGCCACAGAGTGACGTTCGGAGGTGGAAACGATGGGAGCTTTTCTAAGAAAGGAGCTAGAGGAGCCTGCAGATCCTTGGGGTGTACTTGGAGTGAGGCAAGCTGGGCAGATGTCACCGCGTAGAGAAGCTTCTCTTTCTTTCTTTCTTTTTTTTTTTTTTTTTGAGACAGGGCCTCGCTGTACAGTTTAGGCTGGCCTTGGCCTCACTTTGTAGTCTGGGTTGGTCTTGAACTTGAAACAATCCGCCTGCCTCACCCTCTCAAGTGCTGGGACTACAGGCCTGCATCACCACATCCTGCTGGAGAAGCTTTATCTTAATTGTTGTCAAATTAGGAGAAGGTTGATCTTGGTTTTTCTGCAGTGATAAAGCATGCTTGATGCAGCAGAAATTAGTACGTTTATTTATTTATCACACTGGGAATTAAATCCAGTTCCTTGCACTGAGCTACATCCACAGCCCTTTTTAGTTTTTGTTTCAAGACAAGGTCTTGCAAAGTTCCCAGGCTAAACTGGAACTTGTGATTTTTCTGCTTCAGCCTCCCAGAGTGCTCGGAGTACAGGCATGTCCCACCACATCTGGCTGTATTCTTGTGTGACAGTTATCTGTGAAACAGCATTTTTAATTGGAAAGCCCATGTGAGTCAAGGAAAAGACCCTTTTTCCTGTGACTTCCACTGCTCCATAAAGTAGCACTATAGAGTAGAAGCTATTGAAAGATTTATTTCTGCCTAATCAACACTGTTCATAGCAGCATAACACAAGGCTTCTGTCGGACGTAAACATTATTATGTCTCATTGAATAAAGTAGTAGCGGACATGAGTTTAGACGCTACATTACCATTTTATAAACATGGTAGGCTTTGATAGCCAGATTGTTAAGAAAGCAGGGTTCCTATCATAGTGAATCAACAGTTCAAGACTAAAAACACTCACTGAGTAGCTCTACTGTGTAAGGTCCTGGCTAAGTTCTGAGGAGGATTGGGTGTTGTCGGGGCCCTGCCTTTTATCTATCTGCACATAATTTACATGTGCTAAACAGAGGTATGGGCTGAAAGGAACCTGCAGGGGAGGCTGGTAGCAAATAGAGGCAAGTAGGAAAGAGCCTATAATCCCAGCACCTGAGAGGCTGAGGCTGGAAGGTCTGCTTCTTCAAGTCTGGACTACATAGTGAGTTCAAGGCCATCCTGAAGTAAGACCCTGTCTCAAAACAAACAAAAAGAAAAAACCATAGCCAGAGTAGCAGTGCAGAAAGGAGAGCTTTCATCCTGTTACAGGGAATCAGGAAGACCTCATGGAAGCTGTCACAGGTGAATGGGGACTTGAAGGGAAGTTAGCATTCAGGCCAGCACAGAGGGGCAAAGGGCGGATGTGCCAGGCAGAGGAATAAAGCAAGACAGGCAGAAACGTAGTGGGTAGATAGAGGGGTTGCAGCATTGCAGCTGTGTTGTGATGTGAGATTCATGAAGGGGAGAGGCAGGAATTTGTGAGGCAGTGCGGTTTGGGGCCAGATTTTAGGAGACTTCACTCACAGATAATGAGTTGCAAAAAGTTTCTGTCCAGAAAAGTGACATGAAGACTTGAGCAAGGTTGGCTGTCATAAGACTAAACCTTAATGAAAGTTTAAATAAGTGACATAACCAGGTAAGGTAGTGCATGTCTGTAGTCCATCTATTCTAGGCTTAGGCAAGACAGCTTGAGCCCGGGAGCTTAGGGCCAGCCTGAGTAACACAGCAAGATCTTGAATCTTTAAAACAAACAAAAGGAGTAGCATAAATTAGGAAGAGAAAGTCAAGGAAAGCGATGATGATGGAGAAGCCAGCAAATGACAAGTTAATTGGCGTGAGAACAATAGGGAAAGAAGGAATACTCCTGTTAACGCTGTGGATGTGACTTCTGCCAGCCATTTAGTGTGCTTGATATGCATGGAGAAGACAGAAGGAAAGACAAATAAAAAAATAGAAATGACGACAGAGGCACATCCACTATCCCTTCACTGTCCCATCCTTTCCCCTTTCAGAAAGACTGGGGTGTGGATTACAAGAGACTGATCTCAGCTTTCAGCTAGAGTCTAAATCGACCTCAACTCTGGAGGCTGAGGTAGGAGGATTGCTGGGAGTTCGAGGCCAGCGTGGACACATAGAGTTCAAAGCCAGCCTGGACTACACAGCAAGCCTCTGTCTCAAAAAAAAAAAAAAAAAAAAAGGTGACTATAGCAGCTTAAACTCATTTAGAAACACACTCTAAGATCGTGCCTGTGCAGAGCATGTGTTCCACATACAGGAGTAAGCAAGACCTAATTATCTTCTAGAAGCCTATAGCTTGACAAACATTTTAACAGGTGGTCGATGTTAGTCAACCGTGGTGGTGCATGCCTGTAATCCCAGCACTTGGGAGGCTGAGCTAGGTGAACTGCTGCTGGTTTAAGGCTGTCTAAGAGTTCAAGGCCAGGAACTATGTAGTAAGACTTGTCTCAAAAAAATAAAAAACAGATCAGAAAATCAAGGTAGTATCAGCTCAGGTAACGATATGCCTTTTACCTCAAAAAACCCCCTAGAAATAGCATTTGAAAGGCGGTAGAAAAAAACTAGAGGAAATGTAGAAGTGAAACATTCTATCAGATGTAATAACAAACTTGAGATGTGTTTAAATATTTAACATTTTAAATCATTTTTTTCTCCATTTCCCCAGTCTGTTCATTACCAACAGAGGTAAGTGCTTTTAAACATTTTTCTCTTTTAATGTCTGCATTTGGAATCACTCTTGATTTTAGAGCTAACCTGAGAGCTTTATTTTTGTTTGTTTATTTTTCACTTATGTCATTTGATAGTAGAATTTCACTTTTTTTAAAGAACGGTAACCGAACAACTGAGCTACATCCCCAGCTCTATTTTGAGACAGGGTCTTGCTGAGTTGCTAAAATTGGGCTCGAACTTGCATCCTTCTTCCCTCCAGAATGCTAGAATTAACTATGATTTAGAACATTTTTATGGCCTCTGATGAAGCTGGGGTTACATGCAATGTGTCTTTATGTGCCTGGCTTCATTTTGTTTCGTTTTGTTGTTGAGTTGAGTTGAGGATTGAGGTGCCTGTGTGTTGTGCTGGGCTTGAACTCCTGGGCTCAAACCTGTCTCCTGCCTCAGCCTCCTGAAATGCTGGAACCACAGCTAGATGCCACTGTGCCAGCAAAGACACGTATAGCACTTGCCCTTGGTATATATTTTCAATTTTTGCATGAACTCATGAATAGTCAGTTGATAAATATGAGTAACTTTAAAGCCAGTACTTATACATCTGAGCAGAGTGGGGAAAAGGTAATGTAGATGATATGTAAACTTTCTACAATAAGGAGGTACGTAATCCTTTTTGATTTCTAGTTTTTTGGGGGTATTTTCTGCTTGAATAGAGTTTTCCTGAGGTTGAGTAATCAGGTGGAGGTAGTTCTAATCTTTATATAGTGAGTGTAGGGAATGATTTTTAATTGAAATGTATTGTTTGAAAATGTTTTGTTTCAATTTGTTATTTTTCTTTTCTTCTTGCAGTACTGTGAATACATGCCTGATGTTACTAAATGTAGACAATGGTTAGAGAAGAATTTTCCAAATGAATTTGCAAAACTTACTGTAGGTATGAACCTTTTTTTCTTTTATTAAGCTTGTATATCTGAAAAAAGGGCACATGTATCATGATTTTAAAGATATGAAAGTCTTCTTTTAGTATGATACAGAATTTCATTAATCTCTTATTAATTTTAAAACTCAAAAGGTCTCAGACAGGATAGACCTAAGTATCCAGTTTGCTATGAAAAACAGTAAAGATTTAGGGGCAAATGTATGTTTATGTTTATTGTGAGCAGACTGTAAGCTGTATACTGTTTAGGGCTTTGAGGATAAAGCAAGAAGCAGAAGATCTACTCCGTAGGAATTATATTCTAAAAGGGGAAACCAATCAGTTGTGTTAAAGGTATATAGATAATGATAAACTGAAGCCTGGCACATGCCTGTAATCCCAGCACTCAGTAGGCTGAAGCAGGAGGATCGCAGTGAGTTTGAGGCCAACCTGAACTGCATAGAGAGACCCTGTCTCAAAAAGCAAAAAAAAGCTGAAAGGAGGAAGGTAAGAATTGTCAGGAGGAGACGTGAAATGTTACTTGCTGACCTGGTATGATTTTGTTAAAAAGATAGCATTTGATTGAAGGCCTTTGGGAATGAAGGTATGAGTCACATGGCTGTCTAGGCAGAAGATATAGCTAGAATCAAGGCCCTGAGAGTGTTCCAGAAATAACAGTTGGTTGCTGGGAGTATTGTTCAATGGCGAAGCAGTTCCCTACCCTGCAAGGGGCCTGCCTCAATCTCCAGCACAATGAAGAAAGGAAAAAGAAAGAGGCATTGGGGGGGGGGGGGCCTTGCTGCAGGCAGCCAGGGAAGAAGAGTTGGATGTGCAGTCACAGAGTTTGAGTGTCAGCACTCACAGAGTGAGACCACAGTGGGGTGTGAGCGGAAGAGCTGTAGCATTATCACCTTGGCTGCTGGCTTAAGAATAGACTCAGATGGGACTGGGGGTTTCGCTCAGCAGCATAAGCGCCCACTTGGCAAGCCAAGATCACGAGTTCAATCTCCAGTACCGAAGAAAAAGAAAAGACTCGGGCCAGGGATATAGCTCAGTGGCACGGCACCTGCCCGCCAAGCATGAGGTCCTGAGTTCAAGTCCTGGTACCAAAAAAAAAAAAAAAAAAAAAAAAGACTCAGATGGGACACGGGCAGGAAGCTCTTGTTGGGCCAAAGTGGTGGCAGTGGATGGAGGTGGTCGGAAGTAGGCCGATGCCGAATGTATTTTGAAGGTGGAACTGATAGGATTTCCTGAGGTTGTAAGGTCTAAAGAAAAGGGGGCCCTGGGGCTTTAGTCTAAGCACTGAGAAGAATGGAGCTGCTGTTGGCAGGAGCAGGGCAGGCTGTGGAGGACAGATATCACAAGAGTGCTGAGGCTGATGAATTCTCTTGAAAGATTGCTAAGTGGGAGCAGTGTCAGGAAAGGGAGAGCCTGGGCTTTCACAGGCCGACCACAGAGCTTCCATGCTGCCCTGCTGCCCAGGTCTCGGCATGTTTTGTGATGAACGAGCCCGTATGCCTGATGAGGCTCTATGGGCTGGCGATTGTGTAGTACCTTCTGAGACTGAATGAGATCTTAGAGTCTGAAAATGTGGTCATTCTCTGCTGCTGGCCTTGGGGCTGGCCCACCAAGGCCATGGTGTGTCTAGGGGGAGGTGTGAGGAAGAGGAGCCCTTCTCACATCGGAATTGCTGTGACAGGATGAGTTAGCAGCTCCTGCAGGGCCTGAGTGCCTTGTGCGCCTTCCTGTGGCTAAGGAAACCCTAATTCACCCTTATCAAAGACCACTTTCTACTCCTGTCATTTTCTCTGTCAGCCAGCTTGGTGTCATTCTATCATTAATACTTGAAATCATTCATAGAGAAAAGGACCCTTCTGGCTCAGTTCTGGAGGGTTCAGTCTGTGATCAGTGGCCCTGTTGCTTTGGTCCTCTGGTGAGGAAGCTCATCACACTGGCAGTGTCCAGTGGGGCAGAACCGCACAGCATAGTGCCAGGAGATGAGGAGGAGCAGGCCTGGGTCCTGCTCCCTCTGGGGAGGGCCCCTCTTAACATTTCCACCCTCTCCCACCAGCATCACCCTGGAACTAAGACTTTAACACATGACCCTTTGGGGTACATATGTGGAGACCTTAGGACTCCGCCAGGATGACCTTAGAATTAATTTTGGAAAGAAATGTGGCGGCAGTGTAATTATTTTGTCTCAGAAATGTCGTTCTCAGTTGATAAAATGCCTTACTTGGTTCTGAGGTTGTTCAACAGTAATTGTTTAACATATGAAATGCTGCTCATGCTCTTCAATTTCATCTTTTTATCTAGAAAATTCACCCAAACAAGAAGCCGGAATTAGTGAAGGTCAAGGATCAGTAGGGGAAGAAGAAGAGAAGAAAAAACAAAAGAGAGGTAAGACTTAAATCTCTGTATTGATTTATACAAACATGCTTTCTCTCTGATAAATGAAATTAAGAAGGTTCCCAAAGTTTAAAAAATGTTATTATTGTAATTCCACATATGTATCATTATAAAATTATCTTCTCAGGATCGTGATTGGATGTGGTATGATTTGCCCTTTATTAGTAAACCAGCTCCAAGAAAGCATTCTAATGTGCCCTCTGTACAGGTAAAATGCAATCAGCCATCTAGAATTCTGGGTATTCTGTTTTATCATTACTTCCAAAAGCTTAAAACCTTTGGGTTACAGCTGTTGCTTATCTTTGTGTCTTCTAAAACTTAATTCCTCGGGCAGGGGATTTAGCTCAGCAGCATAAGCGCCTGCCTTGTAAGCATGCCGTCATGAGTTCAATCCCTGGTATCAATAAAAAAAAAAAATTAATTCCTCATACTCTGGGTGTTATCTTCACCTGTGTCCCTGTAACTACAGTTAGCTTATGAAGATTTTCAGGATTTTGTGTCTTATTTTGGGAGGATTACAGGCGTGCACCACCTGTCCTGTTTAGATTTTGCATGTTGACTCTCCCGGGAGCCCAGGTCTGTGTGTTTAATCCTTCCTGCCCCTCTCAGCCAGATGTCTTCCCTAAGCCCAGACTCACCACTCCCGTTCTCATCTCACTCAGCTGTCCTGACCTGACTTGGACTCCATGCAGCTACCCTAATGCAAACCCCCAGTGGTTTGTAACCCCTTAAGTCAGGGGAGCACTTGGCTCACTCCTCTGCTGACCTGTGCTCCTCCTGGGTTTTTGTGGCGGCTCTCCCTTCGTAGATCTTCCGTCTGTCATTCCTCTTGGTCTTCTGCGTAAACTTCTCTTTCTTCTGTCACTTAAAAGTGGGTGCTTCCCAGTCTTCACCCTCACGTCTTCTTAACTTCTTGCTCTCCTTCCCTTCAGCCAGACCCTTCTTTGTTCTAAAAGACTCACTTGATGATTGTGTCCTACCCTTGCCTTCTGTACACACCACGTGTGACCCAAATCCGTGCCCGGCTTGTGTGTACAAATTGAAGGATGCATGGTCCCACAGGCACAAACAGCGCTTCTGAAACCAGATTTACTGAGTCCCAAGTTGACTTTCATGTTCCCATTTTGGTGTGAATTATCCTGGCATCTGAACTTAAGCGCCATTGGAGGCTCCACTTTGCCCACTTGAGTCAGTTCTACGTCCTTTTTCTTCCTTCCTATCTGTATCCTGTGCCTGGTAGCCACTACTGTTGCTATGAATGGGTTTGTATTCTGATGAGTTCTGCCTGCGCTAATGCAGGGCCTCGGTGGCCTTTGTGCTGGCCCTGTTCTTCGTGGATCTGACCTCTTCTCTCTAGACAGGGTGATCTTAATAAACCTCATCCCTGCAGTCTTCCAGTGGCTTCTCCCCTCACAATATCAAATCTGATACAGAGCGTTGAGTCCTCATAGACTGCTGTGTAGTCTTCTGCTCTTCTGGCTTCATTTGCTACTCATCCATAAGCACCCTTAAATGAAGACAAATATAGTTTCCAGAAAGAATGGTTTTTTTTTTCAGTCTCTGTACTTGTTTCATTTCCCTACAATATCCTTTTTATTTTTCCCTTTGTGGCACTGGGGAATTGAACCCAGGTGTTCTCACTGAGCTATATCCCTATATCCCCAGCCTTTTCTTTTCCTTTTTTTTTTTTTTTGGTACCGGGGATCGAACTTGCGACCTCATGCCTGCCAGGCAGATGCTTATGCCACTGAGCTAAATCCCTGGCCCTCCCCAGGCTTTTCTTTTGAGAGTCTTTTTGAAAGTCTTACTAAGTTACCCAGGCAAGACAAGATCCTCCTGCCTCAGCCTCACAGAATGCTGGAATGAAACCTCTTCTGTCCTCTGGAAGCTTATCAAGTCATTCCTCTGTAAAGCTGCGAAGTGCTTTGTTCCTGCAGGTTGTTGTAGTTAAGCAAGTTTTCCTTTTTTTGGGGAGAAGGCACGTGATTCACTAGACTGGGAGTGTCTAGAAAGTAGGACTGTGTTCTGTGCCTCTGTGTGTCCTCAGACCTTAGTGCGGGGTTGGGCAGTTTTAAGGCTTAGTATACCATAATGATAAAAACAAAGCAATTAATGTAAAGTATTTCTTAATAAACAAAGGTGGAAGGGGTCAAATAAAACAGAAAAAGAAGACTGTTCCACAAAAGGTCACCATAGCCAAAATTCCCAGAGCGAAGAAGAAATACGTGACAAGAGTATGTGGCCTTGCAACTTTTGGTGAGTCAGGCTTCTGTTTGTCTTGCACTGCTGGAAGTTAAGTATATGTCACATGTGTGAGCTGCGTTCTCACTTGCTTTTTTGTCTTAACTGGTGTTAGGAAGGCCTGCTTTTACTAAGAATATACAAAATGAAGTTTACATTATGTAGCCCACCCTCAGTCTCCTGAATTTGGGGCTGACAGGTTTGTACCACAGTGTCTTGCGTGGCTGTATTTTGTCCAGGATGGGGAGGGCTGGATGGACTTCCTGTTGAAGTATGCCAGTGCTGCACTCTGTCTTCTCTAGGCATGGGGTGGGGGTTTGCAAGCTGGCCTGTCAAGTTCCACATGGGATAACAGTAGGAATGGGGGCTGTGGGCGGTAGACACCTGTTCGGAGCCCGAAGTTCCTGGCCACTGTGAGTGAATGGTTTTGCTGTGCGAAAGATGTGAAAGATTTTAAAACCAGGACCTGCAGCCAGGTGCGGTGCCTCACACCTGTAATCCCAGCACTCAGGGAGGCTGAGGCAAGAAGATCCTTGTGAGTTTGAGACCAGCCTGGGCTACAAAGTGAGCTCAAGGCCACCCTGAACTGCATAGAGAGACCCTGTCTCAAAAAAAAACAAAAAAACAGGGTTTGGGCTGAGGGTGGAGATTAATGCTGGAGGGCTTCCTGGTACTCATCAGGCCTTGAGCTCAGTCCCCAGGAAACTGCAAAACAGTACAAGAAATCCAGGTCTGTCCATGTGACAACACAGGCTAGAAAACATCAGCGGGCTGCATTGTCAGTATGCAGACTTGTTTCTCTGCTATGCGTTTCTTTGGTAAAAGGGGCTTGAACAAAAGGACCACGTTCCTGCTTGGCAGTGTGTGGAGAGTGCCTGGACTTAACGCTTCCTTACGCCTCTGAAAAGTAGAGTGCGAGTGCTGCTGTTTTTGTATGTTGAGCTTTTATTTTACGTTGAAAATGTATGTGGAATTAAGAGCTCTGTCTGTGGTAGTTTTAATTATTTTGAAAGGAATATGAAATCTACTACCAGCGTCTGTTTCATGAATTTAAAATGCAAGGTAAATTTCAAAATAGAAAAATACCTTCGCGGGGCTGGGGGTTTAGCTCAGCGGCATAAGCACCTGCCTTGAAAGCAGGCAGTCGTGAGTTCAATCCCCGGTACCGATACAAAGGAAAAAGACAAAAGAAAAGAAAAAGAGGGGCTGGGGATTTAGCTCAGCGGCATAAGCGCCTGCCTTGCAAGCAGGCAGTCGCGAGTTCGATCCCTGGTACCGATAAAAAAAGAAAAAGACAAAAAAAAAATTAAAAAAAAAAAAAAAAAAGAAAAGAAAAAGAAAAATACCTTTGCACAATTCTAATTGTAGTCTAACCTTTTCTTTTTAAAAATCACCACCACCACGATCAGAAATCGATCTTAAAGAAGCACAAAGATTTTTTGCTCAAAAATTCTCCTGTGGTGCCTCAGTAACGGGGGAGGATGAAATCATCATTCAGGGGGACTTCACAGATGACATCGTTGAGGTCATTCAGGAAAAGTGGCCAGAGGTGACGCGCGGGGCGCATGCACATGGAGCAAGGGTTGTGGTTGGTTGGTTGGTTGGTTGGTTGGTTGGTTTGAATGCCAGCACTCATGATATATAATTGTGTTTGCAGGTGGATGATGACAGCATTGAAGATCTTGGAGAAGTAAAGAAGTGATTATGAAAACTTGTATTTAATGACCTGAACTGAAAGTTGTAAGGCCAATGAGAGAGGCTTTTTAAAAATATATATATTTATCCTGCAGTGAGACTGCAGCCTGCCCTCGTCCTTGGCGTTTTCACTGTTCTGCACAAGGCTGCTTGGTTTTTGTTTTTTGTTTTTATTGCCACAGTGTAATAAACAGGGAAGACTGTCATGCTTATGCATGAGTTAGAATTCAGTAAAATAAACATTTCTGGTCATTTGGTACTTTCTACTTTTTTAAAAAAATTATTTTGGCAAATCACTGCAGGCTTCTTTATTTTGCTGTGCCGGGGATCACACCTGGAGCCCTGTGTGTGCTGGGCAGGTGTCATGCCAGTGACATGTCTCCGCCCCAACACTGCGGGCTGCCTGGCAAGCTATTCTGCTGGATTCTTGCTCCCCAACAGCAGAGCGTTTTTACGAGAATTTTAACTTGGCTTCTTTGCCAGTCAAGTGTCCATTGTCTTGGTGTGACATTGTAAGGTGGGTTAGGCTCACAGATTGTGGTGGAATTTGTTTCATTGTTAACCATAAGTCTGCTGTTACCTAATAACTGCTGTTGGCAGTAGCCCAGGCTGCTCTGAGATGAGGGGTTAAAATAAATAATGCACTGTCAGACCCAGTAAGCTACTCTCTGACTCTATCATGAAGTAATAGTAAGTCTTGCAGAAAATTTATAGATGGGGGTGTTCGTCAAAATGTTACATCAAAAATTGCAAATGGGGGCTGGAGGTTTAGCTCAGCGGCATAAGCGCCTGCCTTGGCAGTCGTGAGTTCGATCTCCGGTACCAATAAAAAGGAAAAAGACAAAAAAAAAAAAATTGCAAATGGTGTGAATGAACGAAGGAAAGATGGTTAGAAAAATGGTTGTACATGATGCATCAGAATATTACGCATATATTTAAAGATTATATTTTCCAAGAATACTTAGAAACATTGTGTCTTAGTTACTTGTCTCATTGCTGAGACAAAATACCCAGCACCTAAAGTTCCAGGAGTAGAGGATTAGTAGGCTCACAATGTCTAGAAGTTCAGTCCATGTCGGCCAGCTCCAAGGCAGTTGGTGTGGCAGAGGGGCATCTCGGAGGAGAAACAGTCCATGGCAGGCCAGAGGCACCAAGTGCCCTTAGCAGCCTTTTTTCTGCCCCTCTTATGTCCTGTCTAGGCCGTTATACTTAGGGTGGGTACCAAACCAATCAGTGCAGATTTAGTAAGCACTCACCCTGAAGTCCAGCCTCACACACTAGATCCAGCCAACTCTGAAAAAGCCCCACCTATGACCGGATAAGGCTTTGGAGGGACATCTGGACAGAGTCCATAACATTGTTTGGTAATGTTAAGTGGAGACAGACTCTAAATTGACTTTTTTTTTTTTTTTTTTTTGAGACAGTCTCACTATGTTGTCCAGGCCAGCCTTGAATTCAAATTTATAATCCTGCTCCCCAGTGCTGGGATTACAGGAATGTGTCTCCACAGCTGCCTTCTAAATCCATTTTACCCTTTTTTTGTTGGTACTGGTACTCAAACTCAGCCTTGCGCTTGGCAGGCAGGCGCTTATACCACTGAGCTGCATCCTCGCCCTTAGACATTGCTTATTCGAGTTCTGAGTGGAAAGCCCCTTGGTAACCTAGAAGTTCTCGTTCTGGCTCTCCATTGTGTATGTAGGAACAAGCAGCATGCTTCCTACACAATCTGAGAAGTAACAGTTAAAACATGCCCTACAGAAGTTTTAAAAAGGAAAAGAAAACACACTTTTTGTTTTTTTTGATACCAGGGATCCAACTCATGACCTCACTCTCACCAGGCAGGCACTTACACAACGCTGAGCTAAACCCTCAGCCCCTACCTTTTCTCTTTTTAAACATGCCTTTCTTACAAGAGAAACAATGATTTTAATGAATACACTGGATAAATTTTGTTCTCCATCGGGTGCTACAAGGTGAAGAGATTTGGGTTTCTAAAAATTGCAGCCTAGTACAGTGGCATGTACCTGTAATCCCAGCTGCTCAGGAGGCTGACTGCCACAGTTATTTAGCCAGCTCCTGTCTCATAATAAAAAAAACTAAAATGAAATGGGCTGAGAATGTGGCTCAGTGACAGGACACTTCCCTAGCATATGTGAGGCCCTGGGTTCAGTCCTCAGCATAGAACCTCCAAATAACCTTCGAAGGACAGGTGCGGAAAAACTATAGAGAACTTTAAATTAGAGCCAGGGCTGGGGAAGGGATAGGAGGGGACAAACTTAGAACATGTGAAATCAATGTTGCCATAAAATACAATGTTAAACACTTAAAAAGTGTCTTAGAAAAATACGAAATAAAGATGTACATTTAACAGTGATACTCTGAAGCCGGGATATAGCTCAGTGGCACAGCGCCTGTCTGGCAAGCACAAGGTCCTAAGTTTGATTGCCGGTACTCCGCCCCCCCTCCCCAAAAAAAGATGCTCTGCATTAACTGAATTTTCCCAGTAGGATCACCTAAGGCAGCAAATTTATTCATCAAGACCATTCACTGCCTGCACTTGGTGGAGCACTGCTGTAGTCCCAGCATTTGGAAACTGAAGCAAAGGAGCAAGTTCAAGGCCAGCATGAAATCCCGTTTCCAAAAGAAAAGAAAATTAGTGTGTGTTACGTGTATGTGTTCTGTTTTTGCTGGTAGATACCTCAAACTGGCTTTAGCCAGTTGAAGCAATGCGTGCCTATAATCCCACCTCCAGCAGGCTGAGGCAGGAGTGTTACAAATTAGAGACCAGCTTGGGCAATATAGTGACGCAGAGCATCTGAAAATAAGAGGACTGGCAGCATGAAGGCCTTGAGTCCAGTGCTCAGTGCTACAAAAAAGAAAACCGTGGGGGGCTGGGATTTAGCTCAGCGGCATAAACACCTGCTTTGCAAGCGCACAGTCATGAGTTCGATCCCCAATAACAGTAAAAAAAAAAATTGATAAACCGTACATGTGGCTTCATGAAGAAAATTTTTTTTTGAGACAGGGTCTCACTGCAGTTCAGGCTGGCCTCGCACTCACTTTGTAGCCCAGGCTGGTCTTGAACTCACAATCCCCCTACCTCAGCCTCCTGAGTGCTGGGATTACAGGTGTGAGCCACCACCCCAGCTGAAAAAATTCTTAAGATTCACAATTCTTGGCAAATGCAGTTTCAGTTCATCTACAGCAGGTGAATGACCCATCAGAATTGTGCCTACAGTTAATGTACATGTGAGTCTTTTTGACTTCAAATTTAAAACGCAGCATTTCAACCTGATTCAGATGTCCCCATTTCATAAACTGACTTTAATTCACATCCTCAGTCTAGTGTTTTTTAAGAAAGTATATTTTTAAGAAAGTATATTGCCTCACTCCGTGTAAGATATTTTTTTTTTTTTTGTCTTTTTCATTTTTATCGGTACTGGGGATTGAACTCACGACCGCCTGCTTACAAGGCAGGTGCTTATGCTGCTGAGCTAAATCCCCAGCCCCTAAGATATTTGCTGATTAAGCTGTCAGTTTGAAATGCAAGTACAATTTTGATACAGTATTTTACTCACTTTTTAAAAAAATGGATGCTGAGAAGCAATTTTAAGCTCTATTTTGGTTATTACATAAAAGTCGCAAGTGAACTGATCATGGCGGCACACACATGTAACCCCAGCATTTGGAAGCTGAAATGGGAATATCATGAGTTCAAGTCCAGCCTGGATTACGTGGCAAGAATGTCTTCGGGGGGGGGAACACCTCAAGTCTGCTATGTTTAAAATACAACCTGTCAACCAGGTGTGGTGGCACCAGCCTATAATCCCAGTACTTGGGAGGCTGAGGCAGGAAGATTGCTGAGTTTTGAGTCCAGCCTGGTTTACAAAGTGAGTTCAGGGGCAGCCTAAACTACATAGTGAGGCCCTCTCAAAAAATAAATAAAATGAATAAATGACCTGTGAATCATGTACTGCAAACATGTACTAATAAAAGTTAAAAGCTAAAAAGTTCATAAATTTGATGAATTCTCTTTTATGTCTTTACTAAATTCCTTTACTTGGGGAGTCAAGGAGTTTGTTTTGAAGGAGCCTGTGAAGTGAACTTAAAGCACTGAGATTTTTAATTTGCACTCAGTTGTCTTCCTCTTGCCATGTTCACTTACTGTTACTCCTAATCTCTACTGTCCACTGCACACCCTTCCTGTGTTAGGCCTCTGACTTGACTGCCTGGTGAACTGTGGTGTTTGTTTCATGGCCTCTCTGCTGCCAGGACTTGTGCAGTCAAGTATTGAGAAGCTGATTTGGTGATGGTTTTAGCCATTTATTTTTTTGCAATATTGGGATTGAATCCACTGCCTTGTGCATGCTAGACAAGGGCTCTACCACTGAGCTACACTCCCAGTCCTTTCCAAATTTTGACAGAAGGTCTTGCTAAACTGCCTGTTAACCTCAAATTTGGGTTCCTGCCTCAGCATCTCGAATAATGGATTTGTGGGTGTATTTTTCATGATAAAAGCCTGAATGGCTGTTCTGTTTTTGAGGAACATGGGAATTGAGGCACCCTATAGAGCATGGAGCTACATCCCCATCCCACTCTCCTTAACTGTTTTTTGTCTTTTTGAGGGTCTCACCTTTTGTGTGTGTGTGTGTGGGGGGGTGGTACTGGGGATCAAACTCACAACTTTGCACTTGCCAGGAAAGTGCATAAACTGCTGACCTAAATCTACAGCCCTCAGGGTCTCACTTTTGCTTCTTATTTTGAGACAGGGTCTTGTTTTGTCCTTAGGTTGTTCATGCTGGTTTTAAACTAGCAATCCTGCCTCAGGCTCTGGAGTGCTGGGATTATAGGTATGCCCCACTCTGCCTGACAGGCAAGCTGTCTTTAACAACTGGTCAGAACGTGCTTCCTTGGTTTTAATTTCTAAGATGCTGTTTTGATTCTTCTAAACTAAGGAAGCAAATGTCACTCAAGCCAGCAGAGATTCAAGGCAAGATAGCTTAATTTTGTTTTCCCATTTTCCAACACAAGGATAATGTGCATGCTAATTCATTTTCAGCCAGAAAGGAACCCAAATACTTTCGGTGCCTGGCCTTTCCTCTGATCCTGTCTGATGGGTTAAGCGTTAGGCAGTGGATCTCCAGGGGTTCAATGTGATCAGCAACTTCTCCCCCCACCCAGTTCCTTTCCTGCTTAAGGAGAGGAAAGGGGAAAAAGAGGAGACTGTGAAACGGGTAAACGGCTTAATTCAACTCAATATATGGTCTGTCTTGTCGCGAGAAAGGGCCACGGTTCTCACTACCGATCAAGAGCAAAATCCAGGCTTCTGGTCTAGGGTGGCCGGGACTCCGCATCTGGTGCACTCATCCACCTATCCCAGTGCCAGGTGCCTCTCTCGGGGCTCGGGGCTCGGGGCTCGGGGCTCGGTGTGCCGGTAGGCGACAGGGCTAAACTCGGTGAAGACAGGTCGGCGGAAGAAGTGAGTGTCTTAAGTCATTAGGACTTAGCATGTAAGGCCCTGGGTTCCAGGGGACCGACGAACAATCTTTAACTTGATTCACTTTCACTGGGTGATGGGAAGAACTGCGCCTGTGCACAGCCGCGTGGAGCCGCATTACTGTAAGCACAGCACTCTGGAAAGCTGAGGCAGGAAGACTGCTACCTGAGCCCGATGTGTGCAGATTAGCACACACTCAGATTAGCGACACGCTCAGAATTTTAAACATAAAGGAGTTGGAGTTGTAATTCAGATCTGAGGGCCCTGGATTCGATCTCTAGTTCGTAAAACTGGTCCTTGGTGGTCTCGTCAAAGCCGAAGCCGGAACCTCGCGCGATCCCGGAGGTGGCAGCACAGAACCACGGAGTATGATCCCTTCGCGTCGCCGTAGGCGCGGCTGGCGGTTAAGCGCGCACGCGCTGCGGCGAGGCCTCCGCGCTGGGCTCGTCCCGCCACTTCGCCGGTGCCAGGCACGCCCATGGCGTTTTTGAGGTGACGCTGCGACAGCGACTCCCGGCGGGCGGAGGCAACACCTATGAACCCTTCGGCGGCTTTCCTCGCCCGGCGCCAGGTGTGCTTGGGCGGGGGCGACGAATCGCTGGGAAAGCCGTGTGGGTGGGCCGAGGTCCAGGTTGCCGCCCACTTCCGGTTCGCTTCCGAAACGCTCGGTGCGGGCAGCGGCGGAACCTAGGCTCTGGGTCCGCCTTGGGGCCCAGGGGGACGTTTTTGACAGTGACAGTTGCACCGTAGCGCTGCGTCTCCGGGTCCCCTCGCGTGATGTCCCTCGGAATCTTTTTTTTTTTTTGAACCTTGTTTTTTAACTCCATCGAAATAAGTCTCTAAAGTCACCTTGCCCAGCATCTGCTTTGGTCAGGATAGGGGTGAATGAACGCTCGTGTCTGTTACTGTTTTTTGAAACGAGGGTCTGTGTCCCAGGCTGGTCTCGAACTTGTGACCCTCCTGCTTAAGCCTCCCAAAGGCCAGGATTACAGATGTGTGCCAACACGCCCTGCTAAAATGAACACTTTTTGTATATTCGGCTTATTGTTTGTTGATAATTATTGCTTATCTCGCACACGGCTGTGTCCCCAGCCAATGGTGCTCAATAAATACATATAGGATGAATGAATGGCTAACTAGAATTCAAGTCTTGTGGAGTCCCCTGAGTTCAAATTACATTTTCTGAGTTTAATTGCTAATAAACAATTATAATTCACTTATCACTATCTATGTCTGTATCTGCCTATAACTTATCTTCGTTTGTTTGGGGTTTTTGTTTTTGGGGGGGGGATGTTTTTCCCTTTTTTTTTCTGCATTCCCCCATCTCAGTTTATCTTTTTTGAGACAGAGTCTTCCTATGTAGCCCAGGCCAGCCTAGAGAACTTTGTGTAGTCCCAGCAGGACTTGGAATTTTGGTCTGCTTGGATCTTACAGGCGTGTGTGGCACTGCACTCTGTGCTATTTGCAAATCTTGTTTTTCAAAAAGCAGTAGTATTCGTAGCAATCTGGGAGGCTGAGGCAAAAAGATCCCAAATCCAAGCCCAGGCTGGGCAATTTACCAATTCATGGAGATCCTGATTTTTAAAAATAGCAATAAGGATGTTCACGGGCCTTTGGTGGACATTTAACTTCTGGCTTTTAAGACAGAACTCATAAAGTAACACTTCATGGATGGGAACAATGTCATAAATCAATAGCATCATAATTCAAAATGTATTTCATTTGCTTATGTTTGTGATTACTGCATGCCAGGCACTGTATTAAGTGTTTTACTGAGCTGCTCTGTCTTGAGTCAATCAATTTTAAGATGTTCAGCTGTTCCAAAAAAATAAAGATGTTAAGATGTTAAGCTGGTCTACATTTTACAGGTGAGTAAGCTAAGGGTTACAGAAGTAACTTGCCTACAGTCACATAGTCACTAAAAATCTACATCTAGAGCTACACTTTGCAAAGACAAACTTCAGTGCACTAGATTTTAAAATGTGTGCTTGCTGAGCGTGATGGCACATGCCTATAATCCCAGCACTTGGGAGGCCGAGGCAGAAGGATCACTGTGAGTTCAAGGCCAGCCTGGGCTACATAGTGAAACCCTGTCTCAAAAAGAAAAAATAAATAAATAAAATGATGTATGTGTAAAAGCAATTACTGGTAACCCAGCCTGGTGGCACATGTCAGTAATCCCAGCACTCTGAGGAGCTGAAGCAGTATTCTAAACTTTGTCCTGAGCAATTCTTTCTTTTGGGGGGGCACAGGCGACTATTTCTAAAAAAAAAAAAACAAAAAAACAGCAGAGGCTATAGCCTATGGTAAAGCTGAATTCAATCTCAGCAATGCTTAAAGAGATAGAGACAGAGATTATTGTAGAAAACATTATTAGGTAAGGCCAGGGACAGTGCCAACACCTGTAATCCCAGCAGTCAGAAAGATGAGACAAGAGGAGTGCTGTGAGTTTGAGACCATCCTGAACTATATAGCAAGGTCCTGTCTCAAAAGAATATTGTTAGGTATGAAAATGACATTGTAAGGCTGGGGATTCAGCTCAGTGGCATAAGCGACTGACTGGCAAGTGTGAGGTTGTGAGTTTGATCCCCAGTACCACAAAAAAAATCACATCGTGACTATATAGGGAATGTTCATTTTTAGATATGTATATGGGAATATGGGAGCATATAAGGAGAAATGATGTATTATAAATAATGAAAAAGAAAATTGAAAGAGATATTTAGAAAAAAAATTTTTTTTGGTGGTACTGGGAATTAAACTCAGGGCCTTACACATGCTGGGCAAGTGCTCTCCCACTGAGCTGCATCCCTAGCCCTTTTTAAGTTTTTTATTTTGAAGCAGGTTGTCAGGCTGAGATCAAACTTGCAGTGCTCCTGCCTCAGCCTGGAAGAGTGCTGGGATTACAGGCATGGCCACCACATGCAGCTACAAAATTTGTTACTGAGTTTGGATCAGTAACAATATTAAATTTTTTTGGTAGACTGAATGTATGTTGATGTGCCAGATATAGTTGAAATAAATATTTAGGATCTAATTCTTTGTAGACTAAAATTTCCATTCTTTGGTAAAAATGATTTACCTCTAAACAGTATTTCATGTTTGTCTTTACCCTTTTACTCCACAGCTGCTGGCATAGGCTCTGGGGACATAGATGAGCAGCATAGAGCACAGGCTTAGCATGCCCCAGGCCTTAGATTCAGTCTCACACCACATAATAAAGTCAGCTAGGGCACAGTGGGAAATAACATTGTTTTTTGTTTTTTGGTTTTTTTGGTCTTTTCCTATCGGTACCAGGAATTAAACCCACAACTGCGTGCTTGCAAGGCCGACACTTATGCCACTGAGCTAAATCCTCAGCCCTGAAATAACATTGTTGATTGATAGCAAAGGTAGGAAAAAAGCAGAAATTTTTGTTTGTGATTTACCACTGAAAATTTTAAAGTCTTACTGGTTTTTGTTTTGTTGGTTTTTTCTGCTTTTTTTTTTTTTTTTTAATCGGTACCAGGGATCGAACTCACGACCGCCTGCTTGCAAGGCAGGTGCTTATGCAGCTAAATCCCCAACCCCTGTTGTTTTTTTCTTAAACAGGATCTCACATAGTTCAAACTGAACTCACTATATAGCCCAAGCTGGCTGAAAGTTAGCGATCCTCCTGCCCCAGCCTTCCCAGTGCTGGGATCACAGTAGTGTGCCCCCACACCCAGTTTAGAAACACATATCTAACTTTTTTTTAAGAATTGTATGTGGTATGACTGGAAGTGAGAGAGGCAGAGTACATGCTAGGTCTGAACATTCATCATACGTAATTTGACACATTAACAAATTTATACATTAACAGTAATAATATTTAACTCTAGAATGGGCAGTAAAAGAATGTAATTATTTGGAAAATCTACTTTGGCTGGTTAACATTACTGAGTTTTCTTTTCATGAAAAACCACTTTCTCATGTTTAGAACATCGGGTCAGAAGGTGAGAATTCCACCATCGAGAAACAGCGCAAGGAGCTGCAGCTGCTCATTGGAGAATTAAAAGACCGGGATAAAGAGCTCAATGACATGGTGGCGGTGCATCAGAGGCAGCTGCTCTCTTGGGAGGAGGACCGGCAGAAAGTGCTGACTCTGGAGGAGCGGTGCAGCAAGCTGGAAGGTCAGAAACACGCCCGGCAGCAGGGGGCGCCCTTCTCAGCGCCTGCCTGTTGGGAGAGGAGGGGCTCGGGAAGGTGCGGGAGGAGTCTGAGCCCACGCCCTGTTGCGCTGGAGAGAGAACCCTCCTGACAGCCAACAGCCGTGTTGAACAGACACAGGGAAAGGAGCTGCACGGAACACCTTGCTTCAAGGGCGACTCTAGAGAAGAAAAAAGATACCTTGCGACTGACAGCGTTTCTCTTGAGCTGAGGAAGTGGAAACTTTTGGTGTTGCACTTGAGCCTAAGTACCTACCACCGCTGTCTTTAACTGGTAGCATTCGCAAACACAGCTTGCATGCATTTTGCTTTGTGCCGTATTTTAATTTTGTCACCGTTTTAGTGCTGCCCTCTATTTCAGTGTCCCATTGATACTAGATTATTACTAGAATATGCTAGAGTGGAATACACTAGGTCTTCTTAACAGTCATGTAGCATCTTTTTTAAAACTTTTATTTCATAAAGGTGATGCAAGTAAATATGACATACAATTTTTCCCTTTCTTTGATGACCATCTGATTTTTACTCTTGAGCATACCCACATTCACTCAAAAATACAGTGTTTAAAATAATTGCTAGAAAAGAGAAATAAGGTGGGTATGGTAGCACAGCCCTGTAATCCTAGCACTCAGGGAGTCTGAAATAGGATCTCAAGTTTGAGTCCAGTCCAGACAACTCTGTTAGGAAGACCTATTTCAAAATTAAAAATTTTAGGGGCTGGGGATTTAGCTCAGCGGCATAAGCATCTGCCTTGCAAGCGTGTGGTCATGAGTTTGATCTCTGGTACCAATAAAAAAAAATTAAAAGTTTTGAAAAGGCCTGGAAATGTAGCTCAGTGCAAAGACCCTGAGTTCAGCCTCTGGCACCATAAGGAGGTAGGAGGATAGATACACACATGCACACACACAGATAAAATGAGAAAGACGTAAATAGACACTTCATGGAAAAGAAAATTAAATGACCAATAAATATATTAAGAACTTTTCCTTAGTAATTAGGGAAATGCAAATTAAAACCATAGTGAAACTCATTTTACATTTACCAGACTGGTAAAAATTACCAGATGTTGGTAAAGAAACCAAAACGCCCTTGCTGTTTCTGATCTTGGAAGCTACGTGGGTTGGCATTGTTAGTTCCTGGATGTAGGGACCAGGGCCCCAGGGAAGGCTTGGATATAGCAGGAGGAGTCACTTGGCCCAGCTCCTTGGGCAGTGGTTTCAGTGTCTAGCAAGGCTGAAGAGACACAGACCCTACGAGGGGTGTCCCAGCTGTGACCCAGTCATTCCACTTCTGCAGACTCACTCTCTGATGTGTAGTGAACTGCCTGAGGACCTAACCAAGGTGGCGATTGGAGTTTAGCTTAGTGGTAAGGTGTGTTGAGTGGCATTTTTGGTTTTTTTGGTTTGTTTTTTGAAACAGAGTCTCCCTATGTAGCCCAGGTGATCCTCGTGCCTCAGCCTCCTAAGTGCTGGAATTATAGGCATGCACTGCCACACCTGACCATGCTTAGCTTTTTTTTTTTTTTTTGAGTCATATCTCACTATGTAATCCAGGAAGGCTCCAATTCACAGTGATCCTCCTACCTCAGCCTCCTATGGGCTGGGATTATAGGCATATGCCACCACAATGCCATGCTTGGCATTTTTGAGGCTCTGAGTTCAGTTCTTGGCATAAACAACAACCTGATACAATAGGTTTAAGGCCCAAAAGTCTCACTTTCTAGCGAATTCCCCAGTGACACCATGACTGCTGGCTCAAAGATCTTTTTTTTGTTGTTGTCTTTTTCCTTTTTATTGGTACTGGGGATCGAACTCACGACTGCCTGCTTTCAAGGCAGGTGCTTATGCCGCTGAGCTAAATCCCCAGCCCTCAAAGATCATATTTTAAGTAGCAGTGTTGTAGAGAAACTTGGAACTCTGCACCAAGGGCCATACAAAAAGATTTATAGCAGCATTACCTGTAGTAGCTGTGCAGTATAAATAACCCTCAGTAATAGAATGGGTAAATTATAGTCATTCAGAGGACTCATGGCCATGTTAAGGGCAAACACAAGTTACACACGACAGTGTGGGTGAATTGAGGATCTTAATCTTAAAGGAAAGGAGTAGAGGAACCATACAGCATGCCTCCATCTATATATGCTTCAAATTAAACTCTATTTTAAGAACAGTCACCGGTAGTAGAACAATAACACAAAGCAAGGAAATGCCGGTGACCGGGGTGGGGCTGGGAAACAGACCCGGGAGGGCTGTGTTCAGCATGCAGTGCCCAGGGCCTTCAGGGTGCCCGCCAGGGTTGCTTCTGTCCTTTCCCATGGAATTGTACATTTCAATGGAAAACATGTTAAAAGAATTTGTCTTCTAAAAATTCTTCAGCACACTCTTTACTTTTTTGACCCATGACTTTGAAAATACTGTATTGCAAGCTTCAAATCCAACCACAAACAAGTTGGTGAAATTTCCCGCAGGTGAGCTGCATAAAAGAACAGAAATAATCAGGTCGCTCATGAAGAAGGTCAAAGTCCTGGAGTCCAATCAGATGGAGTGTCAGGCCACACTGCAGAAGACGCAGCTCCAGCTCCAGGAGATGGCGCAGAAGGCGACACACTCGTCCCTCCTCTCTGAAGACCTTGAGGTTGGTTTTATTTTCTGAGAGGTTTCACCGGCCCACGTTATTAAAAACTGAGGATTCATTGCAGGCATGGTGGCACATGCCAGTCATCCCAGCATTTAGGAGGCAGAGGCAGAAGGATCACCGTGAGTTTGAGGCCAGCCTACGCTCATAATGAGAGCCTGTTAAAAAAAACAAACAAAGTAGGATTCAGATATTTTCATTAAAAATACATGTGAAAGTGTTAGAGAGAGTGTGTGTGTATGTGTGTGTGTGAGTGTGACAGTGCACACATCCATTCAGCTTTGATTCGTCCTACTGTTGGGGAAACTGCGCGTCACTGCCCTGTTCTGGAGTTCAAGCCTCCTTGGAGCCCTTGCTTAGCTGTTTTGCCATTTGGTTGAGGAGCTTCCTAGCGTTTTACTGGTGATGGATGACTATGCAGAACCTTTTCAGGTCTCATGTGAGCATCATCAGTTTCGGTAGCTTCAAATTCTGAGTCTTAGCTGACACGATAAACATATTGGATAGGAACAGCATATTGGGAGTAAAATTTATAAATCTGACCTTTCAGTTTTGTATTCTAAGGTCTGTGTGTATATTTCTTTTTGTTTAGTTTTGTTTTACGAGACCAGGTCTTACTATGTAGCCCAGGCTGTCCTGAAACTCATGATGATCATCCTGCCCCAGGTTTCTCAGTGCTGGGTGTGGCACCACGCCCAGCTGTCATGCATTTTTAAAAAATCTCATTGATTGTGAGAGGCCCAGAGAAAAGCCAGTTTGGCCTTGTTAGGTGCTTCATATAATTGTTTCTCCATGTTACTCAGTGTAGGTCTTGGTATTATAATGAGTCTTACTAATCTATATTAAGAAAATAGAGCTCCTTTTATGTCCCTTTTCTAGAATACTATTCTAGAATAGTTTCCAGCGATAAAATAATAAACTATTGTAGCATCTACTGATATGTTGGATGAAAGGAGGCATCTTTTAAAATTTTTTTCCCTGATATTGGGAATCGAACTCAGGACCTTATGCTTACCAGGCAGTGATTGTGCTGCTGAGCTATATCCCTGGCCCAGCACCTTTTAATAAGCCAACTGTTTGTAGAATGGTTTTAGGTTCATGACAAGGTCCAGTGGGCAGTACAGGGTGTTCACATAGGTGCCCCGTGCCCTGCACACATGCCTCCCTTCCCCTGACCTCCACACCACAGTGCATGTGCTTAGAGTTCCTGAACCTACTTAGACACATCAGCTTAGGTAAGGGCTTACTCCGTGTGTTCCCCTTGTGTGGGATTGGGGTCAGTGCCTAACAGTATGTGTCCATAGCCCACTGTGAAGTCTTCTTTCAGTGGAGGATTTTGTTTTGCTTTGTTTTTCTCTTTTTGTGACAGAGTTTTGCTATGTGGTGCCACCTGGCCTTGAACTCACTTTCAAGTAATCCTCCTGCCGCAGCCTTCCACGTGCTGGGATTACGGACATGCACCACCATGCCAAGCCTTCAACAGAGTTAAAAATGATGCACAGAATTCATTAATGCTACTTTATTTCATGGGTGGAAATTTCTTAATACCTACTCAGATTCATTCATCATCTTCCTTCTAAAATTATACATAATTATATATTACAAAATTATATGTAACAACCTAAAATTATATGGTTACACATATACAACCTAACATTATACATCAAAATATTAGGGAATGGGCATGTTTACAGACGGAACTAATAAAATCCAGTAGCCAAGACTGAAAGGATAGAGTTCATGCAGATATTTGCTTACCTTTTGGATGCCTACTGAGCCCACTTGGACCCTTCAAAGAGTTAAATGAAAATAACTGAACAGTGAGTGCAGACTGGCTGGTGACAGAAACAAAAGCTTTCGAAAGACTCAATTAGTTTTTCTGTGTTGTTCCCTTGTAGGCTAGAAACGAGAACCTCAGCAACACGTTAGTGGAACTTTCTGCTCAGGTGGGACAGTTACAAGCTAGAGAGCAGGCTCTCACGACAATGATAAGGCTCAAGGTAATTCAGAATGGTGACACCTCGCTCGCTCGCTAGAGCTTGCAAAGTGCGTTCACACACATCATCCTGCCGGAACGTTTTGGCACCCCAGAAACACGGAGCTGCCAAGGTTGATGTCCTTTTTTGTTTTGTTTTGTTTTGTCTTTTTCATTTTTATCGGTCCTGGGGATCAAACTCACGACCGCCTGCTTGCAAGGCAGGTGCTTATGCCGCTGAGCTAAATCCCCAGCCCCGGTCGATGTCCTTTTTAAGGACTGCTTTAGAAATTAGAAACAAGTCACATGCCGTCCCCAAAGCATCGGAGCCAGGAAGCAGGGCCCACTGCGGCTTCTGCCTCCAGGGCCCACGCCTTGGCTGGCGTGCCTGAACCGGCTGCCCTCCTTCCCTTGCAGTCACACTGCTTCTTAATTCTTTGTGTGTTTTTTTTGTCTTTTTGCGACAGGGTCTCACTATGCAGTTCAGGCTGGCCTTGAGCTCACTGTGTAGCCCAGGCTGGTCTCAAACTTGCAGTGATCCTGCCTCAGTCTCCTGTGTGCTGGGATTACAGGCCTGCACCACCACTCCCAGCTGTTGCTTGTTAATTCTTTTCAAAGCACAAGATGAAAAACTGTTAGCAAGCAAGCAGCTGACACTGTCACCAACATTGAGCTCTGTGCCTTTCAGGTCCAGGGATCCTCTGTTTCGTCTGCTGTGGCATGCGTGTCTGACAGTTGGTAGACAGGAACGATGTTGGTGTCACAGAAAACTCTTGTAGCTTCCCCCAAGACACTAATGTTTTGATGTCATGGGCAAGTTCTCTTTCATTAATAGAGAAAAATACTAAAATCTACAGAATTCACCTCAGTTAAATAGTGGTCACTTTAGTGGCCTTAGCAACTGCCTTGTTGTCCACAGCAGTGGACTGTGACAGGGCTGTGAGTACTGAGGAAGATGTGGAAGCACTGCCCTCTGGGATGTGGCCCGGATGGCACAAAACAGTCAGGTTCCTTTTTTGTGTGCGTGGTGCTGGGGAAAGAACCTGCCTTGTCCATGCAAGGCAAGAGCTCTGCTGCTGAGCCACATCCTAGCCCCTCTCTGGATGCTCTTGGCAGAGGAAGAAGCAGAGACCACATGGTTCAGGCTGATGGGGACAGAGTGACAGCCATGTGCGTCCACTGGCGTGGACTTCACTGTGCTTGAGTGTTTATTAGGTTGTTGTTTGCCGCTGGCCTCCTCAATCACGTCCGTTGGTTTTGAATAGATTTTCCCAGCCCTACCGTCCCCAGAAGCTTCTCTAGTGTGAGCTGTGGACTGAAGTTTCCAGAACGCATACCTGATGCCACAGCACTAATGCCCTCTCGGGGGAAACTTGTTAATAATAGTTTCTCCATGTCACTGGAGGAGGATTGTGCTTGTTTTCATTTTTTGAGACAGTGTCATTATACAGTTGAGGCTGCCCCTGAACTCACTCAGGAGGCTGAGGCAGGAGGATTGTTGTAAGTTTAAGACCACCAGCCTGAGCTACAAAGTGAGCTCAAGGCCAGCCTGAACTGCATAGTGAAACTCAAAAAGACATGCACAATAAATAAATAAATGTAATCTTTTACTGGTTGGCTGGGATTTTAAAATCTAGCATAACCTTCTCAAACTTGATTTTTAGGACAAGGATATTATTGAGGCGGTCAGTCACATCGCAGACTGCTCGGGGAAATTTAAGCTGCTAGAGCATGCTTTGCGTGATGCTAAGATGGTGGAGAACTCTATCGTGAAGGAAAAGCAGGATTATAAGCAGAAACTGAAGGCACTCAAAGTTGAAGTCACTAAGCTGAAAGGTAAGAAAGAGGCTCAAGTTAGTGTTAGAGATTGTACTCGGGAGGCTAAAGCAGGAGCATTGCAAATCCAAGGTCAGCCCAGGACACTAGCAAGACTCTGTCTCAAAAAACAAAAACAAACAAAAGTAGTGTGTCACCTTGGAAATCGATTTCTTTATTTGTATTCACTTAATCTTATAATTGAGAGTATTTCTAGTCTTTGCCTTAGGTCCTAACATGAAATATTGGTTTCATTTATACAGAATTAGGCTGCAGTTTTTGTGCTCAGAGGTGGAATAAACTGAATAATGCATCACATTTTTAAAATAATTACTGGGCATCGTGGCACACGTCTGTAATCCCAGCACTCAGGAGGCTGAGGCAGAAGGATCTCATGAAGAGAGTTCAAGGCCAGGCTGGGTTATATAGTGAGACCCTCTCTCTAAAGCAAAAACAGAAAAGCAACAACAAGAGCAAGAACAAAAAACCCTGCCTTTGTTCAGGTGTCTGTGCCAGCAAGAGCTTCAGCACAGCCAGGTCTCAGCATGGACCTAGCCTCACTTCTCCTCTGCTCCCCAGAGGCCAGCCAGGCGTCTCTTCAGGGGAAGGCACAAACAGAAGAGAACCAGCAGATCCATGAGGCCTCTTAAATTCACTCCTGAGTAGCCGGGCACAGTGACTCAGACCTGTAATCCCAGCTCTCAGGAGGCTGAGGCAGGAAGATTACTGCTAGTCCAGGTGACACAGTGAGGAGGCCCTGTTTCAGAAAGCAAAAAACATTCAGGACAGGACTTGACACACTGTCACCTCTGTCTGCTGTCAGCTGCGTTAGCCGCGCGGCTGAATCTAGACACCAGTGGTGGCGGGGGGTTTCGGTGCCGTGTGAGGGGCTGCATGTTTCACTCCGCAGACTCCCTTTGGGTTCTTCTCTGTTTTCACTCTCCCGGCAGTGCCATGGTCCACCCCTTTCTGCTTACCTTATTCTTGAAGTTTTGCGGTAGAATGAGACAAGGCATGCCACACGCCTTGGGTTGTGTTTGGATTTCTCCGCACAGTGTTGTCTTCAAATGTGGATCCAGGCGGGCTGTGATGTAAACAGCAGTGAAGGGTGGAGGTGTGCCCGTATTCCCTGCACTTCTGCAGTGGGCAGGATGCTGTGAGCAGCAGAATAAGCAGTTGGGCGGCGAGCTACCATTTTAGTCTTAAATCTGTACACACAGTGTCATACTGAGCAGCGAATAGTCCCAGTCCTTTTAGTATACATTTCAAGGCAGGCTAGGGTCAAACCGTCCTCCGTCAGCCTTCCAGAGTGCTGAGATTTCAGGCATATACCACCATCCTTAATCACAGTGAGTTTTCATCTTTTGTAAGTGGCTCCTGCACTAGCAGGCAGGACCAATTCCGCGTGGAACGAGCCGCCTTAGAGGCGGTGACAGACCACAGCCTGAGGATGTTGTCCTTGGCTTGTCCAGGGTGCCTCATCTCGTGAGACAGTGGCTTAGTCCTCCCAGGCGTCTGCAAGCCAGGGGTTGGCGTGAAGGGGATGCCTGCATCTTGAGCTAGAGGACCTTTTACATTTGCCCAACTAAAAAAACACCGAAATTACGAAATTGGATGACTTAGTAGAAGAGACTCCATTCTGAACTCCTGACGCTGAGGTTCCCTAACCCATTTTAAGTGCAGGTATGGCTTCAGCTGAAACTGGAATCATGTCCTGAGCCCGTGGACCCCCCCCTTCCCCCCCAATGTGGATCAGCATCACTAGTGCCGAGCTGGGCCATGCCCTGCAGGCTGCCCGGGTGGGGGACTGGAGTAAAAGAAGCCAGCTGTGTCAGTGTAGGTATGAGTGTTTCCTCAAGTTCGATGTTTATTAAAAGCATTTTTAAAGAAGGGAAGCGGGAGGGTAAAGGCAGGTGAACTGAGAGCAGGGGAGAAAGGCTTGTTTGGCAGGGGTGGCTGGGAAGGCCAGGTGGAAACACCAGAGCCGAAGTGGACACGGGTAGAAGCGCTGCGGGAGGCCTGGGCCCGGCCCTTCCAGGCAGTAGGAGCAGCAGGAGCAGGGCGCTGGGGTGAGGGGCTGGGGCTGGGGCCTTGCCGGGGCTTTGTGGTGATACAGACAGCCCTCTGGGAGCACTGGGTGAGCAGAGGCTCGGTGCAGGCTCAGAGGGCCCAGGTGAGAGGGCTCAGCCCCGAGATGTCCCTCCTTCACAGCCCCGTCCAAACTCAGAGTGGCCCTGTACTTCAGGGGGCCAGCCATCAACCCGGGTTCCACAGCCACTTCTTCAGTTTCCATCAGAGTGGCCTCCAATTCAGGGAGCAGTTTCCGAGCCTGTCCCCTTTTTTTGGATGTTATGAAGGAGCACAGGTGGGAGAGGGAGCTTCCCTGCACAGGCCCTATATTCTCTGGGGCACCCACAGACACCCCGGCATTCAGCAGGCCAGACCCCTCAGGCCAGGGTGGAGCTCCAGGCAGCCCTCCCTGCTGCAGGTCAGGTCTCCTTGGTGACCAGCCCATGCTGAGGCTGCTCAGGACTCCATCCCTGACACCTCATTAGCATTGACTCTAGAGTGACCCAGAGGGGCTCTGACCGAGTGACATTTGGGAACAGAGAGGGTCACAGGACAGAAGAATAGAAGGGGCCTGGGGGGCAGGGCAGGGCCAGGGGCTGCTGGCAAGTTTGGGTGTCCTCCAGGGTGCAGCGGTAGAGCTTCCCACAGAGAAGCGGCAGGAGCAGCTTTTACTCTTTTTTGGGGGTGGGGTCCGGTCCTTTTTTTTTTTTTGGGACAGGGTTTCACTGTATGGTTCAGGCTGCCTCAAACTTACAGCGATCCTCCTGCCTCTGCCTCCTGAGTGCTGGGATTACAGGCGTGCATCACCACACCCGGCTAGGAGCAGCTTTTATTCTTTTTTTTTTTGTCTTTTTTGTTTTTATCGGTACCAGGGATCGAACTCACGACTGCCTGCTTGCAAGGCAGGCGCTTATGCCGCTGAGCTAAATCCCCAGCCCCTCAGCTTTTATTCTTAAAGATTCTCATGTCCCCTGTGCCTCAGTGGGAGAGACAGTGCCAGGGCTGAGGCCACGACCAGCTGTGGGCACAGACCCAGGGGGACTCTGAGAGTCTTGGACTGCAGTGCGGAGCACCCAGTGTCCCTGCCGGAAACCAGTACTTACTCGAGGCCTTTCCCCCCTCTGGTGGTGAAGAGGACCTGAACGAAAAGACGACAGAAAACAACGAACAGCGGGAGGAGATCATTCGCCTCAAGCAAGAGAAGAACTGTCTGCATGATGAGTTGGTCTTCACTGGTAAAAATAATTAGGTTAAGTGATAGATGAACATGTTCATGCGCTGCCTCTGATGCAGTGTGACCGGCGAAGGGGACACCCTCTGAAAATGGGGTGGTGGCTTTTAAAACCGCCCTTGGAGGGACTGGTGAGGAGCCAGGCCCAGAATTTAAAGCCACACCAAACCCCCTCCTCCTAGGAAGAGCTTAAGTTCCCTCAAATTAAAGAGGAAACACACTGTCCCACTAAGACTTGTCATTCTGGCCCGTGCGCAGGCTGGGCCGGAGTACAGGTTCTGGCCACGTGAGGGCAGCAGAGGGCAGCGTTCGGCCGCCTTGGGTCACCGGTCTGGGCACTCTGGGTGTGTGTGGCATTCAGTCCCGGCACAGGGTTTGTGTGCCCGGCACGCAGGCCCACAGAGCAGTTTTGTTCTGTGTCTTCTGAGAAGAGGCCGCTCACATTGTCTTCCCGAGGAGCTGGAAGGACAGGTACTCCCCACCTCCTGCCAGGTTTCCTCTCTCATTACACTGTACAGCGGCCCAGTGCCTGCAGGCAAGCGGAACAGACTGAGTCCACTTCCTGCAGTTCCAGGCAATGCCACTGTGCCTAGCTGTGTGTGTTTTAATTATGAGTGAATTAGGTAAAAAAGAAAAGAAAAAAAGGCTGAACCTAATATGTTCTCAGGTGCTATGGTTAAAAGTTGACACATTTTATTTGACATTAAAAGCTGAGGCGGGGGGGGGCGGTTAGCTCAGCAGCATAAGTGCCTGCTTGGCAAATGTGAGAATTGAGGTCATGAGTTTGAGCCCCAGCACCAAAAAAAAAAAAAAAAGCTGGGCTGGGGATTTAATGACCTAAGTGCCTGCCTGGCAAGTGCAAAGTCATGAGTTTGCTCTCTGGTACCCCCCAAAAAATAAGTTAAAAGCTATCTTAAAATTTTACTTCTTTTTTTTGAGACAGGGTTCTGGTACACAGTTCAGGCCTCAAGCTCACTTGGTAGCCCAGGCTGGCCTTGAAGCTAAGCAGTCCTGCCTCAGTCCCGACAAGTGCTGGGATTACAGACATGCAACCACCACCCCTGGCTATTTTTTTTTTTTTTTTTTTTTGTCTTTTTCATTTTTATCGGTACCAGGGATCGAACTCACGACCGCCTTCTTGCAAAGCAGGTGCTTATGCCGCTGAACTAAATCCCCAGCCCCGGCCATTTTATTTTTAAATTCAAGACTTTTTACCTTCCACCACAGTTTTGCAGGCACAGTTCACCTGTTTGCACACAGCACTCCTAAGGAGGCTTTGAAGGGAAGGGTTTCCAAGATGTGGGCAGCCTTGTGATGAGGGCCCCTCAGGAGGAGGCCTCGCCCCAGCCTCTCAGCCACACTCTGACTATGGTCCCCTTCCACTGGGCTCTGGTGCCGTGTGCCCTCGGCCCAGCTGTGCACATAGCAGACTCTGCACTCAGCACTGAGCTCACGGAGAAGGGTGATGGACTTGGAAGGTGGGGTATGTACAGAGGAGCTGCCTCAAACAGCTTTATTACTCTAAAACCAGAGATAAGGCAAAATTTAATAGATCTCCAACCCCCCAAAATACTTGGTTTGGCAGGGTGTGGCCATGCACACCTGCAACGCTGGCACCCTGCGAGGCTGAGGCAGGAGGAACACAAGTTTGAGCACAGCCTGAGCATAGTGAGACTCTGTCTCAAAACTCAAAAAAGAGGAGCAGGAGCTGGGCCTGGTGGCACCCACCTATTATCCCTGGATTCAGGAGGCTGAGGCAGGAGTGCTGGGAGTTCAAGGCCAGCCTGAACTATCCTGTGAGACTGTGTCTCAGAAAACAAAAACAAAAATCATCCAGAGAAAAGAGCATGAACTGAGAATGTAGTTTGGTGTGAAGGCCCTAGGTCCACTCCTCAGTACCAAAAATAAAATGTGGGCTTTTTTGTTTAGGGTCATGCTGTATTCAAAATGAGTATCTATGCTGGATGCAGTGTAAGTCAAATGATTTTCTCTTAAGTATAACATTAATACATGCTCTGGTACAGCCCCGAAGATGTCTTTTTTCTGGAAAGTTCTTTCTTGTGGTGATAGCGGTGCTGGCGCTGCTGGGCTTGTTGCTCACCCCGGCCCCTAAGAGCAACTTCTTCATACTTGGTAGACTTCCTTTCAGTCTTTTGGGATATGATTACATACAAACACACTGATTGTTTTTTGGTTTTTGGTTTTTGGTTTTTGTTTTTGGTAATACTGTGAATCAAACCCAGGGCCTTTGCACTGAGCTACATCCCCAGCCTTTTTAAAAAAAATTTAAGAATCTGTGTTTGACCTGGCACTAATTACGCTGTGAGACTTTCCCGTTTCATGAGGAGCGAGTCAGAATCACAGGTGAAAACTCTTTCTAATCAGCCATCCTGCCATTTTAATCAAGCACAACAAAAACAGTGTTAGCTCTTAAAATTGTTCGAAGTGGAGAGGTTTGTTGGCATGGCTGAGAACAATTGTTAAATACTTTTCTGTTCTCTAATAGTAGAGAGAGAAAAGAGGAAAGACGAGTTACTGGACATTGCCAAGTCAAAGCAGGAGCGGACAAACTCAGAACTTCACAATCTCAGACAGGTGCGTCCTCAGCGGCCCTCCCGGCGGTGGCCGGAAGTATTCAGAGCAAAGGAGGACTCCATGCCGGTTGCTCCGGTGCACCGTGCCTCTGCAGTCCCAGCTGCATTAGCCGGGACACTGGCAGAGCAGGGAGGGTCTCGCCTATGGTAATTAAAGGCTAGGAGATAAGCCGTACCAGCATCTTAGCGCAAGCCGTAGCAGCTACCCAAACTGTTTTAGGTTTTAAAAGTGCCAAGTTGTGGTTCATGTTAGTGCGTTATTGCATCTTTATATTGATTTATCCATGTCTGTGGCAGATTTATGTAAAACAACAGAGCGATTTGCAGTTTCTTAATTTCAATGTGGAAAATTCTCAGCAGTTTATACAGATATGTGACTCGAAGATGGAAGAACCAAAGACTCTGGAATCCAGGTAATCCCAGCAGACGCCATGAGCTGACCTTGTGTTGATTTCATCACTGTTCAGTGTTTACTTTGCGGTTACAGTAGGCCAGGGACTACTGTGGTTCCTCACATGGGGAAGTAAGTACGTGTAAGCTAAATTACGATAATCCTAGGCAGTGAAAGACCTGTTCTGGCCACAGCCCTGCCTGCCGTACAGAGTGAGACTGTTGGACCTGACGTGTGTGCGCTGGGAAGGAGGCTGGAGCTCGGGGAGAAGCCACAGCGACGAACCGGGCCTCCTGCCTCCCTTCTTCCGCACACAGCGTCCAGGCCTGAGGCCAGGACTAGGGAACGTGAGGCTGCACAGGACAAGGTGACTGCCTCACAGAAAGGGTCCCCAAGAAGAGTGCCAGTGACCACAGCAGGGCTCAGCTGAGGTTGACCTCTGCCCTTCGCATGTTTTCCTTGTCATCGAAATACCTGCCCTCTACCAGGGATCAGACCTGGGGTCTTTGCCCTGAGCAGCAGCCTGGCTTTTTTCCTGTGTACTTATTTACACATTTAGTTCTGAGGCAGGGTCTCACTAAATTGCTGAGTAGTTGAGGCTGTGCTCCAGCTTGCAGTCCTCCTGCCTCAGCTTCCCAGAGTGCCAGGACTCCAGGTGTGCACCACCATGCCCCACTCCATCTGCCCTGTTAATAGCGGAGCTGTTCCCTAATGGGAACCAGCAGGTGGGGTCAAAGCAAGTGTCTGTAAAGTGAAGTGGGATGGGCATGTAACTGCACCACAGAACTTTAGTCTGCTTTTCTGAGCAGAGATGCTACAAGGAGTTGGGCAAAGGGAGCGAGGCTGGGAGCTCCCACGGGTGGGGGACCACCGGGGTGCGGTCCAGTCCGCACCACCACGCTCCTTCCCGGGAGAGAGGTATCACACGGCCGAGCCAGCATTTGAGGGAGGGGTGCAGCAGGATGGGGTGCTGGCCTCTGCATCTGAGGCTGGCTGTGGGGCTGTCATCTTGTTGCTGTGTGACCCATGCTGCTGCCACCAGCAACACCAGGCCACCTTAGGTTCTTTTAGGCCAAAACCCCGACATGTCTCCCTTTCCCACTGTGAACCTCGTGGCCGCGGCACACATGGGTGAGGCGGGGTGACAACTTGGGAACACCAGGTGCTTTCAGTGCTTACAAAAGGAAGGAGATGCATTTCTGAGGGACAGAACAATAACAGTCAGGACACTTGAATCTATGTGACATTAAAATAAATCTTATCCCAGCCCTCAAGGCTGAGGCAGGAGGATCATGGTGAGTTCGAGGTCAGTCTGGGCTACATAGTGAGACCCTGTCTCACAAAACAAACAAACAAACAACCCTAGAAGAATGTGCGTTACAATGTTTCATCATATTTCACAGTAGTCTTGATTTTTTTGGTTACTTAGGTAAGTAAGGACGTAGTAGAGAATGGGAGGTGACACTGTCTGATGGTGAGGGATGAGGGTGGCTGGAATCAGGCTCCGAAGAGCAGAGCCCCGGGTCCTGTCACCCTTAGCATTGCTACAGGGGCTGGAGGAATGGTAGTGAATGGGGTACACAGTCTGTCTCATAACTTCCGTGTTTTTGTAACACCATGTAGCAGAGGCCTGTGTCTATCAGACCTTGAAAGTAGCCACCCCAAAGCCAGTATCAGGAGGGAGAAGTCACCACTTAGGGACAACTTCGATGCCATGTTGGCTCAGCAGAATCGGTCAGAGAAAAGCTCTTGCAATGCTTGTAAAGAGAAGAAGCTACAGATCAGCACCTCGTTTGGGGAGAGAAATGTGATTACCCTCTCATCTATGTTTACCAAAGACTTAATGGAGAAACAAAAGCCTCGGCCTCTGGGTGGAAAATTCTTGATTGAACCTGAAAGCAAAATCACGTCATGCAGGGTCCACACCAAATCCCCAAAAAATGATGGAACTGGGCTCCAGGGTGCAGAGACACAGCCCTCAGTCGGGTGCCGGCCAGGAGCAGAGGACAGGTGCTGGCAGGACGGCGACATTTGCATGGGCCTGGCCGGCTGCTCCGCTCCCAGGCAAGCAGAAAAGCTGGACGTGGAAGGTCGTGAGCCCCTGGCCAGCTCCGAGACCCGGTGCTGCCCAAAAAGCGAAGGCTGCCTGGATGACGGTGACCTGTGTGACCCCACATGCTGCCACCCAAGTAACTTTGTCATCGAAGCCCCTGGCCACATGTCAGATGCAGAGTGGATAAACATTTTCAAGCCTTCCAAAATGCAAAGAATCGTGCACCACAAAACCATATGCACTTGTGTGGGGAGTGTCGCTGGAGACAACTATAACTCCTCAGCAAGGTTAGTGATGTCACAGCTTCGATGCCAGGTGCAGAAGCACGGGGGCTCCCATGGCCACTTCCTGCTCCTGTGATTCTAAGGGCAGCATGGTTTGCAAACAGAAATTGTGTGCAGGAGCCGGGCGTGGTGGCTCACACCTGTAATCCCAGCACTCGGGAGGCTGAGGTGAGAGAATCGTTGGGAGTTCCAGACCAGCCTGGGCTACAAAGTGAGCTCAAGGCCAGCCTGAACTGCATATCGAGACCCCATCTCAAAAAGTGGGCAGGGCAGACTGTGTTCTCTTCACCCCTGTGTAGACAATGGTGTCTTTATGGTGCAGGGAGATTGTGCTGGAGCACGGTGAAGAACATGCACCCAGGATGGCTTCTTTTTGTTGTTGTTGGTTTTGTTTTGTTTTGTTTTGTTTTTTGGAGACAGAGTCTCACTATGCAGTCTGTGCTGGCTATGAAGCCTTGAACTCACTATATAGCCCAGGTTGGCCTTGAACTAGCAGTGATCCTCCTGCCTCAGCCTCCAGTGTGCTGGGATTACAGGCATGCACTAACATGCATGGCTACTGGTTTTTCTTAGAGAAGAAAATGGATTGGATATTAGCATATGCCAAGTCATCTGGTCTCATCTGACTGTTAGAACTGCTGAGTGCTGCTGTAAGGTCTCCTAATTTTAAATAAGGCAAAGCTCTTCCATCTTAAATGGGTGACATTTCTATATTGAGAGCATTATTTTAATCATTGCACTGACATTCATAGGACTTTATGACTAAAATTTCTCTAGTAGTTCTATTATTTGGAATGTTCTTTGGACCTTTAGAAGCTTAAGCCATTTAAAAATTATACAGATACTCAGCTGCAGCACTTAAAAACTTGGTCATCATACTAAATGTCACCTAGCATACCTGTAAGTCTGTTTTGCAGTACTGATTAATGATCAAAAGCCCTTTGCAGTGAGCCTTATTTATTTTTCCTATTTCCTTTTTTTATTTTGAGATAGGGTCTTGTTAAACCACTAAATTGCAGAATGGGCTAAAATTTTTGAGCCTCCTGCCTCAGCTTCCCAGAGTGCTGGGCTAATAGGTATGTGCCATCCTGCTTGGCTTGACCACCATTGGTTTTTAAAGATCTCTGAGTATCTTCAAGTACCAGCAGGGCACAAAGGCCTGTCTGTCAGTACTGGGTGACAGCATTTATATGTTAGTGGGACACTGCACTGGACGATTTTGAAGGTGTAGTGAAAAAAGAAAGTGTAGTAGATACCTTTAAATTTAATGCCCGACCTGGTGGCTCACGTCTGTAATCCCAGCGCTCAGGAGGCTGAGGCAGGAGGACTGCTGAGAGTTTTAGGAATCCTGGGCTACATAGAGAGACACTGCCTCAAAAAAAAAACAAACAAACAAACAAACAAACAAACAAAAAAAACTAAAAAGGCCTTTTTACCTTGTGACTTAGTTACTGAAGCAGCTGCTGGTTCTACCAGCAGAGGCGCATACCAAGGCATCGCATGACAGATACGCGACCAAGTAGAAAAGATAACAGTGTTTTTCTATGATTACAAGAGCTTGTGTGCGCACTGCGGAACCTCAGTGAAACAGTCACACTGTGCTCCCTTCTCCTGCCCCGGGAAAAGGGGCACAGGTGTAAATGAGGAGGGAGGAGCCATGCTCCCTGCGGCCCAGTGCCAGCAGGAGATTACAGAACCATGTTGGGGCTGCCGCTGTCCCCAGAGAGCTTTTCCACAGCCATCAACCCAACCTCGCATTTCAGAGGCTTCTGTCTGTCTTCCTATCGCTCTGTCTCTGTCTTTCTCAGTACCCGGATTGAACCGAGACCTTGAACCTGCAAAGTAAGCATGTGCTGTGGGGCTGAGCTCCCCCCAGGCCTCTGTGCAGTTCTGGAGGAGGGAGGCTGCCTGTCCTGTACCCTCCACTGTGGGTCTTGTTTCCATGCTCAAGTGCAAAAGGTGTGCATTCGTGTGTGGCTGTGGCCTCACCTCTACCATACCCCTCCCACTTGGCGTGAGGTGCCAGGGACACACCTGACGCTGCTCTGAGACTCCTCTTTCTGTCTGGTTTTGCTCTCGCAGCGACCTGGCCACCATCCAGCACTCCTACAGTTTGGGTTCCCCAAAGGCTGCCCCCGCCAAGGAGGATGAGGCTGCGGCCTCTTCTGAGGAGAAGAGCGAGAACACACCCAAGGGCCTGTTAATCAGCAAAGAGGCAGCGCTGTCCAACCAGAAGGTTTGTGTTTTTGCTTAATGTCCCAGCTTTTTCAAGTAAAACTTCTGCCCATTATTAAACCATAGTTTAATTTCAGCCATTCCTTAATTTTTTAAGTTTTTAAGAGTCTTGTTGAAGTTTTCTTTTTCCTCAAGAAGACCTGCATTGCTTTCCAGGGGAGCAATTAGATGTGTGTTTATTGTTTTTTTAAAAAACCAACAAGCTGGACATGCTGGTGGACCTGTACATGAGCCCTCTGCAGTGACATAAATACAGCGGGCACATCTATAATTCCAGCACTCGGAGGCTGAGGCGGGAGGATTGAGAGAGTTTGAGGCCAGCCTGGGCTGCATGGCAAGACCCTGTCTCAGAAAACAAAACAAAACAATAATAATATAAATAGATTATAAGCCCAGAGCACATACCTATAATCCCAGCTACTTGGGAGTGTGAGGCAGAATGGGAAATTTAGTGAGATCTTGTCTCAAAATTAAAAAATAAGAAAAAGGAAAAAGACAGTGTTGTGGTGCAGACCTGTAATCCCAGCACTCTGGGTGTAGGAAGATTACAAGTTCAAGTCCAGCCTGGGCGATTGAGCATCTTAGAAAAACCCTACCTCAAGATAAAAAGCCAAAAGGAATAGAGAGTACAGAGACCCTGGGCTGAGTTCCCAGTACCAGTACAGAAAAACAAGAGGCAGTACAGAAAGTATGCCAGAAATTATCACCCAGAAGCTTGTCCAAACACACACTCTGGCATGGCAAAGTCTCCGGAGACACAGATGACGTGGGGGTGATTGAACTCATAGACGCCTCCCTATAGAGATACGCACACTGACGTGTGTCATACATAGGACTTCAGCTGTCATACATAGGATCACGCCTGTGATCCCAGCACTTGAGGCTGAAGCAGGAGTATCCCCATGAGGTCAAGGCCAACCTGGGCTACAGAGTGAGCTCAAGTCCTGCCTAAAGTCCATAGTGAGACCCTGCCTCAAAAAACTGATAAATAAATTGGATTTCACTACCTAAGAAAACACCTGACATTTGTGAGTTACCAGGATACCAGGATGGCAATTTTAACTCTCCATTCAGCTAAGGAGAAAGCGCAAGGCCAGGGTGGCATTGGCACTACGACTCCCGGTTCTGTGCAGCTTCTGCTGGCATCTTTCCTGTAACAGAGCCACAGCAGGGCTGGGCACCGCTTGCTCAGTGAAAGCCCACGTAGGTGAGGAATCCTTTTCCGTACCTATGGTAAAGCAGGCTTACCATCCGCCCTGAGTTGAGGAACAGGGAAAATAAACTTTGATTCAACAAATTTAATTTTAGAAAATTACAGTTATTTTATCTGCAGAGGCTGAAGGAAGGCGAGAAGAGGCAAGGAAAATCATTAAGAGCTGTGGCTCTCGCTCAGAACGTGTCCTCCGGCCACGCACCGCAGCCCGGCCTCAGGGAGCCAGGGCTGGGGCTGCAGCACCCTTGGCAGGAGCTGCTGCACACTTCTTTGGGAATCTCTGATTTGGGCAGAAAAGATGGAGCTCAATTAGGATCCCAGCTTGTGGTTTTCATCCGGGAAATCTCAGCTCTGTCTACACAGCTCAGTTATTTTTATAGCTCTGGCTGCCTAGCAGGCTGGGGCTTCCGGTCAGCGTTTTCTTCTCTGGATTATGTGATTAACCAAAGTCCAAGTCTCTGGCCCTCTCTTTTTCTAAATATGCCATAAGTCAGCTTTAGGCAGAATGCCCATTGAGCCTTCCAGGTCATTGATACATTTATTTTTAATTAATAAATATTTTATCTGATGGCTGCAAATAGTAGCGTCTTGGTAGAGGACTTCATGAGCTAAAAGCCCTTGGAAAGAGCCCTCTGCAGTGACATAAATACAGCGGGCATGGTGGCACATGCCTGTGATTGCAGCACTTGGGAGGCTGAGCCAGGAGGATTGCTGAGAGTTCAAGGCTGGCCTGGGCCACATAGTGAGACCTGTTCAGTGACGTACAGATTTTAAACACCAAGAGAAGAAAAGGAAGACAGTATAGGCCACCATTGTGCCCTTATACACAGATCTCACAGCTATTCACATTTCAGCACATTTCATTTGCTTTCCATTTTAAAGAAATAAACTGGCGTGTCCTTCCTGCCGCTCTCCTGAGCTGGACTCCACCTGGGCCAGCCACCATGCTGAAGCCGGTCACAGTCTTGTTTTTATGCTTTTACTGCATAAAAGTACACACACTAAGCCAGACCTGGTTGCCCACACCTATAATCCCAGCAGTCCAGACGACAATTCCAGCCCAGCCTGGGCAGTTTAGCAAAATCCTCAAAATAAAACTTTAGAACGTGGGATGGGACTGCAGTGCAGTGTTAGGCCCTGGGTTCAGTCCTCAGTCCCCAGCCACCAAAAAAAGGCATTCAGAAACACTGCATCATGTTGCTTTTCAGACTTTTTTTTTAATTTAAAGAAAAAAAAAACAGAAATAGGATAGAAATAATACATAATTTCAAAAAAAACAGAAATCACTAGTTGGTAATTACATATTGTCCTCTTTGAAATAGTTGTTCAAGTTACAAAAGTGAAGCATACAAAGTGGACATTCAAACAGCAAGACTGCAAACAGTTCTGTTTCGCTATCCAGCAAAAACTTAGTAATACGGTTATCCTACACACTTAAACAGGCATGCAGTTATCCATATCTTCATGTATGTTAAGATTAAACAAAACAAAGCAGGCTAAAATCACTCTAAACAGAGAATAATAGTATTGCTGGATTTTGCATCATGACACTACGGGATTAGCACTGGGTACTATAGTGTTTTTTGTTTGTTTTTTTTTTTTTTTTTTTTGGTCTTTTTCGTTTTTATCGGTACCAGGGATCAAACTCACCTTGCAAGGCAGGTGCTTATGCTGCTGAGCTAAATCCCCAGCCCCTCTCTTTTTCTTCAAAGTAGTTAATTTTATCATGCATTATGTGATCAGTTCTCATAAACTGTTTATAGGTTCTACACACTTTGTATGTTTTTATTCAATAATTCACTCTATTTGTGGTACTGGAAGTCAAACCCAAGGTATCATGCATGCTAGACAGGGGAGTGCTCTGCCCGTGAGCTACCCTCAACATTGAAAATTAACCAGAATAAACCCAGCACGCATCTATGTGTTCTCAGAGATTTGCAGCCCACTCACACTGCAGTTTGCAGGTGTTTTGGAGGTAGCATGGTGGCTGCTAATTATGGTTTCAAGTGCTTGTTTAGGAAAGCCAAACAAAACCAAGGCTTAGCATAAACTACATAGTGAGACCCAGGCTCAGTAAACAATAGACAGACAGACAGATAGACAGACAGAAGTTAGCTATTCCAGTATTTGACATCCTGCATCACTTGGAGTAGTCCAAGTCAACTGGTGACAGGTAGTTAACTCTCTTTTTCCCTTGTCTTTTTGAGATGAATTTCACTATGCAGTTTAGGCTGGCCTACAGCTCGTTTTGTGGCCTAGGCTGGCCTCTAGCTTGCAGTGATCCTCCTACCTCAGCCTCCCAAGTGCTGGGATCACATGTGTGTGCCACCATGCCAGGGAGTACTTACCATTGCAGCTGCCAGTCTGCAAGCGCTTGGAAGCAGTTACTTCAAGCTGTGTCCAGGTTTCCTGGGTGTTTAAAGTGTGCTGTCTCCCCAGGACGACTTCTCGCCAACGAGCAAGCTGCAGCGGCTGCTGGCCGAGTCCCGGCAGATGGTCACCAACCTGGAGCTGAGCACACTGCTGCCCCTCGGCTGCCAGGACCACCAGGACCTCGGTGGCAGCGCTAGAAGCGTGCGTGTCCCCTCTGGGTGACTGGGTGGTGGGTGTGGACCTGACCACCACAACCACCTTTCCGCTGCAGAGTTTCCTCTTTCTCCCAGGGAGGTTGACTTAAGGGAAGAAAAAGTCACATGCAACTCACTGTTCCTACATCAAGCTGCCTCTGCCTCTGCCTCTGTCTCTTCGAAGGGCCTGAGCCTAGGAAAAAAATTCCTCTGGAGTTGGGTTTTTATTTTGTTTTTAAGTTTAGGAGCTGGAACCTAGTGATACAGGGGAAAGAAATTCCCAACCTGCTAGATGTGTACAACACCAAGTTTGTACCCTTTAAAATTGAGGAATGAATTCTAGGAACATCGGGCACATGCCTGTGATCCCAGCACTCGGAAGGCTGAGGCAGGAGGTTCTTTGCGAGTTTGAGACCAGCTTGGGCTACAAAGTGAGCTCAAGGCCACCCTGAACTGCATAGTGAGACCCTGTCTCAAACCCCTCCAAAAAAAAGATTGTGTAGGAAGAATTTATTGAGAGAAAGAAAGCTTCTGTCTGAAAGGGACAGAGAGGGTGCCCTGGAAGTGGGTGACCCAGCTTCTCAAGGGTGTTTATTGAACAATGATAGAAAGCGAGTGGGGTTTAAGGTGGGACACAACCATAACCAATCAATAAGATTACAGGGGCCTGGGTCAGACAGAAAAGGACAGCAGGACGTCCTGGAAGGGGCGGGCTGGGTCCCTGGAAGTGTGTGAAAGAGAGGATCCTCTGCTGTGAAAGCCTGGCCTTCAGTGAATGTGCCTCCAGCCGCAGCCCTGGCCGACCCCTGCAATACTTCTACCTAACTTAGCTGTCTGTAACACTGGGACCTCCCAGTGCCACACAAGCACTCTACCACTGAAATACACTCCCAGCTCAAACTCTTTTTAAATTTTAAATACAAAGTCAGCATTGGTGGCACAAGCCTATAATTCCAGCACTGTGGAGGCCAAGGTAGGAGGATTGCTGCAAGTTCAAATGTCAGCCTGGGCTACAAAGTGAGTTGAAGGACAACTTGAACTAAAAAGCAAAACCCTGTATCCAAAGGTTTTTTCTTTCAATACAAAATTTCAAATATATATAAAAGTAGGAAGAATAACACTCTGGCCTTCAACAGTCCTCACATTGTCTTCTGAAGTATGTTAGAGCAAATGTAAGGCACCATATCCTTTCACTCATAAATAGTTCATAGTTTCTCTAGGTCAAGCTTTTTTTGTCTTTTTTGTGACAGTCTTCAACTCACTTTGTAGCCCTGGTTGGCCTTGAACTTGGAGCAGTCCTCCTGCCTCAGCCTCCTGACTGCTGGGATGAAAGGCATGGGCCACCACACCTGGTTTATCTGTGTTAGATATTTAAAAAACTATAACGGATGGGCACAGTGGCACACATCTGTAATCCTGGCCACTCAGGAGGCTGAGGCAGGAGGATCGTGAGCTTGAGCAATGTAGTGGCACTGTCTCCACAGAAGGCTTGGAGATGTAGCCCAGTGGTAGAGCCCTCCTGGCTTCTTCCCAGAGCCCCCCCCACACACACACACACATGGGATAGCCACGTAGTCAGCTAAGATCGTACATCAAACCCAGGGCCTCTTGGTTGCTGAGCAAGCGGCCTGCCACAGACTACACCTGGCCATTTAGTTGTTTTCCAGTTGCATTCAGTTGTGAAAGAAAGGCTGGGTCATTAGCCTGGAGAATGTCCCACTTTGGTACTTGCCAGCCGGGTCCCCCTTGTTGTGGATGCTTGCTCTGCCCCCCACCCCCTGCCGAGGGGTCTAGCAGCCAGTTAGGCTCCTGGTTGGGCCGGGCGGAGGGAGTCCGCCCGCTGTGTTTGGGCTCCCGGTCACTGGTGCTCTCCACTCCCGCCCCTCCTGTCCGGAGGTCCTGGTGTCTGGCTGTCCCACTTACATGTATTTGCCTAAGGGGCGCACTGAGGAGTTTGTGGGCCTGAGCCTTAATACCGTCGCGTTTCCCTAGAGCTCACTGAGTGACATTGGCAGCCATCAGAGAGTATTACTTAGATGCGTGACTTTACCGGAAACTGCAAAGTAGTAATTTTCTACTATGTGGTTCTTTCAGGGTATGTTTCACATGTTAATTGTCTGGCTTATTCTGAACAGGGGAACATTTCAGGAGCACTGAGGGAAGTTGCCACGGAGATTTCGCAGCCTCAGGGTGAATAGTGGGCTGGAAATTGGGGTCATTGCCCACCATCCCAAGGGTAAATTAAGAGCTCAGACTGATGCATTGGGTCAAAGTGCCTTCCTTGGGTGGGCTGTGTTCACAGTTAAGGATATGGGACCTGCGGGTAGTGGTGCCAACCTGTAATCTCAGTACTCTAGGAGGCTGAGGCAGGAAGACTGAGAGTTTGAGTCCAGTCCAGGCAGCTTAGTGACCTGAGGTCACTGTCTCAAAGTAAAAAGGACTGGGAATGTAGCTCAGTGTGAAAGCCTGGGCTCAATTCCTAATACAAAAACAAAGCAATCCATAAAGGTATAGAGGTAAGAGCTTTCTGTATCCCTGACTGAAGATCAAAATAAATAGAAAAATCCTATAAACTGGGTGTGTGGTGCAGTCCTTTAATTCTAGCACTGAGAGGTCAAGGCAGGAAGATCACTGTGAATTTGAGGTCAGCCAGGGAGTTCATAGTGAGTTCAGGCCCACTCTTGACTACATTGCGCGATCCTGTCTCGAAAAAGAAAAAAAAAAGTGCTGGGGATGTAGGTCCGTCCCTGGCAGGTGCGAGGTCCTGAGTTCGATTCCTGGTATAAATAAATAAAAGTTCTGTAAAAACACAAATGTTTTTCTACTAAAATCAGCCTTGTCAGGAAAGGTGCCTTAGAGCGCTTAGCAGGTACGAGGCCCTGGGGTACATCACTAACAGCAAACATAAAAATGGAGGGACACTGACTGGAATGCAGCATACATACAATAAAATGAAGGCGTTTATGAAGAATGTCTTTAGTTCCTGTCTGAGTATGTCATGAAGGAGCTAGTCTGGACCACACGGTTGCATCCATTTGGACACAAGTGTGCGTTCCCATGAAGCGATGCTCCAACCCAGCCGTGGGCCTTCCCTGTGAGACGTTGCCCATGTGCTCTTTGGAATGAATTCTCCGCACCGCAGCCCCTACCTGACCCGATGTTAATCACCAGAGACTCGTTCTGCCAGTTCCAGACTTCAGATAAATGCAGTGGCACAGTGCATGCGCTTTATCTGGCTGCTTCGAATGTGGTAAACAGAGACCTGTTCATGTGTTGGGTATCACTCTTCATTCCTTTTTTTTTGGTCTGTTTGAGACTGGGTCTTGCTATGCAGTTCAGGCTGGCCTTGAACTCACTTTGTAGCCCAGGTTGGTTTTAAATTCACAATAATCCTCCTGCCTCAGCCTCCTGAGTGCTGGGATTACAGGAGTGCAACATCATGCCTGGCTGCTTTGTTCCTTTTTAAATTTTTTTTTTTTGTCTTTTTCATTTTTATCGATACCAGGGATCGAACTCACGACTGCCTGCTTGCAAGGCAGGTGCTTACACCGCCAAGCTAAATCCCCAGCCCCTTGTTCCTTTTTATTGCAGGTTAATATTCCATGCATGGGGGGCTGGGGATTTAGCTCAGCAGCATAAGCGCCTGTTTTGCAAGCAGGCAGTTGTGAGTTCAATCCCCGGTACCGATAAAAAGACAAAAGACAAAAAAAAGACTCTATGATTGAATATGAGTATTTTCATAGCGATACTTCTTTTTGTTTTGTTTTATTGAGACAGGGTTGCACTGCGTAGCCCAGGCTGGCCTTGAACTCGATCCTCCTGCCTCAGCCTCCTAAATGCGGGATTCCAGGTGCCACCACACCCAATTTAAAGCCACACTAATCTTTTAGAGTTTTTGGTGGGGGAGCATTACTGGTACTTCAAACTACCTTGTCAATCTCTTTTTTTTTTTTGGCGGTACTGGGGATCGAACTCACAATCTCACGCCGTTGAGCTAAACCCCCAGCCCTACCTTGTCAATCTCTTTAACGTGTTTTAAATTTTGAGATGGGGTCTCTCTAGGTCAATTAGTTGCCCAAGTTGGACCCCGACGTGGTGTCCTTGTACCTCAGCGTGCCAGTGCTATGACTACAGAGTGTGCTTATGCCCAGCTCTGGACTTCCTTCTTCAGAGTAAATGCCAAGAAGTGCAGTGTTGGTTCTAGGGCAGGTGTGTGACCAGCCTCTGAGTAGGAGCCAGGCTGCGCCTCGGCGGCCAGCCACGTTCCCAGCCTGCCCACACGGCTCTGCTGGTCCCTTTGACGTTAGCTCTTCTTAATTATGAAGTGGCATCTCACTGGGATTTCTTTGCCTTTTCCTTGTTAGTGTCTTTTTCTGTAGAGTGTCAAGTAGAGTTATTTTCCCCATTGTTATTGAATTGTGTTCTTCTATAGTCTGGATACAAGTCCTTTGTTCTTTGTCAGATACATTGTGAATATGTTCTTCCAGTATGTAATTTGTTGCCAGGAGTTTAGCTCAGCCTCCTAAGTGCCTGCGTGGCAAACACGAGGTTGTGAGTTCAAACCTTGGTACCAAAAAAAATAAATAAATAAATAAAAGATAGGAAAGCAGCATGTAGTTTGTCTTTTGAGCTTCTTAAGTGTCTTTTCTTTTTTTTTTTTTTTTTTTTTTTTGAGACAGGGCCTCACAGTGTAGTACAGTCTGGCCTTCATCTCAGCTCATAGCCCAGGCTGGCCTAGAACTTGCAGCAATCTTACTGCCTCAGCCTTCCAAGTACTAGAATTATAACCAGGTGCCAGCTGGGCGTGGTGGCTCACGCCTGTAATCCCAGCCCTCGGGAGGCTGAGGCAGGAGGATTGTTGCAAGTTCGAGACCAGCCTGGGCTACAAAAGGAGTTCAAGGCCAGGCTGAACTGCAGAGACCCTGTCTCAAAAGGAAAAAAAAAAAAAAAGTATAACCAGGTACCATCATGCCCAGTTCTTTAATATCTTATGAAGAGCAAAAAAATACTATTTTTTAAGACAGGATCTCTCTAAATATATAGCCCAGGCTGGCCTGGAACTCACTATGATCCTCCTGCCTCAGCCTCTCCAAGTGCTGGGCTTACATGAATGTGCCACCATGCCTGGCAAAAATTTTAAATGTTAATGAGGTTGAACTTAACAGTTTTATTTTTGTTTTAACACAGGATCTCAAAAAAAAATCCCAAAACACAGGCTGGATTTGAGTTTACTGCGGCCCTCCTGCCTCGGTTCCCTAGTGCTGGGACTGTAGGAGCAGTGTGCCACCACGTCCAGCTGTCACTGTGCTTGTTTTTACGTTGTTATTTTTCTGTCCTTTTGAGACGGCTCTCACTAGCAGTCCAGGCTGGCCTTGAGCTCACTTTGTAGCCCAGGCTGGTCTCCAACTCACAAGGATCCCCCTGCCTCAGCCTCCTGAGTTCTGGGACTTTAGGCATGAGCAACCATGCCTGGCTTAGAACAGAGAATCGTGCATAAATATTTAAATACTAACTTTATTGAAACACCATATGATTATTGAGACACCATGTGATTAATACAAGTTAGCTTTGGCCTCTCCGATTACAAGAGGTGCTCAGAGTGACAGCCACTGCAGCAAACTGCCGGAACGTGTACACACGTTTTGGGCAGACTGCACGTGATAAAATAGTAGGACAGCTCTGTACCCGTGTGGTGCTTAACAGGCGTGCAGATGCTGTCCTAATCCACACGGACATGGGGAGAGGCCCATGATCACAGAGACTTGGGCTTTCGTGAAAATGCTACCTGGGAGACCTGGCTGAGGTGGAGGTGGCAGGGTGCCGCTGTGCTGGGGGCTGGGCGAGCCTGGGTCATGGGGCGAGTGGGGGTCTGGTGTATTTCCAGTGGCTCAGTTTGGCAGGAGCGGTTCACATGGTACTTCTTGTGCCTGGAATTTCACTTAAACATGACCTTCCGTGTGCTCTGCTGCCCACTAACACATCATACTGTGGGGGCTGGTGGCTTCTACAGGGCGCTTTCAGCAGCATCTGCCCGAGGCTCCATCACTGTAGCTGCTGGTCCTTCCTGTCCCCCTGCCCAGGCCTGGTCCTTGGGTCTGCACCACCACAGGGTGCTGGGGTGGGGCCTCCGGGAGCAGCCTCGAGGGAGAAGGTTGGGGTTGGGGCTGTCAGGATCCCTGCCTCTCCTCCCTTCACTTGGTCACTGAGGAGAGCCCAGCTCCCTGCTCTGAGACTCCGCCTCACTCCCATAGAACCCTCGCCCCCTGCTGATAAGCAGGTGCTTGGTGCAGTAAGGGAGAACTGGCTGGCTGGCTTCCGGGTCAAATTGCAGGCTATTGTGTGAACAGGAGGGCCCTCGTTTTGGATGTGTGTGTGTGTGTGTGTGTGTGTGTGTGAGTGCACGAGTCTGTTTGCACACATCACGGTTCATGATCATTGGTCGCCTGCTCCGGGGTGGTTGGTAATGACCCTCAGCAGAACTGACAGGAAATGTACAGAGGAAAGGCCAGCAGGACCCCAGGGCAGGCTGCAAAGTGCCAACGCTGTTCCAGTTGGCGGCAACTTGGTTCGAGGGACTTTTTGAGTTCCTGAGACCCAGAAGGGATCTCCAGCCCAGTTTCTCAGCCCTTGGCAGGTGAGGGAGAGTGAGTCTGCTCAGCTCCCGTGGCTAGAAAGAGATCATTTAATTAGAAAAATGATCAGCTGCAGATATAAAATGTTTCCCAGTAGACTAACTCATTCTAGAGGTAGAGGACCGAGCAGGGTTTTTTGTCTTCTTTTTTTTGGTTTTTTGGTCTTTCTGAGACAGGGTCTTACTATGTAGTTCAAGCTGCCTTGAGCTCACTTTGTAGCCCAGGCTGGTCTCGAACTCACAGTGATCCTCCTGCCTCAGCCTCCTGAGTGCTGAGATTACAGGTGTGAACCATCACACCTGCCCAAAATTTTATTTTATTTCTTTTGTCTTTTCCATTTTTTATCTGTACCAGGGATCAAACTCATGACCACACACTTGCAAGGAAGGTGTTTATGCCACTGAACTAAATCCCCAGCTCCCAAAATTTTATTTTTTGAGGCAGGGTCTCATTATGTCCAGCTGGACTTGAACTCACTGTGTGGCCCAGGCTGGCCTCACATGCAGGGTGCCCCTCCTGTCTCCGGCTCGTGAGTGCTGGGGTTACAGGCATGCGCCACCACACCCAGTTCTGTAATACATTTTTTAAAGTAAAAATTCACTGTATTTTCCTGTCACACCATGTGTTATCTATCTGTTAGCATTATCAGTCTTTTTTGTGGGGAGCAGGTTGGGAAAGCCTGTAGGCCCCTTTCAGAATCACAGGGGTTTTGTTTTCCATGTTTTTATCAGGCCAGAGTAAGTCAGTTTACCACTGTGACAGTTTGGAGGTGTACAGACAGTGATACTGAATCCATCGCTAAGTTGTGTCTCTGTCCTCTCCGTGACGCTTCTCACCTGGTACCTCTGGGTCCCATGCCTGTTAAATGGCTTCCATTTCCGGCTTCCCCCGCCGGAAGCCCTGGCAATTGTGACTGACTTCCTGTCTCTGTGATTTGGATCACCCTGAGTACAGAGGGGAACACCGCAGGGTTTGCCTTTTTCCCTGACGTCCTCAAGGTTCATCCCTGTTGTGGCCCATGTCCTTGTTGTCTGTGATCTCAGCACTCAGGAGGCTGAGGCAGGAGGATTGTCATGAGTTCAAGACCAGCCTGGGCTACACAGGGAGACCCCCTGTCTCCAAAAAAAAGCATTTTGTTCTGTCTGTGTATAGTATCAAGTATTTCCCGGTTTCTCTGGCCCGGGTACTCATTTGGGAGTTGTTTTCTAGAGCTTAGACGTCTCAGAAGAGGCAGTTCAGGAGAACACCTTCAGCAGGCCCTGAAGAAAGCCAAGGGAACCCCAGTGTCCTCGCGCCCCGGTAAGTCACCTTCAACTTGTCCCTTGTCACCATGCAGCAGGCTGATGTTTAATGAGTAACTGGGGAGACTGATAACGGGGAGCGGGGCTCCCGTCGCAGCTTCCCAGTGGCTCCCACAGAGAGATCCCTCTGTGGGGTTTGGGTTTGGACTCTCTGCCAAGCATGCACCCTGTAAACTCTCTCTGGGTCCAGCTTTGATGCTGTCCGACCCCTTTCTGGTGCGGTTTCTTCAGGCTCGGAGCTGACAGAGCACAGACCTGGCCCCGGCCCGGCCTCCTCCTCCGGCCTCTGCTAAGTCCCCAAGCTGGAGGGGACCGCGGGTGCTCCACAACAGCTCAGACACCGAGCCGGAGCTCATGACTTCCATCCTGTGCCTGCCCCCCATGCTGATCCCTCCATTCCTGCCATCTGGGGCCCCCTCTAAATTCAGGAGGCCGGGGCCCCCCTGCGTGACGTTCAGTGCCCAGGGGAGCAGCGCAGGTTCGGCCCCTCCATGCCATCTGTTTCCAGTGAAGAGCCGTCCTGTGGCCTAGTCATCGGTGCCAGCTGGGGGTGATGCCGAGGGGAAGAGGACCCAGGAGACACAGGTGTAGGCAGTGCCAGCTCGCAGGCTTTGGGGTGCCTGGCAGAGCCCCGTCTTGCTGGGCCTGGGACCATCCTTCTGGCCACTCACACCAACCACAGTGTGCTGGGAGATGAATTATCACACGGATTTTTTTTATATTAAAGAATAAAACACATTTTACCTTGTATTTTAATTTTTGAAGGACTGTATGTCTGTGTCCCTTCTAAGAGAACCGATCCATTTCAGCCAATAAAAAATATTTTTAATAGTAAATGAAAGCCTTTCGCTCTGGTCTCCTTGTGTGGCACAGGAAGGAAGGCAGAAAGCTCGTCCCTTGACGCCAGACCTGGCCGGGCCAGGAGCGGGCACAGCGTTTCAGATATCAGGTTCCGTGGCGCGAACAAGCGCCCCTTTGTTGGAGCCTCAGGGCTTCCTCCCAGATGGTTTCCCGGGAGAGGAAGAGCCGCCCCGGTTGGCCTCTTAATTAGGGTGCTGAAAAGAGAAGTGGCCGGGGCTGGCCGCGTCCTCCATGAAGACTCAGCTCTCCCGTCCACCAAGGCTGGGGAAGGTGAGCAGGGACCAGCGCGGCGACCTCTGGGGGACAAAGGAAACTGGCTCTGGGGCCAGCGTCTGCCGGAGCCTCCACTCAGGGAAGAGGCCGCAGGGAAACTCCAGGAACTGCAGGGTTTGGGAAGAATTACAGATGACTGCATGGCTACAAGAAGTATTCTTAGCTCCCAGGATTGTAGTATTGGCAGCACCTCGTCTAGGTGAGCAGGCCTAAAGAGTGTGTGCTGAAAACAGCTGCAGGGAAAGTGTGGGCCAGGCGTGGCGTGTGCCTGTAATCCCAGCACTCAGGACACTGAGGCAGGAGGATGGTTCCAAGTTCAAGACCAGTCTGGGCTACAAACTGAGCTTAAGACAGGCCTGAGCTGCATAGCGAGACCCTGTCTCAAAAAGACAAAAGAGAAAAAAAGAATTTATATTTTAGGTTTTTTGTTTTTTTTTCTTTTTGGTTTTATTTCAAAGACACAGTCTAAGTATTTAGTTCAGGCTGATCTTGAACTCACTGTGTAGCCAGGCTGGCCTCAAACTGGTAGTGTCCCTCCTGCCTCAGCCTCCTGAGTGCTGGGCTCACAGGCCTGTGCCACCACACCCAGCTTCATCATCATTCTCAATATCAAAGGCACATCATTTTTTTTTTTTTTTTTTTGCCTTTTTTCTTTTTATCGGTACCATGGATTGAACTCACAACTGCCTTCTTCCAAGGCAGGCGCTTATGCCGCTGAGCCAAACTTCCAGCCCCAACAGCACATCATTTTAAGAAGTGACTGAACTATGCTATAATTTGCCTGCCAGAAATGATCTCAGCATTGGAAAAGACTGATTTAAAGGTATTTTTAGAATTTATGAACAGATCTTTTAAATAGAAGTAGAGATACACCCCCCAAAATTGATTTAACCAAGGTTGGTTGTACATGGCCTTGTTATCCTAGTATTCGGGAGGCTGAGACAGGAAGATCATCATGAGTTCAAATTCAGCCTGGGCTACACAGATCCTTTTTTTTTTTTATTGGTCCCAGGGATCGAACTCACAACTGCCTGCTTACAAGGCAGGCGCTTATGCCACTGAGTTAAATCCCCAGCCATAAATCCTTCTTTTAAAATTTTTTTTTTTTGGTACCAGGGATTGAACTCAAGACCTTGCACTTGCCAGGCAGGTGCTTATGCCACTGAGCTAAATCCCCAGTCCCAGAGAGACCCTTCAAAAGAAAAAAAAAAAAAAAAGAAAAAGAAGTGGATTTGTGAGTTCAGACAGAGCTGCGGGTAAGAGCCCCATCCTGCCCTGGAGACAGGACCAGGGTTTTCCTCCGCGGGGCTGCCTTGGGGTCCTGGGCGGTGGCTGTGCAGGTGCAGGGCCCTGGCTCCCTCACCACTCAAGGTGGCTCTCTCATACCCAGGTGGGGAGTTACCTCAGCAGCCTCTGAGGGCCAGGGACAGGCACAGCAGACTCCATTAAGAAACCAGGCACTCCCACCAGTGCCACCAGGGACACACGGGTTCAAGCCCAGGACAGTGGGGTGCAGGGCACACAGCCAAACAGTCTGGTGGGAAGCCAGACTCTGGTTGCTGGTCAGGTGCAAGCTGGACCAGTCCAAAAAGCAGAGGGAGGTCAGCACAAACACAGTCGCCCTGCCACACACCCGAGACCAGCCGTGAGCAGAACAGGCTTCCTCTTCCCCCACAGCCCAGTGAAGGAGACAGGTCTTTTTTATTTTTATTTTTTAATTGGTACCGGGGATCGAACTCACCACCGTCTGCTTGCAAGGCAGGTGCTTATGCTGCTGAGCTAAATCCCCAGCCCCAGGAGACAATCTTAAATAAGGCTCAGGGAGGGAGCAGTGAGTGCTAGGAAGGGAGGCTGTGAGACACGGTGACAACACAAATAGGGCAAGGGCAGGGCAGGGCGTGCAGGGATGGCCTCCATTAAGAAGTAACATCTGAAGCAATAGCTGAGTGCACTAACCAGGCAAACAGGAAGTGAATTCCAGACAACAATAACAGTGTGTGCAAAGGCCCTGAGGCAGGAAGGAGCATGATGCAGTCATAGATCTGATGGGCCAGGATGGAGCAATATGAAGCTGGGAAGAGGCTGGACTGGCCATGCATGTGGGTCAGCAAGGCAGGGTGGGGACTGCAGCACCATCCTTTCATAAATCTTCATGATGCAAACTATCTTCTCAGTTCTGCCTAAAATAGTCTAAACTGTACCCCAAATGTGTGGTTTTGCTAATATCTTAGGGAAAGGATTAAATAGCCTCAAGACACTTCAGAATGGGATCTAGGACCTGGGCATGGTGGCCTACACTCATAATCCCAGGCCTCGGGAGGCTGAGGCAGGAGTATCACCATGAGTTTGAGGCCAGCCTGGGCTCCCTGGTGGGTGCATGGAGTCTAGTGATGTGGAGAATCTCAGGCAATACGAGCCACAGCCAGTGCCGGACCAGCACTCCCAGCTGAAGATGTTCTGAGAGATGAATCTTGACAAACAGGAGGGGGCAGTTCCTGTCCTGTGTCCCCAGCAATGGCCTCAGAGAATAAACAGGTGCAAGTCCACCCTCGGCTGTCATCTCCCACAGTGCTGCTGCTGGGCTGCTGCCAGGCTCCAGGGCCCTGCACAGGGTGCGTCCCCGCTTACCTCAGCCTCCTCACAGAGACTTCTGGGCCCCGGCTGGAAAGCAGGCCTACGGCCGACTCTCACAAGCAGGAAACTAGACACCTCGACCAAAAAGCTGAGCACAGATCCAAAACTGTGAGGCCCACGGCTGCTCATGTTAACTCATTGTGACAGATGTCCTGAGCTGTGTGGTCACGGGGTGACCACTTCTGTCCCCTGCGGGAAAGGAGTCTGAGAAACAGCTGGCAAGGAGGAAGGAGCCCACACTGTGGTCTGCAGCTGATTGTGCCTAGTGATTAAACTGCTAGGATTGGAGACAGGATAATTCCCTAAAGGCTGAGCATAGGACCTGGAAAATACACACTCAATAAACATTGGCAATTGTTGTTCTGCTGTCACTCTGGCAAAGAAGCTTTCCAATTACTGGAACTAGAGGAGCAGGATTAATCTCTCTCCGAAGCCAAGTGAGAGGACAGCCGTGTCCCATGCAACTTCCAGGGTCCAGGGGCAGTGGTTGGGCAGGACAGCAAGGGGTCAGAGAGCAGCAGGATAGAGTTCTGGCTCAAAGAGTGCTTCTGTCTCACAGGGCCACGACAGCTGGCTTCCCAAGGTAGCAGCTTCCCTCTGACAGGTAGGTAACCCTGCTGATACCTTGCCCCCAAAATTGAGGGGACTGTAATCCCAGCACTCAGGAGGCTGAGGCAGGAGGATTGCCAGTCTGGGCTACATAGATCAAGGCCAGCCTGTACTATAAAGCAAGACACTGTCTCAAAAAAAAAAAAAAAAAAAAAAAAAAAAAACTCAGCAATTTCTCAAGATGAACATAACTATTATTATGTATCACAGATGTATACTAATGATTTTTTTTCTTTTTCTTTTTGGGACAGGGTCTCACTGGGCAGTTCAGGCTGGCCTTGAGCTCACTTTGTAATCCAGCCTGGTCTCAAATTTGCAAGGATCCTCTTGCCTCAGCCTCCTGAGTGCTGGGATTACAGGAGTGCACCACTATGCCCAGCTCTTTTGTTTTTTGAGACAGGGTCTTGCCATGTAGTCCAGGGTGGTCCTGAACTCACTATGTGGCCCTGGTTGGGTTTGAATTTGCAGCAATCCTGGTTCCTCAGCCTTCCGAGAACCTGGATTACAGGTGTGTGCCACCACACCAAACCTAAAATTTTTAAAAACAGAAAAAATTTGAAAAGAATGGGGGCTCTTTAGTACTTTTGTGGGGCAACTTCACAGCTACATTCTGATAAGAAAGCTAAGAACAGCAGAAACAGCACATTTTTATTTTTATCTTGAGACAGGATCTCTAAATCAGGCTAGGCTCACACTAGCAATCTTCATGCCTCAGCCTCTCAGCGCGGGGATTACGCGGCTGGGCCACCGTGTCCTGAACTTCGGGTTGTTTTTCTTCTCTTCAGTCTTACGACCAGCATTTAAAATCATGCCTCTTAGGCCACCTCTTGGCATCTTTTGCCTCTCGCTTGGGCGGCCCCCTGGGCTCTGCCCGGTCCGGATGTGGGTTTGTGGCGAGGATGACAGCTGCGCTGGGTCCGAGGTGCACAGGAAGGGGACCCCACACGTGTGACTCCTTAAATAAAGACCCGAGCTTGGAAAACGCCAGGTGGCTGCGAGGCCATCGCCGGGCCCACAGAGGCCCCGACGTTTCCCCCAGCGGTGTCAGCGGGCTCGGGGTCAGGGGCGCTTTTCCTGCTGGGCTGGCGCTGCGGCGGGGCGGGGCCTGCGGTCCCGGCCTGGGGTCCCCGCGGGCGGGGGAGAGGCGTGGGGCGGGGCGCACCTGGAGGCCGAGAGGGCCGGAGCGGAGGGCGGGGCGCCCTGACGGAGGGGGGCGTGGCCGGGCGGGCAGGGGGCGTGTCCCGGCGCGGCCCCTCCCCGCGCGGCGTCGCGGTGCCTAGGCTCGGGCGCGCGGTCGCTCGCCCAGTCGCGCGGAGGGGCCGGGCCGGGCGCGGCGGCGGCGGCGGGATGAACAGCATCAAGAGCGTGCCGGCGCGGGTGCTGAGCCGCAGGCCGGGCCACAGCCTGGAGGCCGAGCGCGAGCAGTTCGACAAGACCCAGGCGAGCGAGCGCGCGCGGGGCCGCCCCGGGCCTGGCTGTCCGTGGGCGCCGAGCTCCGCGGCCCTGGCCGGCGCAGGTGAACCGGAAGCCGTGCGGCTCCGCGCCGGCCTGGGCCGCGGCGCCGGGGCTGCGGGGGGCTGGGCGCGGGCCTGGAGGCGAACTGGGGCCGGTGTCCGGAAGCCCGGAGCGGGCTCGGTGGCCGCGCTGGGGTCCTGCGCCCGCCGCGGGCACCGTGCGTTTTCGCGAGGAGCCCGCCGCTTCCGTCCCTCCCAGCTGTGGCTCATTACCTGCGGGTGAAAAGTTGCCCGGGCGTCGCCGGGCTCGTTTGCTGGCGGGGTCCTCGGCCAACTAGCCTGCCACCCCCTCGTTAAACGCCGGCGCCCGGCGACGGAAACTTCCAAGGCTCCTTCCTGCGCTCCCACGCGTCCGCTGTGCCCCAGCCGAGGGCCCATCCCGGGAAGGTGCTGGGTGGAGAGTAAATAATGACTCGGGTGTGTGTGTACACCTGTGTTTGGCAAGGACACGCGATGGAGGCTTTGCTGTAGGTCTGTTCTTCGCGCCTTCTCCCCGAGGAGAGTATTTTTGAGACAGGGTCAAGCTGTTCAAACTGGCCTTGAACTCACTGTGTAGCTCAGTATTTGCTGCAGTCCTCCTGCCTCAGCCTCCTGAGTGCTGGGATTACAGGTATGCGCCCTCCACACCCAGTTCCGGGTCCTTTCTGTTTGATGAACCCAGAGGTGTCTTTATCCCTGGGAGATGTGTGGAGGGGCACATACTTACTTACCTAAGGAAGTCAAGCACGACTGAAATGACCAAAAATTTTGACTTTAGAAATGAGGAAGCCAGTCTGAAGCAGGTAGTGACATTTGCATTTCTGGGTTCCCGGAGCAAGTTCCTTCTCTTCTGTCCCAGAAGAGATTGGTGGCTTTCAGAACAAGTCAGGGTGCACATGCTTTTTTTTAAAATAAGAGAAAACACTGGGGGACCTCACCTCTTAGTGACAATGAAAGTGAAAATGGAACCCCAGGATGTCAAGGCTCCGTCCTCCCAGTGCTGAAGTCATTCTGCTTGCAAAAGATTAATGTGTCCATGTGATTGCTGTCATTGTCATCTGGCCCAGCCTAGAGAGCCTGTCATAAAAAAAACAAGCATGGCATTTAATTTAAAGTCATTAACACAATTAATTGTGCCAGAAACTTGCAGAACGCAGCGAGAGACACTTAGAATTGGCAGAGAGAGCCTAAGTGTTGTCAGAAACTTTATTTACCCAGTTTTTTTATTTAAAAGGCGGAGTACATTGGTCTTGCTCAGAAATGATGGGGCCACGTTCCTGGCTGTCAGAGGCAGAATCTGACCTAAGACCGTATGTTTTGGTGCCAGTGCCCATGGAGGTGGGGTGCTGTGGCTGGGTTTGTCTTCAGTGTGGCGAAGGGAGGCTGTAAGAACCAGGTTTTCTAAGTGGTTAATATTTAATTAGATTGTTCCCAGAAATATCTAGTGAGCTGCCAGCCAGGCTCCCCAGTGGAAAGGGCCTGGAGGGACCGGGCTACTGCTTCTGTGTCTCCTTGGGGGTGGAAAATAGCTTCCCTTCTGAAGGCACGGCCCACCGTGACATTGACCAAAGCTGCCTGCCGGGGCCTTGGGGCTGACTCAGGAGCTTACTCCTCCCTGCCTACCAGCGGTGTTTGTCCTTTCTTGGGTCAGGAGGAAGACAAACGCTCCCAAGTTTGCTTTCTGGACAGGCCACGCCCTGTTTCTTGTGGTCTCTGCCATAAGCTCTCAGGAGCGCCAGGTTTTGCTCTGGGCAGCCTGAGCCTGTGGCGGGTGGGTCAGGAAGTCCTGAGGTGCAGAACAGAAGCTATATGTTCTCTTCTGTGGTTTTAGTTCCTTAAGGGAGAAAGCCTCTTTTCAAACAGAGGGGCAGGATTTTAGTGGCTGCTTCTCACTGTTGTCTTCTGTGTACAGAGTGCTACAGAATACATTAGACCTGTGTGCTGAGCCTGAAAGTTGGCTGTGGTGTTCAAACAATGGTCTGTACTTAGGGAGGCCGAGGCAGGAGGGTGGCAAGTTTGAGCCTTGCCTGGGTAACATAGTGAGACCCTATCTAGAAATCAGAAGTGAAAAGGGGTGGAGATACAGTTCAGTGTAAAGGTCCTGGGCTCAATCCCTGGTACTACGTGGAATAAAAAGGCTGACGTGCCTTCAGGAAGCAGGCTTGTAAGCAGGAAGACCTGATTCCTAGCTGGTGTCTCTGAGCAAGTTGCTTCATTCCTGAACACTTCCTGTCCTGTGTAGAGAGCTGCTCCCAGGCTGCTGTAAGGAGAGAACCATGGAGGCAGCCAGGTAACGGCATGGTTGTGCCGTGGTCCCTGGAACCAGTGCGTGTGGTACAGTACTGGGCAGAGTTGATAAAGCACAGGGGTCTGGGGTGCACAGCACCTGACTTGCACCTGGGCAAGCTCATGGGGTGTCGGGGGACCCAGCAGAGCCACAGGCTCTTAAGGTACCGATAAGAGGCAGCAGAGGTCGGAATGATGCAATCTAAGGCTACACTGCCCACAGGCGGCTTTGAAGGAACCACCGAGGAATGGGGCCCCTCTGTGGGCCGCAGGACCTAAACTTCTGTTTTAAGCCACTGAGCCTGCTAGAGGCAGTTTGTTGTGGCAGTCACAGAGCAGAGGCAGCTCAGAGGCTGGCATGTCCAGATTGGTGACAGAACTGCACAGCCCGCACAGCAGGGAGATCTTGCAAAGCCTGACGTTTATCAGCAGCTTGGGAGTCCTCGCCCTGCCTGACAGATGCAGAAGAGCCTGGACACACTTGTGGCTCATCCAGCAGCCACTAGAAGAGCACACAGACAGGTGAAGCTAATTTCATTTGAATCAGTTGTTTGGTGCTGGGGGCTCTCACACTGAGCTAATTTCCCAACCCTTTTTTTATTTTCGGAAGAGGTCCTGTCAGGCACCAACTTTCGGTCCTCCTGCCTGAGCCTCCCACAGTGGTGGGAGTTGATTTTTTTTTAAAATTTAATCCAATGTGGCCTTAATGGAGCCCTTTCAACACATAACCACTGAAATTTCTGAGTGTGACATTTCACATTTTGCTTCTCTGCTAAGTCGCTGAAATCTAGTGTACATCTGACATAGCTCACGGGTCAGGTCTCAGAAGACACACATAGCTGGCTGCTGCTTTGGACAGCACAGTGTTGGAAGCACCAGGGAGCTTTTAAAACAAAGCATGCAGGCCTCGGCGGCAGCAGGATTCCTGGATTGCATTGGGGCCAGAATCCCAGCAGTGGGATGGCACCGAACTTTCTCAGCCGTGATTAGCAGACTGCAGGGCACAGACCATCCCTCCTGCCTACCTCTGGAATGTTTGTGGTCAGGAGCACAGGTGCTCAGTCCCAGTGTGGAAGACCCGGGTAGAGGGTGACTGGGGTACGTCTGAACACTGTGCTGGGCTGCCCCTGCCCCACCACGTCCCCAGCAGCAAGCAGAGTCCCAGGGCCCAGGGCCGGATGCCAGAGGCCAGCCAACGCCCTTCTGCAGGGAGAGAAAGGACCAGGTCTAGTCCCCCCAGGCCACCTCCTAAAGCTCAAGGTGGCCAGAGGCCCCCCCCCTTGCATGTCACCTTCCTGAGGCCACTTGGTGGTGGGGAGGCTGCCTGTTCTCCAGCCCTTCCTGCTCCTGCCTGTGTGCCCAGCACGCAGGAGTGTGCTGCCAGGGGCTGAGACTCTTCCTTGGCCCTCACAGCAGGGAGGAGTGTCAGCTGCAGCTCAGTGCTGGGGCAGAGCAGCTGGGAGGCTGGCTTAGGTCCTGTGCCTCAGTTTCCTCATCTGCAAAATGAATCTACCAACAGATTCCCCCTTGTGGGGGGTGGAGGGTCTGTGGGTGTGTATGGGCCTGATGTGTGGTGATGCCGGGCTCACTGTGTACAGAGGAACAGAGACCGTCCCTGTGGGGTGCTGACCTGTGCCCCAGTTGAGGCAGCTGTAAGTGGGAGCCAGGGCTGCTGCTGTGTGCCAGGCAGGATTCTACGCCAGGGTCCTTCCTCAGCTCTGTGTTTTGTATCTTCTGTTGGGTTTTACTGATTGCACAGTGTGGCTTCATGCTCCATCCTCCTGCCTCAGCTTCTTGGGTAGTGGAACTAGAGACTGTGTCCCTGTACCTGGCTGGAACTGCCTGTCCTAACAGGAGGAGCATGCAGACATGGCCCTGAGGCCAGCAGCAGGCCGGAGCTTGTGCATGAAACCCAGGTGGCCCGAGTGGAAACCTCGGAGTGGCGTCAGGGAACCCAGCTGCTAACCTGAGACCTCGGCCTCGCCTTCCCCAGCTCTGCCTGCCTGCCAGCTCCCACTCAGGTCAGGTCTGGCTCAGATGTCACCCATTTGGGAAGCCTCCTCTGCCAGGGCTCCCTCATGCCCATGAGCACGCTCTGTCCCCATGTCCCACTGCGGGGTAGGACACAGGACAGCTAAGAGGCCAGGCCTGCTTAGGGGCTGTCCATCCCCTGGCCCCACAGCGCCCCTCTGACACATCCTCGCTCACATGCCCTGGAAGATGTAGTGCAGATGCGGCTGTTTTCCCTCTGGTGAAATAAACACCAGCCGCAGACAGCCACGGGCTCACCTGCCTGGGTGTGACTCAGTCCCCTGACCCGTGGGACAGACAGGTCTGCAGTGACGTCACCAGTGCCCGGGACGAAACCACTGGGCTGGGTCCCCGTCCCTTCCAGAACTGGTGCGGCGGGAGTTTGACTCAGGGCTCCCGTGTGTCACCCATAAAGCCAGGCACACAAGTGACAGTGGGTTGGGCTGTGACACTCTGGCGTTCTCAGAAGCACGGATTCCCCCTGGGGCACACTCAGACGTGTGGGCTGTGGTGGCCCAGTTTCCCCAGTGGGAATGGTGGTGGGGCTGGGGCCACCAGCACAGAGGGGCGGCCCAGGGAGGCCGGGCGCTTCCTGTCAGGGCAGCGTGCTCTGCGCAGTGCACTTGGCCTGGCCACACAAGTGCTGTGTTCGCCGTCATCAATGGCCTTTGAGGTGGCCAGGGTGCCTGAATGAGCGCGCTCTGTCCTTCCCGCAGGGCTTTGGCAGCACAGAGCAGAATGACCCGCCGCACTGCCAGCCTCCTGGCCGCGCTCTGAAGAGCATCTCTGTCCCTGCCAGGGCTGCCGTGGCCTCGTGATAACAGCACAAGGAGGCTTAAGTTGATTCATTCCAGGGCCGATTTTAAAAACAGAAATTGTGTTATAGCTACTTCCCCGTTTAGCGCTCGTGGCTAAATTATTAGCTGGAGAGAGACACTGCCGTTAAGTCACCCAGTCCTTGGGCTAGAAAGTGCTTTTGTGCATTCGAGTGTCCCTCTCCATGTGTCCAGGGAAGATTTACTGGACTGAGGCGGGGCGGGGCGTGCAGGCAGGGGCTGGCCCAGCCTGTGTCAGGCCCTGGGTTCCATCCCCAGCACCACAGGAAAGTAAAACAAACAACGACAGATCTGTGACCCCGGTGTGGTGGGGGAAGCGTGGACACAGCAGGGGACCAGACGGCCCTTGTCACTGGGTACCTACAAGGGTGGGGTCCAGGACCCCAGCAGCTTGGGTCTCAGGCAGAGTGATGCAGGCTCGCCTGGAAGCTCCACTGTCCAGCCGGGACTTGGGACCACGGGTACACCATGTGAGCGCTGGCCGTCCTCGGCTGCTGGGGAAGGAGGACAGGGAAGCCTGACCATGTGCTCGCACTGTTCGCCTCCTGGCATCATGCTGGACGGCTGGCTGACCTGTGGCTGCGGCTGCATGGGCACCGAGGGTCATCTGCACTTACGCTCCAGGTGTTGAGGGGGACAGACAGACAGGACTTCCCGAGGGCAGGTGCCGAGGGGGCATGCAGCAGGATGTGTGACAGCGCTTGGAAGGTGGTGGAGGAGGCTGGGTGGGCCATAGCTCTGGGAGGGTGGGGGCAGGGACAGAAGGCAGCCGCAGGGCTGGGGACAGGCAGTGGTTGGCTGGTTTGCTGCACTGTGCCAGGACTTGTCCCTGTCCAGGTCCCCTGCCCTCCCTCCTCTAGCCTGCAGCTCTCTCCCCAGGTCTCCTGCCACGGAGCCCACAAAACAACACTGCCCGCTGCCCAGGGAGGCTCCATGCCTCGGCAGAAGTGGGGAGAGCCGCTCTTCCAGGCTGCCTCAGTGCCACCCACTGTCCCCTAGTGCACCCCACCCAGTGGGAGTTGAGTGGAGACAGCTCTTCTGAGCCGTCTGAGACTCCTTCTCTCCAGGGATCTGACAGGAGATTGGGGTGCCAGGCAGCAGGTGGACTCTCCTGCAGTGGTCACCATTGTCCTTCCTTCTTTCCCCAGCTCTGGGTTTTCTCCCCTGCTCACGAAGTCAGGAGCCTGGAAGGTTCCTCTTCGGGATGTAGAGGGACTAGCTGCCTGCATTCCCACTGCTAGGACAGTTGTGGCTCCCGAGCAGCCAGGGTCCTGGCCAGAGCCCACAGTGTGACCCAGGCTTCCAGGAGCTCCCCCTCTCCCTGTAAAAGTGGGCCCTGTTGAGCAGGAGTGGGGTGGCATCTCGAGAAGCAGCATCACCAGAGTCAGGCCTCCTTGGGGCCCCATGTAGAGAAGGTGTCAGGACGCCTGGCAGTGAGGACCCTGCCAGAGGCCACTGTGTCACCCTGGCCCGCTCCTGGGATGAGGCCTGGCTGCCGCCTGGGAGGAACAGAGACTGGGGATGCCCACAGCCCCCACTGCGTGAGCACTGGGCTCCCTTGTGTGGCGCCTGGCTGCCCCACACATCAGCTGCCTGCACACAACAGGCCTGTGTTCTGGGCCATGGGTGCCTGGCTGACACTGCTCTGTCCTCTCCTGCTGCGTCCCCTGGTGCCACGATCCGGAGACCACAGGCAGGCCGCACCATCCCAGCACGGACAGTGTCACTGTTGGGGCAGTGGAGCAGGCTCGTCACCACCTTCCTCATGGAGTTCTGCAGGCCAGTGGCAGTCGTTACTAGAACCAGCTCCAATGTCAGGAGGGCCGAGGCCAGGTTACAGTGCTGAGGCCAGGTTACAGGACTGGCAGTCGCTGGGAGGCGCTGAGCCACTTACTGGGCGCCCCGCCCCCCCAGGGTGTAGAAGCAGCCAGACTCAGTACTGGCTTTGCCCTTTTATCAGAGGAGACACTGGATCCCTAATCCTGAGGGCTTCAGTTTCCTCCCTAAGAAAGCTGCATCATAAACTAGCTGTGGTGATGCAGGCCTTAACCCCAGCACTGTGCAGGCTGAGGCAGGAGGGTTTCAAGTTCAAGCACTTAGCAGTGACTTAGTGAAGACCTTTCTCAAAATAGTGGCTGGGGACATGGCTCCAGGAAAAGCCCTGCGGCCACTCCCCAGTGCTGAGGGGAAGAAAGGCGAGGAGAGAGGGAGAGACCGGGAAGCGGGTCCTGCCCGAGGCTGTGGCTGTGGCGGCTGTGCGCTCAGTGACCAGTGCCACTCGGGCAGGTCTGGTCTCCGCGCCAGCAGGGACCTCTGGTGGCGTGATGTGGACTCTGCAGACAGGACAGGTGGCTCTGCCTGGCTGGTTAGGCTTTGTGAGCATAGGGCAGCAGCCCCTTGGGTAAGAGAGTCCCTGTACCTTTGTGAGGGGGTGGAGAGCCGCCGAGGACCAGAGTGCCATACCCTGGGCAGCCAGGGAGGCCAGGGTTCTCACTGCCTGTGCCTGTTGGGCATCCGTACTCCTGCTCGGGCTCGGCTGGACGCTGTTCTGTGCCTGCTTATGGACTTGCCGCCAGGAGGAGCCTCACTGCCACCTGGATCTGGCGACAGCACTGCTGGGCCCCGGCTCCACTCCCCCAGCGTCCTCCTGGGTGGGGCAGAGCCCAGGCAGAACGGGGAATGAGGCCCCCTTGTGGCCGATGGGTGACAGGGCTTCCTCCTGGGAGGGGACAGTGTCACTGTTCAGGAAGGGCCTATGCCAGGCAGGGGAATCTGGTCTCAGGGCTCTGGGGCTTCTCCCCAAGGACAGGCCACAGGATGCCAAGAGACTCTTCCTTGGGCCTTGGGCGAGACAGCAGTGTCACCCAAGCCACCAGCACAGCTGGTGGTGTCCTCTTGCCCAGGGCCTGGGAAGCCCCGTGGCTCTGGTCTAGGAGTCAGCGGTGCTGTGTCCACAGTCACAGCAGACCGTGCTTGACAGCAGCAGGGCTTGGGTGACAGCCCCCCTCAGGTGGCCCCCGGGAACCCCGACAGCTCTTAACAGCTGCCTCCGTGTCCCCACAGGCCATCAGCATCAGCAAGGCCATCAACAGCCAGGAGGCCCCGGTGAAGGAAAAGCATGCCCGCCGTATCCTTGTGTCCTCACTGGGTCCCCAAGGCTGGGATGGTGGGGATTGGGGAGCAGTTAAAGTCTGGGCGCAGCTCCTGCTGCCTTGTCCTCGCTCCTGCCTGGCTGAAAACCTCCGTTCCCACAACCTGGGGTGCAGGCCCTGCCCCATCCCTCCCGGGACTGTGTCCACCAGCACTGCCCCGCACTTGGCCTTGACCGCGCAGGCATCATCCTGGGCACGCACCATGAGAAGGGGGCCTTCACCTTCTGGTCCTATGCCATCGGCCTGCCACTGCCCAGCAGCTCCATCCTCAGCTGGAAGTTCTGCCACGTGCTGCACAAGGTCCTGCGGGACGGCCACGCCAACGTGAGTGCCACCCTCCCGGCCCCGTGGGCTTCCCTGGCCAGCACCTCACTCCTGCTCGCCCCCGCAGGTGCTGCACGACTGCCAGCGCTACCGCAGCAACATCCGGGAGATCGGGGACCTGTGGGTAGGTGCTGGGGTGGCTGTGGGGTGTGGGGGGTCCGAGCTGTGCATGGGCCCTGTGGAGCCTGGGCTGGCGTCACCTCTCCAGCGTGGCAGTCAGTCTGGCGGTGTGGACCCCAGTCCTGTCCAGGCAGGGCTGGCGGTGGCATCCCCGCCTGCTCTTCAGGACGCTCCAAGATTCCCGAGCCTGGGCCTTGATCCCCCCCAACCTGGAGTCAGGAGCACGGTGGGGTGACAGGGCCTCAGTCTCTGTGCTCTTGGCACTAAGGGCCCCCTGTATCGCATCCTTGCCCCTGAAGGCGAGGGACACGATGTTCACAGTGCCCTCTGCAGACAGCTGGGCCACGGCGTGGGAGGGACAGGACAGGGCATGACAGGCAGCCTGGTTGCCTCTCCCTTATCTGCCTGTAGCACTTTCATGAAGTATCCGGGCTCGGAAATGGCCCGCTGCCTCGAGCAAAGCACCCTCTTCTCAGGAGAGGTTCCTGGCTAGAATGACAAGGCCAAGATAAGGGGAAAGCTGGAGACAGGGCGGTAGTACAGGGAAGCGACCGCCGCGGGAGGCATCGGCTTTGTGTCTGCCTCTGTGCCATCCCCATCCTGTCCCACCTCTGTTTCCTTGTCTGCCCAATACCTGCTGCACCTGGGCTCTGCATCTCGACCTCAGGGCAGGGACCTCACAGAGCTCTGTCCCTGCAGGGCCACTTGCATGACCGCTACGGGCAGCTAGTGAACGTCTACACCAAACTCCTGCTGACCAAAATCTCCTTCCACCTCAAGGTAGTTTCCTTGGGGGGCTGCAGGCTCTGTGCCCCCGCACAGCCTGTGCCCTGTCCTTCCCCAAGGCCTTGCCACACCTCAGGCTGCTCAGCCATGAGGGCAGGGCAGCTGTGGGTTGCCATCCTGCCTGCAGCTGGGGTCTCTCTGCAGCACCCCCAGTTTCCAGCGGGCCTGGAGGTGACGGATGAGGTGCTGGAAAAGGCGGCTGGGACTGACGTCAACAATATGTGAGTCCCCTCCCCACTTCCCGATGTCCCCAGCCCAGATGCCTGTGCAGGGGGTGGGGACTGGGGGATAGCTGGGGCCCAGCCACTCAGCCCCCGCTCCACTTTGCCCTCACAGCTTCCAGCTCACCGTGGAGATGTTTGACTACATGGACTGCGAGCTGAAGCTGTCAGAGTCAGGTGGGGGCGGAGAGGATGCCGGACTCCGAGCAGACCGATGGGTGTGCACAGTGCAGGCCAAGGCCACTGGCCTTTGAGGAGAGCAGTCTGTCACTGAGCTGTCCCTGGCCGCTGACAGCATTCTTAGGTGCAAGCCAGCTGTGGTAGTGCACACCTATGATCCTATGATCCTGGGAGGCTGAGGCAGGAAGATTTAAAGTTCAGAGCCAACCTGGGCAAGTCAGCCTGACCTTGTCTCAGCAAATAAAAAGCCCTAGGGTGGGGCTCAGTGGCAGTCGCGCTTGCTTAGAGTGTGAGGCTTGGGACTCGGCCCCCAGCACCACAAAAACAAGTTCTTAAAGCTCCTGTCCTCCTGGGGTCCACGCCCATCCCAAAGCAGGTACCTCCCGAGCCCCAGCCCCAGCCACGGCCCTGGCCTGTCCAGGCTCGCAGTCTTCAGTCCCTGCTGTGGGTGTCACTCCACCAGCCCAAGAGGGACGGCCTGGGGCTGTGGTTCCCTCCCCGAGAGGCCCTTGGCGGCACTGCCTGCTTTCTGCCCTAAGCAGCCCAAGTCACCCAGGGCTTGGTAGCCCAGGAGTTGCCAGTGGATGGGCAGGAAGCGTTCCCCACGGCGGTGTGAGGTGCACACACTGCGCTAAGGGACACTGCGGGTTGAGGCACGGTGGCTCTGCCCTGGGCTCTGAGCTGTTCCCATGGGGCTCTGGGGCTAGGCCCTGGGAGGGGCACACAGGCAGGGTACAGGGGCGCAGGGTATGGCTCCCCAGTGCGTCTGTGCCTGAGCCTGGGCTGTGGCTTTGCATCCTGGCAGACAAGTGCTAAACCCAGGCCCCTTGTGGCCCAGAGGCCACCAGGCACAGGCCACATCCCACCCTGGCTGCTCCAGGTCCCGGAGGAAGCCCAAGCAGGCAGCAGCGGTCCCCACAGTGGATGTGCAGGGAACCCAAGGCCCCCACCCACAGGGATGCAGATGTGTCGAGGAAGCACAAAATGAGGTCACAGTGGTGCCGGCCTCAGCTGTGGCCCAGCAGCTTTATGGGCTGAGAGATGGTGTGGAGCTGGGATGGTGCAGAGGCTGGGAAAGGCCTGAGAACATCTGTGGGAAGCCACGCAGGCCCCGTCCACTGTGCTCTGTCCCGTTGGCAGGGTGCCCACTGGAAATGGAGGGGCCACGAGGGGGCTTCACTCCTCTTTCTGTCCCGTCCCCCCAGGGGTCCACTCACAGCCCCTGCCCCGGCCTGGCAGGGTCTACGCGCAGTGGTGTAAGCGCTGGGCCCCCATCACCTCTGCCCTGGTCCGCTGCCTGCTCGCTGTCCTGGGGAAGCTGTGGGCCGGGGAGGAGGCAGTTATGTTTGTCTTTGTCCCTCAGCTCGGTAGTTCCAGTCAAGCCTGATAGCCAGCCTGGGGGGAGCGAGGTCTGGGAGCCCAGGTGCCCACCTTGTGCTTCTCAGCTTCACGGCGGGTTTAAGTGGCAGCTGTCGCCCTGTCTTGCTGGTACCTCACTGTGACCTTGAAGGGATGGGTCGCTCTGTCACCAGCTGGTTGGGGCAGCTGCCTGGGCCAGGGCTCCAGTCAAGCCGCTCACGCGCTCTCCTCCCACCCTTTCCACGCAGTTTTCCGGCAGCTGAACACGGCCATTGCTGTGTCCCAGATGGCCTCGGGCCAGTGCCGCCTGGCCCCGCTCATCCAGGTCATCCAGGACTGCAGTCACCTCTACCACTACACAGTCAAGCTGCTGTTCAAGCTGCACTCCTGTGAGTTACCACGGTGACAGTGAGCTGTTCACCTGCTTGTGTGGAGAATGGGTGTTACGAAAACAACCACTGGAAGATCTGGTGGTGTAGTTGTACGATTTTTTTCTTTTTTTTGTATCGGGGATTGAACTCACGACCGCGCACTTGCAAAACAGGCGCTTATGCCATGGAGCTAAATCCCTTGCTAGATTCACACTTTAAAATTTTTAAAAACATTTTTTTGGTGCTTTTGAGACAAAATTTCACTGTACAGTTCAGGCTGGCCTTGAGCTCACTTTGTAACCCAGGCTGGTCTCAAACTCATGGAGATCTTCCTGCTTCAGCCTCCTGAGTGCTGGGATTACGGGCACGAGCCACATATCTGGCAGTTTCAGACTTACGACTTTTTGTCCCCACTAAGGATTGAACCTAGGGCATTCATACTGAGCCAAGCTCCTTTTTCTTTTTTGAGACAAAGTCTTAGTCATTAAGTTGCCCAGGCTGAACTCAAACTTGTAATCCTCCTGCCTCAGCCTGCTAGCTTGCTGGGATTACAGGCTATGCCACTGCACCCAGCCCCTTTGTGACTGTCCCTGGCTTCTGTAAGACAGTGGCCCCTCAGCTACTTTGACTTGTCACGCCACATTCTAGGGGAGCAAGAGTGAAAAGGCATCTGTTTCTGTGGGTGGGAAAGGCCCTGGGGGGACACTGTCATCTGACCACCCTGAGAATCACTAGTGTGCCTGCCGTTTTTCCTCAGCTAGGATGGGTATGGTCACAGCAACCTCACGGAGGTGTCCTCGAGGCCTGGTGTCCCCATGCCAGGGGCCTATGCTGCGGTCACAGGTGGTCTCTGTGATCCGAGGGTTCTGGAACACAGATGCAGTGGGCGGGGCGGGGGCCCCAAAGCACTGCATGGAGAGGAAGCGCCCCTCAACTCATGCTATCCCCAGGTCTCCCAGCGGACACACTGCAAGGCCACCGGGATCGGTTCCATGAGCAGTTCCACAGGTACTGGGTACAGGGCCAGCCTGGCTGCAGAGGCTCTGTGGCTGCCAGGTGACCTGTCCCCTCCTCCTGTCTCTGCCGTAGCCTCCGGAACTTCTTCCGCAGAGCCTCGGATATGATCTACTTCAAGCGGCTCATCCAGATCCCCCGGCTGCCTGAGGTACCTGCACCTCACCCCGGCCCTGGGGACCACCAGGGAGGGAGGCTAAGCTGCCCTGACCTCTGTCCCTGCAGAGTCCCCCCAACTTCCTGCGGGCCTCAGCCCTGGCAGAGCACATCAAGCCTGTGGTGGTGATCCCCGAGGAGACCCCAGAGGATGAGGAGCCCGAGAACCTCATCGAGATCAGCACAGGGCCCCCCACTGGGGAGCCTGTGGTGAGCACCTCAGTGCTGGTGTCCTGCGTCTAGCCCCGAAAGGCTGGGGGGGGGGGTGTTGGGCAGCTGGCAGCAGGGATGAGGCGGGGCTCACTGTGCCTTGCAGGTAACAGCCGACCTCTTCGATCAGACCTTTGGACCCCCCAACGGCTCCCTGAAGGATGATAGGTGAGGCCAGGAGCGCTGGGCGGGACAGGACACCGGTCTGCAGGGAGCTGGACCAGAGCTCAGGAGCCAGCGGGGGGTCACGGTGGTGGCGGCTGGTGATGAGGGCGCGAGTCTGGCCTGTGGGTGACCGAGCCTGAGCCCTGGGGCCTCTGCCAGGGACCTCCAGATCGAGAGCCTCAAGAGCGAGGTGGAGCAGCTGCGCACCGAGCTGGAGAAGATCAAGCTGGAGGTGAGGCGGCCGCCTCGGGTGGGCAGGGGCTGGGGGCAGGACCCCAAGGGGCACAGACCCCGCACCGTCCCATCCTGCCGTCTTGCTGCCCGCCCGCAGGCTCAGCGGTACGTGGCACAGCTGAGGGGCCAGGTGAACGCGCTGGAGGCCGAGCTGGAGGAGCAGCGCAAGCAGAAGCAGAAGGCCTTGGTGGACAACGAGCAGCTCCGCCACGAACTGGCCCAGCTGCGGGCCGTGCAGGAGGAGGGCGCGCGGAGCCAGGGCCTGCGCGAGGAGGCGGAGAGTACGCGCGGGACCTAGCGGTGCCAGTGGGGGGAAGGGAGAGGGCCCCCAGCAGCCCCCGCAGCCGGCTCCTCTCCTCCGGCAGGGAAAGCGAGCGCTACCGAGGCGCGCTACAGCAGGCTCAAGGAGAAGCATGGCGAGCTGGTAAAGGCGCACGCTGAGCTGCTGAGGAAGGCAAGGTGCCCCCCGGCCCGCGCCCCCGCCTCCCCATCCCTCTCCCCGGGCCAGCGCTGAGCCTGTGTCCTTCCGCAGAACGCCGACACCGCCAAGCAGCTGACGGTGACGCAGCAGAGCCAGGAGGAGGTGGCGCGGGTGAAGGAGCAGCTGGCCTTCCAGATGGAACAGGTGAAGCGCGAGTCGGAGATGAAGGTACGGCCACGCCCTGCCCCGTCCGAGGCCCTGCCGCGTGCTCCACCTCGTACCCCATGACACTGTGTCTCGTCGCAGCTGGAGGAACAGAGTGACCAGCTGGAGAAACTCAAGACGGAGCTGGAAGCCAAGGCCTTCGAGCTGGCACACACGCAGGAGGCCCTGAGCCGCACGGAGCAGGTGCTGCAGGCCAGGCCGGGACTGGGTGGGCCAGGCAGACCTGCCCTTCCAGGTGCAGGGCCACCCAGGGGGGCGTGGTGGCCCCGGGGCACCTAGGGGACACCCAGCTGCATGGCCCCGCCCTGAGCCAATGGCATGACGTCTGCAGAGCGGGTCAGAGCTGAGCTCTCGGTTAGACGCACTGAGCTCGGAGAAGGATGCGTTGGGCAGCGCCGTGCGGCAGCGGGAGGCCGAGCTGCGGGCCGCCCAGCACCTGGCCCAGGAGAAGGAGGCAGCCCTGAGCCAGGAGCAGCAGCGCAGCTCCCAGGAGCGGGCCGAGCTGCAGGGGCGACTGGCACAGAAGGTAGGGGTGCCCTTGGCTGTCCTCCCAGCCGCGGATGCAACTGCCCAGGGCTCAGGAGCACAGCTTCGGCCTCCTGGGTGGCTGCTGGGGACAGCATGGTCACCCTTCTGAGCCACTCACCCGGCCTCCCCCCACCACCACCACCACCACCTGGGGTGTAACCAGAGTCATGGGAGGGCCACCAGGACATCTATGTCCTGTCCCCCACACCACCCAGGAGTCTGAGGAGCAGGGCCTGCGGCAGAGGCTGCTGGATGAGCAGTTTGTGGTGCTTCGGTGTGCTGCCGTCGAGGCCAGGCGCATCCTACAGGATGCCGTGAGCACCCTGGATGACCCCCTGCACCTGCGCTGCACCAGCTCCCCAGGTAGATGCCCCACTGCCCCCCCATGATCAGCCCAACCCAGTAGGGGCCACTGGGCTCACGGCACTCTGTGTTACAGCCTTCCTGGTGAGCAGGGCGCAGACAGCCCTGGATGCTGTGAGCTCCCTGGAGCAGGGCCACAGCCAGTACCTGGCCTCCCCGGCAGGTGAGTGCAGCCTGTGTGCCCTCTGGGTCCCTGGCTGTCCCCCACCATAGGGAGATTTCTGGGATGTCGGGCGCCACTGCAGAAAGCCCAGGATGGTGGCCAGTAGGTATCTTGGGGGCAGAGGAACAGGGCCTTCTCTCTCTGTGAACTGGGGATGCTGTGCCTCACATCAGCTTGCAGAGAGGACAGGACAGGCGGCCCTTGCATTCCCCCCACTCAGCTGACTTGATCCTTTCCGCCCAGACGCCTCTGCCCTGGTGGCAGCCCTGACCCGGTTTTCCCACGCGGCTGCAGATACCATTGTCAACGGTGGTGCCACCTCCCACCTGGCTCCCACCGACCCAGCTGACCGTAAGTGGGGCCTGGGTGGCTGCGGCCAGGGGTTCCAGGCCTCCTCTGGGACTCGGGTGCAGGCTCAGCTTACTCTGTCCCTCTGCAGGCCTGATGGACGCCTGCCGGGAGTGCGGGACCCGATCGCTGGAGCTTATGGGGCACCTACATGAGCGCCAGGCGCTGGCACAGGCACAGCCCGGCCTGGTGCGGTCCCCCCTGCAGGCCATCCTGCAGCTGGGCCAGGTGAGGCGTGCTGGCACCTGCACACAGCCTGGGGGTGCCTGGAACCCACCTTCCCCACACCCTCCAACTTCCTGCGTCCCTACTCTGTGCCGGGCTAAGGCACCTTGGAGTCTGGGGTCCCTGGACCGCTCTCCCTGGCTCCTGTGGTCAGTGTGATCTGCCTGCCTGTGTGGCTGTCCTCCTCCCAGGAGCTGAAGCCCAAGAGCCTGGATGTGCGGCAGGAGGAACTGGGGGCAGTGGTCGACAAGGAGATGGCGGCTACATCCGCAGCCATCGAGGATGCAGTGCAGAGGATCGAGGTGAGGCTGGGATTGAGGGTCCCTAATTCCTGCAGAAGCCCTGGGAGCTGGGCGCAAGCTGCATGGAGCCTTGCACTCAGCCTCAAGACCCACAGACAGCGCTTCTGGAGCCCTCGAGGTGGGAGCTGGGAGGGCAGGAGGGGCTGGGGTTCCTGCCCTGTCCTGGGACTGCAGACACTGGGCCCCCTGGCTGCCACAGTGCCCACTTGGGCCAGCTCACGGCTGTCATTGGCTGCAGGACATGATGAACCAGGCCCGCCATGAGAGCTCGGGGCTGAAGCTGGAGGTGAATGAGAGGTTCGTCCCACTCCTGCCCCCAGGGAATGCCCAGCCCCACCCCAGTTCTGGTCTGGGAGGTCCCCCTTGAATGCCACCTGTTCCCCTGCCCTGCTTTGGTCACATCCTACACAGTGTCACACCTGCCACTCTGTCCTCCCATTGTTCCTCAGGATCCTCAACTCCTGTACAGACCTGATGAAGGTGAGTGGGCCCGGGCCTGGGACCGGGGCGGGCTCCACTGCAATCCAGGGAGGGGCCGTGCCAAGAGCCACGTGTCTCGGTTTGTAGGCCATCCGGCTCCTGGTGATGACCTCCACCAGCCTGCAGAAGGAGATTGTGGAGAGCGGCAGGGTGAGCTGGGCCAGGGCCACGCAGCTGCCAGCCGGGACAGAGTCCCCAAGGGCGACTGAGCCAGGCGCACAGGCCCAGGGAGGCTGCAGGGTGTGTGTAGGAGAGGGGTGAGGGTTGGGGGCGGTTTCCCTCACCTGTGACTCCTCGCACTGCCACCAGGGGGCAGCCACACAGCAGGAATTCTACGCCAAGAACTCGCGGTGGACTGAAGGCCTCATCTCGGCCTCCAAGGCTGTGGGCTGGGGAGCTTCGCAGCTGGTGTAGGTGCCCCGGGGCCGGGGTCTGGGCTCTGAGCCGGGGAGCCTGGGGCAGGGCGGGGCTGGGCCCTGAGCACGATGCCGCCTGCTCGCCCGGCCGCAGGGAGTCGGCAGACAGGGTGGTGCTGCACACTGGGAAGTACGAGGAGCTCATCGTCTGCTCGCACGAGATCGCTGCCAGCACCGCGCAGCTGGTGGCCGCCTCCAAGGTGAGTGGCGCTGGTGTCCGAGCCTCCCCTGGGTGCCGCGACTGCTGGCTGCAGCCAGGGACCCACGGCCCACTCTGTCTATCCCCACTCAGGTGAAGGCCGACAAGCGCAGCCCGTGCCTCGGCCGCCTGCAGGAGTGTTCCCGGGCCGTCAACGAGAGGGCCGCCGGCGTGGTGGCCTCCACCAAGTCGGGCCAGGAACAGGTTGAGGACAGAGGTGACCATGGGTGGTGACAGGGGCTGCTGGCCTCGGGCTGGGGGGCAGTGGGCGCCAGACACTCAGCCCCTTGTCTCCTGGCCACAGACACCATGGACTTCTCCGGCCTGTCCCTCATCAAGCTGAAGAAGCAGGAGATGGAGACGCAGGTGAGCAGCTGGGGCCGGCCATGGCTTCGTCCCTGCCGGGCCAGCACGGTGCTGACCATGCGTTGCGGCCCAGGTGCACGTGCTGGAGCTGGAGAAGACGCTGGAGGTGGAGCGTGTGCGGCTCGGGGAGCTGCGGAAGCAGCACTATGCGCTGGCGGGGGCCGTGGGGCCGCCCAGCGAGGAGGAGCCCAGCCAGCCCACTGCAGCCCCTCGGGGGGCCTCCAGGAAGCCACCCCTGGCCCAGAAACCCAGTGTGGCACCAAGACAGGACCAGCAGGTGCAGGGCGGCAGCGCGGGGGTGGGGGGCCACGCCGAAGGCTCCAGGCCTTGCCCACTGATTTCTCGTTTGACCCCACAGCTGGATGGCAAGGACGGCCTGTACCCCGTTCAGCTTGTCAACTAGGCCCCAAGGTCCAGCAGGGCAGCTGGGGGGCCTGGGTGTCACAGGGCTGGGCTGAGAGGGTTGCCCGCTCGGTGTCCCCAAGGCAGCCCTTTGGGAACATGGGCCGAACGCCCACCTTCATCTGCATTCCTGAGTGTTCTGCCAGCACTTGGGGGACAGGGCCCTCAGGGGCCACCCTGCTGTCCGGATGACAGCTCTGAAGCTGTCAGTCAGAGGTGGGGTCTCCACCAGCGCCTGCTGACAAGGGCAGAGCCAACAAGTAGCCTGCATCCTGTCTCCCAGACTTGGTGCTAGGGCCCCCAAGGTGGGTGCCCCACAGGTGGCCAGCGCCATTCCAGTGCCAGGCAATAAGGACCTGAGCGGCTGCCGTGGCCACACCCACAGGTAGTGCCCGCCCAGGTGCTGCCTTGGGCCCTGGAGTGTCACTCTCAGCTGGACTGCGGCCATCCTACTTCAGTTTTCCGGCCAGACCCGGCTGCCTCTGGCCCCACCTTGGTTGGAGAAGCCAGAATCCATGGGTCCCTGTCTGGGGATGAGGAAGTGGTGGTTACCGGGAGGGGTGCCTGGCATGAGCACCGGGGCTTGCAGTCCCTGGTGGATTTGAATTTTGCTCCGAACCCAGGCGGTGTGACTGGAAGGGGGAGACCCAGCCAGGAGAGCAGAGCCAGCGGCTGGAGTGGATGAGAGATGGGCACCCCCTTGCCAGCCCCTTGGTGGGATGAGGCAGCCCCTCCTGTGTCCTGGTCAGCATTCCTCACTTGAAGTTCCACTGGCAATAAAACGCACTGACTGTTGTCACCAGGGCCCCAGCGAAGGCCTGTGCCTGACGTTTCATTTTTCCAGTGATGCACAGTTCCTCTTCAGGCCCTGGGTAAGGGTGCCCCTCGGTTCCACAGGTGATAACACTGGGCAGCAGCCTTGGAGAGCTGGCTTCCCTCCAGTGTGGGGCTCAGCTGTCTCTGCTGCAGGAGGCTGTGTCAGGAGCCGCAGCCCAGGGTTCCACCCACACCCCTGGTCTCCTGGGCCATCCTTGGGTTACATCCTGTGTCCACGCACAGCTGGCAGAAACTGGTCTGGCCACCTGGAAGATGGTTGTGTCGTAAATGCTACAGGTCCAGATGCCCTCACCTAAGGCACTTGGCCAGTGTGGGTCAGGACAGTGACCACCTCCGAGTTCTCCAGCCCCAACCTGAGCAGCTGCTCTGGTGTGGGACCTGCAGACAGCCTGGTCTAGGTGCCGCTCACTGCCAGGCCAACGGCGTCGCAACACTTTTCAAAGCCAGTGACTGCTATAAGAAAGCACCTCTGTCCTCAGTGACCTACCCTTGCACGGGCGGGGCACACCATGGTGCCCAGGCCTGGGAACCGGAGGCTGCCTCTTCTGGTCCATGTGTCCCACACACTGGCTCCTCCGTCTCGGTGTTGGGGAGCCCTGCTTCCTGCTCCAGACAGTGTAAAATCTGTCACTATGTGGTGTACAGGGAATGCACTCTGCTTGGGGACAACGAGAAATGGCATATAGTGGTCAAGTGCTGACATGGGCCTTGAGCCCAGATATGTGAGACAGGCAGCATACAGGGGCACAGCTCTTCCAGAGGGGGCAGGGCCCCTGCTCCAGGTGTCCAAGGAAGGCGGCGGCTCCTAAGACACCTGCTAGTGTCTTAGGACACTGTGCACAGGACGACTCCCACAACCCCCAGTGGTCACACGGCCCTCTGGATAGTAGAGCCCGCACGTGGTTGCAACCCCATATGGCCTGTACACATGCACGCTTGCTGCTGGGTAAGCGGTGCAGCCATCAGCCAGCAACGGCCCAGGTGGTGCCCACCAGAGCCCCACTGGCATCCTGGCCGCCAAAGTCAGAGGCTGACCCGTTTCAAGCTGCGCCAGGTGAAGCAGTGACACAATTGTAACAATTCTCCATTTATTAAAAATGGTCCTACGACTTACAGCCACAGCACCAGATGTGGCCATGGATGGCACCTGTGGTCGGCCTAGCGACCCTTTTGCAATATCACACTGAGCTCACGTTCGGCAGTGACCACGTGGGCGGGCAACAGAGGTATCAGACACGGTGGAGACGCGGCACCAGGCACCGCAGTGACCTGTCCCAGAGCTTTGCTTCTTTACCAAACAGTCACAATACAGCAGAGTTCAAGTCCAGGAACAGGAGTGTATAGGAAGTGAGGACAAAGGCTGGAGGCCTCGCCTGTGGCCCACTGGGATGGGCCGTGGTTCAGCTCTGCCTTGACTGGCAAGCTGGGTGGTGGCCAGTTGGCAGGCCACAGGTTGGACTGCCTGGCAGGTGGCAGGACGAAGGTGGGGCATGAAGTTCCTCCAATGGTACACTGGCCACGCTGGCCCATGTCCAGCATCTGCACACATGACACGGCACCTGGGGGAGGTGCAGGTGTGGGCAGGGGGCAGAGCGGGTCCAGCCCACCCCCAGGAACCCCCCTGCCCCTTCCCTGCATGAGCCCCACTGGGGAGCCCAGGTCCTGGTTGAAAGCTGCTGCCTGCCCTGCTGTTACAAACAGGATCATGGAGCTGGGAGCTTGGCCTGGCCCACGGACCACAGGGCACCCTGGCGGGCACTCGCGGGCCTCAGCCCTGGCACCAGGTAAAGGTAAGGCACAGCACGGGCACCCACAGGCGCAGCCATGTGCCGCTTGTGTGAAGGAGACTGCACACGCTTCACCTGCGTCTCAACCTGCCCTGCACAGTATATGCACTGTGTAAAAGTTTCCCTGAATGGTCTCGTGTCAGACGGTCCTTCCCAATACAAAACAGAAAATCACTCCTGGAGTAAAAACAGCGGGGGCACTTCGGCCCCAAAACCTGCCAGGGGGCCCTTGGGGACCCAAGATGTGGGAGCAAGGCGTGGCTGCTCCAGACAGCAGTGGCCCCAGGAAGCGTGGCGTTTGTGGCTTTGATGCCAAAGGACGGAGTGGTGGGGTGGCCATAATGACCTGCCCCAGACGCGCTGTGAGCAGAGCAGCTGCCACACTCTAGCCAGATGCAGGGCACCAGCCATGGGGCGACACACAGCACTGTCTTGAAAATGACAGAACAGATACAGTTAGCCATGCTCATTAAATACAGCTGCGGCGGGAGGCCCAGGACCCAACCAGGAGCAGGAGCTGCTCTTCCCAGGTATGTGGGTACAGGAGTCCGTCACACACGCGGGCAGGTGGGCCCCTGCACGCACAGGCCTCGGAGCCGCAGCCTGCGTCTCTACTTCTACTGGCATGGACCTAGGTTCTAGGGTCAGACAGACCCTGGCACAGGCGGCCCAGCCCTGTCCCCAGCTGGAGCAGGCAGCCCAGCATGGAGAGGGCGCCGTGGTGGGCGGGTGCCGTGCTCACTGCAGGATGAAGCCCGGCTGGTGCGGAGGCAGCCTCGGCGGGGGTCTCTGGGGCAGAGCCGGAGGGTACGGTGACACCAACTGTGCAGAGAATCCCTGCTGCGGGGACAGGCCCACCCGGGGTGGCAGGGGCGGGCACTGCAGAGCTGAGTAGGGAAGGGCCTGTCCTGAGCCCAAAGCAGCAGTGAAAGGTGTGGCCAAGCGTCCTGCAGGCACCGGGGGTGGCGGTGGGGGGATGCGCCGAGGCACAACAGAGGGAGGCACAGCCGGCTCCAGGACGGGGTAGGGCGGCGAGGCAGTGGGCACAGGCTCGGGCGCCCTGGCTGGCAGCGGAGCTGGGGCCTGCGGGAGTCTCTGCCCCTTGAGCACCATCTCCTGGAGCTTCTCCACCTTCACCCGCCGCATGTGGGCCAGCTTCCGCTTGCTCTGGTAGACGTCAATGAAGCCGTCCAGCGGGAGCTCACCATCCAGGAACTTCTCGGCCATGTTCTGGGTGCAGCAGCAGAAACCCCGTTACTGACAGGCGGCTGCCCAAAACGCACTCCCTCCACTAGCCAGGGTGCCTCCTTCCGATGTCCCACTTCTGGAAACAGCCCTGCAGGGTCAGCACAGCAGACCCAGGTGCAGCAGCCTAGGCTGGCAATGGCAGGGCCACTGGAGACAAGGTGGGTAGCCATGCTGTCGGGTTGCCTCCTGAACCACGGGCCTGGCTGCAGCCTTATAGGAAAGGGTAGCCCTGAGACGCTGATCCCCTGCCCAGAGATGTGACTGCTGCCCCAGGCCTGGCCATCTCTAGCTAGGCAGCCAGAGCCCACACTGCAGGCACTGCAGGCTGTCCAGCCGACTGTGCCCTGACCACAGACCTGCCCTGGGCTGGGTCAAAAATCCTTGCTAGGCCCAACTGGGCCCCGCCAAGCCCTAACAGTCCCAGAGCAATGCAGACCCTGGCACACGGTCTAGCCCCGACAAGCCTCACTCACCCCCTTGTCTGCTGCAGGCACCCAGCCAGCCTTGTCCAAGGGGCTCTGTGGCCACCTGCTGGCTCACAGGCCATGGGAGATGCAGCCTGGGTTCTGGGGCCTGCGAAGCTGCTGCTGATTCAGTGTGGTGTGTGACTTTCCTGGGGCTGGTGCTTGGTGGCCCTGTACCCTACTGCTGCCTGTTGATCGCCCAGGGGGACCCCAAACCTGAAAGGCTTCCCGCCGAGGCTCGCTGGCCGTACCTCAGTGTCCTCCTCAATCTTGGCCCCTTCTGCTTGAAGCAGTGCCAGAAGTGTCTCCAAGGAAGCGCTGTTGGACTGCTTATCTGGAAGAAGTGGCAGCGTGAGATGGGCTGCCCCCTCACAGATGCCTTCCCACACCCACAAAGGCGGCCAGAGTTGTGTCTACCGAGGGCTGGCTTTCCAGAAGGCGGAAAGGAGCAGCTTTAAGTCCACCATGGGGACAGAGGTGCAGGATGGGCGCCCAGGGACAGACACTCAGGACCAGCGCTGCATGTCAGAGCAGCCAGGTCACGTGAAGCACCTCAAACGCTTACCAGCGTGTAAAGCTCCACTGCCCCCAGGTCGAAAGGACTTTTCCCTTGTGCCTACCCCTGGGTACCCCAATGCCAGTCACCACTGCCACCACTGCAGGTGAGGCTCGCCTGGCCGGCTCCTTCCACCGGACATCACCTGGACCCTACCCACTCTCTCCCGTGCGGGTCCAATCCCGCCGTACACACATCACCGCCTGCCACCATCACTCCACAGCTGGCCGCTTCCAAAGTGAGCTACGGCAAAGAAAGCTGCAGCTCGAGCTGTGGGGTTCTGTGTGGGTGAGTCAGGGTCTCTCGATGAGTTCAGCCTGGCTGCCTTTGGTCCTCGGTAATCCTGCCTCAGCCTCCGGAGTGCTGGAATAGCGTGCATGTGCTCCCATATGCAGCACACATTCTGCAGTACTGGGGATTAAACACTGAGCTACACCCCCAAACCTTTTCAATCTGAGACAAGGTCTAAGTCACTAAATTACCCAGGCTGTGCTTGAATTTTTTTTTTTTTTGTCTTTTTTCTTTTTTATCGGTACCGGGGATCAAACTCACCACCGCCTGCTTGCAAGGCAGGTGCTTATGCCGCTGAGCTAAATCCCCAGCCCCTGTGCTTGAATTTGGTTCAAGTGCTTGCCTGTCTCAGCCTCCCAAAGTGCTGAGATTACAGCTGTGCCCCATCATGCCCAACTTACTCTGTATACTCATCTTCTGACCAACATAAACACCGGTTTTTGTGGGGTGGGCGCCCCAGCAGGCACTGCAGAGTCACAGGGGCACGCACGGTCACTGGCAGCATTGACAAACACCCTTTCCAAGGTGGCTTCCCCACTTTCTATCCCACAGCAGTGGATCCTCGCACCGCCTCCCGCCTGCGTGGGGCAGGCTGGGACACTCTCACTGGGGTGAGGGGGACACCCTGGGTGGAGAAAGGCACGGCACCCACAGGACAGCACAGTGGCCTCACTAATGGGGTAAGGTCCCCCAGGGTTTCCCACCCTGAGTGTCCCCTGAACGGCTAGAGGTCTAGCTGAAGAAAACAGCACTTGTCCAGCACAGGAGACCTCGCGCTCAATGCGAGCACCATGGATCACCTCTCCCCGCTGGCCAGGCGTGGCGGGCAGGTCTGCAAACAGCCTGGGCCACGTAATGAGTTCAAAGCCAGCCTACACTGCATTCGGAAACCATGTCGTCAAACCAACCACCAAGAAAGCAAAGTTTCCCTCAAAAGCTCTCAAAAGCGCTGTGGACTCCTGGCAATACTCAATTCCTCCATCTCTTCATGACAACTGTAAACAGCGTAATAATAAAATGTTCCAGTGGTAAACACCACATTAATCTAGAGGATCAAACACAAAACATAAATCAGAAAGTACTTTTTTCTATGCTATTTAGAAAAGGCAGACTCCTGAATTTAAAAATGGGTCTCTTTTCAAGGGGCTGGGGATTTAGCTCAATGATTCAAGTGCTTGCCTGATAAGCAGGTGGTCATGAGTTCAATCCCAGCACCAAAACAGTAAAAAAATGTGGTCTCTTTTCTCAACCAGCAAAAATTGTATATACATTGTGCTGCCCCTAGTTACTGTCTGAACCTGAAAGTCTCCCATCATATTCCTCTCTCAGGAAGGCAACAGCCTGAGAGCCTGCCTTGCCCGTGACCGCTGTCTGGAGCCGAGTTACCTAGCTTGGTCTTCTTTATCTGGTAGGCGTCGAAGAGGACCTGGAGCTCCTGGTACTTCTGAGTCAGGCGCGCTTTCCGGGTGTCCAGCTGCGGCTGGTAGAGCAGGTTCCCCTCCGCCAGGCTCCGGTTGCTGGCGAGCGTCATTTCTTTGCTCAGCTGCACCGTCTGTGTCTGCATGAAAAGCCCGAGTGTGTCAGCTCGTGGGGTTCCCTGTGCCCAGGCCACACCACCCCCGGGGCAGAGGCTGCCATTGAGCCTGCGTCCTGCTCGCATCCCACTCAAATGAAGGCGTGACGCCAGCCTTCTGCCTGTGCAGAGCCGCCGCCCCAGTGGCTGCAGTGTGACTGGAAGCTCACCCAGGGTCACTGGCTGGCCAGGAAGAAGCTGCAGGCACCGGGCCGGTTTAAGAACCACTTGCATGGCGGGGACCCTCGGTGCAGCCTTCACATCGACCACACATCCACATCCCTGAGCACTCTGGGGCTGCGCGTTAGCCATGGTGACCCAAAATGATTGATTTACTTATTTCTACGGTACTGCGACTCGAATTCAGGACGTTGTGCCTGCCAGGCAGGCGCTGTGCCACTGAGCTGGTTCCCGGCCCTGGTACCTGAAATGATGACAGGTTACCTGCACAGGGCTCGGGGAGAAGGAAGGCGCAGCGCTCTGAGTGCCAGTGGGTGCAAACGCAGCCAGTGCAAAGCAGGGAGACACGCGCCTGACGCCAAGCGCTTCACACTTAGGGTCCCTTTCACCCACTCCTGTGCTCTTTCCCGAGGCCGCCTCCCTGGGACTTCAGTGTGTACAAGGAGCTCCCGCCGCCCCTGCCACCGCAGTGTCCCCTCACACTGCCCAGCACCCGCCCACGCTATTTCCGCAGCCGCTTCCTTCCTCTCTGGATTTTGGAACCGTTCCTCCCTCCCACACCTCCCACCAAATCCTCAACACGCTTGCACAGTAACTCTGGCACGCAGAGCACAGAGCGACCCGGGCAGGACACACGAGCTGCACCTCACACTGAGCCACTCGCGGGGCCCGAGGATCCTGTCAGTGTAACACTGACAGGTAAACCTCCTGACCAAACGCCACTGATCAGTAGCATGACCACGCCAACAACGGAAAAGAACTGACTCCGAAAGGCACACAGAACCTGACCCCAGGCCAGGGCAAGAGCCGGAACCCACCAGGTCAGGATCCTTGGGTACGGACGGTTTCTGTCTTCAAGCGGTTTTAGCCTGTCTGCCATCAGTTTCCCAGCCTGAAGCGCACACAGACACAGGGATGGGCCAGCCAAGGCACCGGGGATTCTCACATCCTCTGTGCATCACGTGAGTAAGTGCCAGGAACTCCGAGCAGCTGCCCTGGGCTCACCCCCAACACCCCAGGCAGGCGCTGCAGGCAGCGGGGGTGCGGGCCAGAAAGGGGTGCTGAGCGTGGGCAGAGCTCTTCCAGCACCCCTGGCCCAGCACTCTAGCAGCCGCATCCCTTGTACCTGTGCCGTCTGCCCTTTCCACTGCCTCCAGCTGAGGATCAGTGGCAGGAAACAGCCAGGGCAGGACGGGCAGAGCCCCTCAGACCCAGGGTTGTGAGCCAAGCTGCCCACCGCCACCAGACTACAGCAGGAGGGGTCCCAAGCTGCTCGGGTCCTCTCCCCACACAGGGGCCATCAAGGAGCCTGCAATCGGGAACACCAGTGTGCCCTTCTGATCCTCATGATCCCTTTCTTTGTGGTATAGAAACATTTAAAAATGTATTGAGTCTCCCTTCCACTTCCGTTTTTCTCCCCAAGGACAATGAGGTGTGAGACCAGTGCATCTGTAGCTGGCCTGTCTGCCAGCCGCTTAGCCAGCTGCCTGCTGGCCCGGTGCGGTCAGGAAGCAGGGAGGCCAGCGGGCTCCTCCCTCCCTTCCCACCTCCAACCTCCAAGGGGCAGGGATTCGTGTAATGCAAAGGACAGGTGTTCTGGGAAAACAAACTGCCTTTGTTTCAACAACGGAAAAACTTCTACTTGTATAAGGTAGAAATGTGGATCTCTTTCTCTCAGGACAATTTATTTATGTGTGCAAGAACGTGCTGGAGATTAAACTCAGCCCCACACATTCGAGGCAAGCTAGACTCTACCATGAGCTCTGTACCTACCGTTGCCCTTTTTAACACAGGCTCTCATTAAATTGCCAAGGCTGACCTCAAACTCCTGATCCTCCTGCCTCAGCCTCCTGAGTAGCTAAGATTACAGTGCACACTACCATACTTGGTTTCATTATGTATTTATTTTGATTGGGGGAATATAAGAGAAAATAAATTCATAAAACAGGTTAAGAATTTTCCTCTGGAGCCAGATGCAGTAGCACAAATCTGTAAATCCCAACACTGGAGGCTGGAGCAGGAGAATCTCAAGTTAGGGTCCTGCCTAGGGAATTTCATGAGACTCTGTCTCAAAAGATAAAGAGGGCTGGAGATGGAGCTCAGCATGAAGGCTAGCGCTAGGAAAAAACGGGCACATAAACAGAAACCCCTCTGCACACGTAACAGTCCACAGCAGGGACAGGGTGAGGGGCCGGTCGAGCTCGCAGTCCAGCAGCCGGTACAGCTTGAACCGAGCCGGCCGAGTCTGGCCTCCATATAACCAGAACGGTACCCTCCCAGATGCCCAGGCAGGCCATCTCTCTGTGCGTCCTGAGACGCCTCCCACACACAGTCCCCGCTACTCCCGAGCAGCACTATGTACCCTCGTCGGACCACACAGTGACATTTCTGAGGCTGCTAGCAAGTCTAAGCCATCGGCAACTCTTCTTAGCACTGTGGTCACCAGGGGTGAGAGGGTGACTTCAGTGAACCTGTCCTCTCTGCCCTTCTCTAAACCTGATTTACACAAAGTGGCCCAGCCTGTATTTAGCCAGCAAACCTGGAGATGGACACAACAGGGACTCTGTCACAGCAGAAAAGACATCTTTGTTCCCACCCTGCTCACACAGGTTTCGAAATCCAGGGTGGCTTCCTGCCAAGCCTCTGCTGCCAACTATGTGCCCTAACTGAGCCCCGAGCCCCTCAGTGCCAGGCACCCCCAGGTCCCCTTTTCCTGAGGCACAATCCACAGCAGGAGTGGGAGACAGCAGCCAGGATGGTCCCTGGGCCCTCTGGGCTGGACTTTGCCCCACACCCTGCCAGACACTCTTCTGTGATTTAAGCCACACGACTCACGGTGACCTGTCAGAGCAGCCACAAGGCTCCACCACCTGCCCTCGATGCCCACTCTCCGTCCCGCTCTGCCCTCCCGTGAGCTGAGTGGTTCAGCGTACTGACCACTGGAGCGGGCCACCTGCTTCTGCATCTGGCCAGGCTCAGCAGTTCAGGCCCAAGTGAGAGGAGAATGAAATGGGCCAGGGTTTCTCCCTGGTCCCCTGCCCAAGAAGTGACAGCAGGCCAGCCAGTCCTGCCCTGCCCCAGGACTGTCACACAACCTCTAGTGAGGATCCCTCATTCAGAGTCAAACCTGGAGCTGGGCCTGGGGCCACACACCTGCCGGCCCAGCGCCCCAGGGAAGATGAGGCAGAAGAATCCCAAATTCAAGTCCAGCCAGGGCAACCAAGTAACTCAGCAAGCTCCTGTCCCAAAATAAAAGAATAAAAACAAAAAAAGGCTGGGGATATAGCTCAGTGCAAAGGGCCTGGGTCTGTTCAATCCTGTGAGAGACAGAGACAGAGAGACAGGCGAATGAAAGTAACTGTATGAATCAAACCACACCAGCTGCGCACACGCTGATGTGACCTGATCCCATGTGACACTTGGGCTCCCATCTCCCACTCAGATGAAGACACCAGGCCCCTCACAAGCACAACTGTCAGATCCCAACCCCAAGAGCGCAAATTGCCCAACGCCGCAGACTCGCTCACCCTCACCCGCGGGTGCAGGCCTCTGCCCATCAGTCACCTCAGCTCTGCGGGCTCCCGGAAGATGGGGTTCCCAGCATCCACCACAAACTCAGAAAGAACCCTGCGGGCCAACACACAGGACCACACACAACCAGATGCCGGCTGGAAAGCGCCCAGCAGTGAGAAGGGCTTGGCAGCGAAAGGTCCGGGAGCAGCCTGAGACGACAACAGTGACTGCTGGGGGCTGCGCGTGCAACACGGCAGAGGCACGGTGGCCACAAGGCGCTTTGTGTGTCATCAGCATGGGAGGACAATGTCGCATGGGAGCCCCAAAGCCACCGTAACTTTAGAACCATTCACAGGGAGCAGCCAGGGCCAGGCTCTCACTCCGGACTTGAGGTCAAGATCACCCTGGTCCTGGCTCTGCAGCTGCACTTGTGCCAGGCCAGAGAGTGCAGCACGCCCACTTCTGCTCTGTAAGGCTTGTGAGAAGGAGGAAAATCACACAGTCATTATGATTTTTTTTTTTTTTGTCTTTTTCCTTTTTATCGGTATCGGGGATCGAACTCACGACTGCCTGCTTGCAAGGCAGGCGCTTATGCCGCTGAGCTAAACCTCCAGCCCATGAGGATGTGATTTTCAAGGCTTCGTGGGGAAGGACAAGTTCCTGAAGGCGGTATGAAAACCGCACTCCTGTCCTGCACCTCCCACACCCGGTATCTGCAGTTTCCAGTGGGCGGGCGGCCACCTCCACCCACTGTGTCACCATCTCTCCCCACTACAGAGGGAGCCAACCTGGCTAAATCCACCCCAGAGAAAGGACATGGAATCTCAAGGAGGGGACATGGCCTGCCACGATGGCCAGGGGACTGATTCCAAGCGTGAAGCGTGTATTCTGCAAGATTTCAGCACAGAAGCCAAGGGGGACCCACTAATTTACTGTCAGCTCTCTTCAAGTTCCAATAATTATCTGTACTTCACTCCTGTTTAGACCCATTTAACTTTTTTGCTTTGTTTTGTTTTTCAGAAAAGGTCTATGGGCTGGCCTCACACTCGAGGTGATCCTCCTGCTTCAGCCTCCTGAGTGTTGGGATTACAGGTGTGCAATTTAACTTTTTAATAAGAATATTTTCAAACGTAAGGCAAAAGCACACAGACAAGTCTGAAACCAGGTTTAAAGTTCTGCCAGGTTCAAGAATTAGTAACCTTTGCCAATCCAGCTTCATTCATACGCCCATTTTTTCTTCCTTTTTCTTCTGTAGTGCTGGGGACCAAACCCAGAGCTTTGCATATGGTAGG